ATTATTAATAAAAGTTTAACAATTAGTTTAATATTTTTTTTATTATTATTTTAAAAGATTTTTACGGATATAAATTTAATTAATAATATTATTATTTAAAGTGGTGTTTATGTTAAAATTAATAGTTATTATGTTGGTGTATATAATTTTAAAGGTTTTTATAATTAAAAGTTATTTTATGGTTAATGTTTAAAGTTAAATAAAATTGTTTATAATTTTACTAATATTAATGTAATAATTTAAAGTTATATTTATAAATTAATTAAATTTTATAAAAATTAAAATATTTTTATAAAAAATAATAAAATTATTTTTAATGGGGATATGATTTTGGTTAATTGTGTTAAAATTTTTAATATTAACGATAAAATTTTTGGTAATAATAATAAAATTTTTAATATTAATTATAAGATTTTTATTAATAATAATAATATTGTTAATGGTGTTAAAATTGGTAATAATGTTTTAATTGGTGATATAATTAGTTTATTTATTAATATTAATATTATATTTAATATATAATTTTATATAAAATTAAATATTTTATAAAATTTATATAAATTAATAATTTATTTAAAATTATAATTTTTTAAAGGTTTAATAAAGTTTTATATTTAATAATTTTATAAAAGTTATTAAAAACATTATTATTTAAAATATTAAAGGTTTTTTATGTATAAAAAAATTTGTTATATATTATTTTGTAATAATTTTTATATTATTAAAAGGGATAAGTTTTTTTTTAAAAAAACTGTTATTTTAAAAATATTATTTGTATTTTTATTTATTTTTTAATTAAAGTATAAAGTAATTAAAGTGGGGTTTTTGTGGAAAATATTTAAAGTTTTTGGGAAAGTATAATATATTTTTCCAATTTGATTAAAAAGGTAAAGTAAAAAGATTATATAAAAAAAATAAAAGTAATGTAAAAATAAACTAATTTTAACTTTAATTAAAAATTTAATCAAGAATAGTTAATAATTATGTAAATATAAATTATAAAATTTAAAAATATTAAAAGATTTAAAAGTATTATTTAATAAATAATTGTGTTATATTTATTATTTTTTAATTATTTGATTTAATTATAATATGTCTTTAATAATATTGGGATATTATGTTTCCAATAGTATTGGAATGTTATATAAAAGTTTTAACATTAATAATATAATTTTTAAAAAAATAAGTTTAATAGTTTTTTATGTTTTAACCGTTGTAATAAGTAAATTTAAAAAATAATAAAAAGAGAAATAAAAAAATAATATGGTATTTTTTATTAAATATAAAATATTATATTGGTAGTTTAAAGGTTATTTGTTAAAATAAAGCTACCAATTGTAAGGTTTTATTTAATATAAAACTTAATAAATTAAAAAAAAAAAAAAAAGATTTTTTTTATAAGTTATTTTAATAATGTAATTAACGTACAAATAAAATAAATATGGTAACTTATTTAATAACTTATATAAATTATTATAATAATGATATTTATTAAAAAATATAATTAAACTTATTTATTAAATTATAATTTAAAAAAATATTATTTAAAAATTTAATAAAATAATTATTAATAAATTAATAAATCTTTAATTTATTTAAAAACTTTAAATATAAAAGTTTTTTAAATTAAAAAATAAATAAATAAAAATAAAAATAAATTTTTACATATTTTTCTTTATTTTTTTTAATTTAATTAATTAACTTTTTAAATTTAAATATAATTATCCATTAAACCATTTATTTATTTATATTTATTATTAATTTATAAATTTTTATATAATTTATATAATTAAAATTAAAATATTTTTAATTTAATTAAATATAATATTATATAAATTATTATTATCATATAATTTAAAATAAAATAAAATAAAATAAAATAAAATAAAATAAAATAAAATAAAATAAAATAAAATAAAATAAAATAAAATAAAATAAAATAAAATAAAATAAAATAAAATAAAATAAAATAAAATAAAATAAAATAAAATAAAATAAAATAAAATATTAAATTAAGTTTTTATTGTTTTTTATATAAAAGGGCTTTCGGGGAGGGGGTGTGTAAAAAGGTAAAAAAAAAACCACAAGTAAGATTCGAACCCACGTTTTTATACAAAAAGATACGTATTTTGACTTTTTTCTCGAAAGTGGGGAATCTGGTAAGACCCGTTGTTTTGGGAGGATGCACCCAATAAAAACGCTCCAGAGGTGCGCACGGACGAACTTCCTATCTCGAAAAATGGCCAGGCAAAAAGATCGTCTGACAATATCCCTCGTAAACTCGGGCATAACCCCTCGTAAACTCGGGCAAAGTCAGAGATGTAATATTACTTATTAATTCTAACTTGAAAAGATGGAACTTGCTTTTAATTGTGGAGGCTGCGATGGATGCTGTGACGGAGACGGATGGAGATGATGGAGGAGGGGGAGTGGACGGGGGACGTGGAGGTTAGGATTCTAGATGAGAAGACACCAATGATGCAATCCATATATCAATATAAAGTGTAATCATACGCCCTGTCTACTATTATGGTATAAGATGAACGTCGTCCGATGCATGAAGCTAGATATCTAAACAAGAGTTGCCCACACTCGCTTACTGCCAGGTTTCCAATATCCTTTCCGCACCCTTCTCTCCCGCGACCATCACACCGAACTGCGGGTTGACAGTCAGCGGGGAGACGATAGACGCATCGACGACATAGATGTTATCGGTGCCAATGACCTTTGTGTCCGCATCTACACACTTCCCAATCCTGCATGAGCTAGACCAATGCTGGACAGAGCCGACTGCGTAGTCAGACCACGTCGTAATATACGTACGGATCTCCTCTTGGGTCGAATTCTGAGGAATGTTAAGCGGAGTGAGACCATCGGTAGCTGGCGAGTCTGGCGTTGAGGATGGCAGAGCTTGGAAGATGGTATGGATGAACTTCGCGATGTTCTCACTGTCACGAGGGTCGCTGTAGTAGATATCAGAACTGGGACCTGGTATGAACTTTCCGTCGTCCGACAAGATAACACGTCCCGCCGAATATAGACCCGAGGTACCATAGATGTTGAGCGTGATGGTCTTATTATCCACGAATCCTCCGTGACCGGATGAGTCGATTGTACCTTGGACTCCGGTCTTGGTGCCGTCGGGATTGGGCATGTACGCCCAGAAAGCAGAGGTCTGAGACGCGGAAGCGTAGGGACCGCTGCGTGACGATAGGTAAAGATCTCTATCCGCAGGGATGGGGTTGTTGTAGTCGTGAACGTACGACTCGATTTCTGGCCCGGTGAGCTCGATGAAGGTGTTGGGGTTATCGAAAAGACCCTCGCCGACTGATGGGTTAGGGACCCAACTTGTGGAGTTGAGAGGTAGGAACCCAGATGCGGTCATATTCATGAGTGTTTCGAGAGGACCAATACCAGAATGCATTAGGAGACCCGGGGATGCAATAGCGCCTCCGCTCAGAATCACTCGGCCACGGGAAGAAAGATGGATTTCTAATAACGATCCATCAACTTCTGCTGTAACTCCGGAAGCTATGCCGTTGATATGATTGATGTGTTTAACGTGAACACCCGTCTGGAGGTGGAAGTTACTTCTCTTCAGGGCATTTTGCAAGTATGTCCTGGTTGGGCCACCTCTTTGACCATCAATGTAGTTGTAAGATGGCCGCCCGAAGACCATGTCCTTATCATCTGGGGTGTCGTTGAACACCACCTCGGACAACCCAGCTCCGTCAACAAGCCATTTCTTTGCTGCCTCATAACCGGTTTGCATGTAGAACTTGCCATCTGGCGAGTAGCTTGTTATCGAAGCTTGCATGTCTAGTAGTCTCCGTGTCGCATCCTCAACGTCAGCGCTCTTCCACCCCTCTGGATGATAATCATCCCAGTCAGAAGCTGGAGGCTGGAAATACAGGCCAGCATTGATAGCACTGTTCCCACCAATTGTGCATGCTTGGAAAGAGTTCACGACGCCTGGAGGACACAGGATATCTGTGTTTCCATTGAAGATACTCTTGTCTATCCAACTTGTTAGCTTGACAATTATATACTATGAGTGTACTTAGGAGGTAGGTATATACTCACATAATCCAGGCACATCAACGCGGCTTAGCGATGTCCCATCGAGCCATGCCGGCCTCTCTGTGCCTCCCGTAACTCCGTACGAAGCACCACCAAGCTCTACTAGAAGAGTCTTCTTCCCAGCTTCACTTAACCTATCAGCTACGATGATCCCAGCTGTTCCAGCACCGACGACTATAGCATCCCATTTCTGAGAAGCCCAACTAGTCGAGTTTTGCCGTCTCGCAAATGAAGGTGCGCCAAAGGCGGGTTCACTAAGGAAGCCGGCAATTACTGCCAAGGTCGAGAATGACTTCATCTTGGCGTACTTCGTGTTCGAGTCACCACACAAGCTGGGGATGGAAGGGGACAAAGAAAATTGTCGGACAATGCCATGATATATCTACAAAATATGTCACGACAAAGAGACTTACCGTGCTGCATTGATAGCCTATTCTACGTAGTCCCTTGTCCATCACGAACCCGTCATTTAGCATGTATCCGTTATTTTACAGTCATACTGTGTGTGTATGGCCTCAGACGGGATCCTTAGTTGCCTAAGGCAACTTGCCTTAGGTTAGGTACAAAACAGCTCGTGTTCTGGCAGTGCTAATAAGCATCGTATTCAGCTTTTCCGATTCCACTACATCGAAAAGAGCCAAGCGCAATAAGCACCGCAACCGCCAATAATATTCACTTTGTAGTGCCAACACCCCTGCACAGTTTTAGAACTGAAAAGCATTTCAGGTAGCCTCAATTTTTCTCTTCGGATCGATCGGTTCGAATCAGAGGCCTTTCCGCTTGTCGATGAATTTGACGATGATCAGCAAAGTAATTTGCCTAATCTATCAGCTCCTAAAGCCCTGGACTTATCCTATATCTACTTCGCGTGAATAGCCTACTTTTCTCATGCACGTCGGGATGCTTTTTTACTCTGTTATATCACGTAGCACAAATGTAAGAAAATATTCAGCTATCCTTTCTAACACAATACTAAACGAAAGGAACCCGAATTCAAGTGAGGGTAATCGTTAGCTTATTGTACTGTACAAGATATCTCCGCTATCAAGCAGAAAGATGCCCAATCCCGAGTAGAGAGCCGAGCTGAAATCGCAACGGCGTATCCTTTCTATTTGCCCTTCTTGTGCCGATATGCCAACAACCAATTTACAAATTTGTCAATTTCAAGATCCTATTCATTGCCCTACCGGGTCCCTCTAAGATGTCGGCAACAGCATCAGCATACACTTACATTAGTTAAGAACTAATCCGAGTTCCTTAGCAATGATATCAGCTGCTCTCTCCCCGATCACCATTGCAGTATTAGCGGTATTTGCGCCGACATTCTCTGGTGCGATACTCATATCTACCACTTTAAGGCCTTTTACACCGTACACGTTTAGGTTCTTATCCACGACGCCCATCTTATCCTGCGGCGCCATCTTGGCCGTGCCCAGCGAGTGCCAGGAAGTTTCAACACGCTCCCGGATGTACTGCTCGATCGCCGCATCATCCTCTGCTGAGTACTCCAGGTCGACAACCGGGGCTCCCTCGACAGGTTGATTCCACTCCTCGATGAGGGCTGCCTTAGAGCCCTCGGGGAACCGGGGATGGCAGGGCTGATATTCACCACGATACATAGAAGTCCGCCGCATGATTTCGCGACCCTTCTTGTACGACCAAATTAACTTCTTGAGGTCTATGTCGTTTTCGTCGTTGAAGAAACCTGTGCTGAAATCGAGCGCATCGCTAACTTCGGGGCCTGTGATGTGCATATGACCCCGCGAATAGGAGTAGGCTGTGAAGGGCAAGACGGTCACGTATTGACCAGTGGGCAATACTGAAGAGTTGTCCCCGTATAATCTAAACACCGTGTTAGCACTCTATGATTTCCCACCTAGTAATCGAGAGATGTGGATGATAGGTATCAAGTTGGGTTTCGGGGTATATCAGGTACTTACCCGCTAACAACAATCATCACTATGAGTGGTCTGTTAGGGCGGTTTTTGAAGTCTCTTTCCCACGATGCCTGGAACTCGGGTCCTAAAGCTACGGCTTCAGCATCTGTCGGCCTAATCTTGGAGGCAAGATCTACGTAATTCCACCCGAGATGCGGGTGCTCCTGGGCGATTGCGTCTTTGAAAGACAGCCGTCCACTCAGCAGAGCGTCAGCTGTTTCGTCCTGGGATAGAGATGTCTTAAATACCGAAGGCACTTTTAGATGATCCTGGTAACCAGACCCGACCCCGGGAAGCTCTTGGACGACGGGAACACCGGCTCGGTCCAGTATATCCCTGGAGCCGATCCCGGAACGTTCCAGTACGGGAGGCGTACCGCAGGCGCCACATGACACGATAACGAGCTTTCGGGCTCTGATTGTCTGTTTGGGATGTGATGCCGAGCCGTTTACCTGGGCTTGGAATCGTGTGTTGGGTGTAAACTCCACTCCACAGGCTCGTTTATTCTCATCAAACAGAACACGCACTACTCTGTTCTCTACCAGAACGTGCAGGTTAGGATGTTTACCATCGCGTAGCCGAGGATGTATATACCCGCGAGCGACATCCGAACGCTTTCCTTCGGGAGTGGCGTATTTGAGCCAGCGTTGAAAGCCGTTGTTGGTATCTAGTGATTGGAGATCTTTTATCTCCGGATACCCAACCTGTTCTGCGGCGCGCAGCCAGTCATCCTCTATTGACTTACCACGGAAAGGCCCATCGGATATTTGGATTGGACCACTAAAGCCATGGTGTTCTGGGTTTCCCGGCCCGTGGTAAGTCTCTATCTTAAGTAGCAGAGTTGTTAGTAGGATTATTAGACACGTGAAATATATGTGACTATAGGTACCTTCTTTAGGTATGGCCACAGTTCGTTAGTTGTCCAACCGGGGGTATTCCACGAATCGTAGTCGTCGCGTTGAGCTCGCGTGTACCTAATTTGGAGAAGGTTTCGGTAAGTTGTGCTTGGTTTTCTACGTTGCATTTACGTATTAACGTACATCAAGAAATTCATGGAGGAACCTCCGCCCAGAGTACCCCCTGAGGGGACGATATATTCCCGATTGGCAATGTGTTTTGACTTAGCAGACTTGTAGAAAATTGCCGTTTCGGAATCTGGTTGGGAATTCAAGGGATAAAGTGCCGGTGTTACTATCTCAGGGTTATCATAGTTTTCCTGGCCACCCTCAATGACTAGAATCGAGAGCCCTGGATCAGCTTCGGTCAACCGGCCGGCTACGATACACCCAGCTGTCCCACCTTCATACGATAATCTGTTAGCAGCTTTAATTAACAATAAATTGTCATTATATTCCTTACCTCCAGCAATGATTATATCCACCTCCTTAATCTCCGCTGGTAGCTTCTGGTATAAACCCATATTGATTTTGTGAGGTAGTACAGCTTAATATATTATATATCGTTCATAACAGAAATATGATAGAACAATATGAGGTCTCATTTTGGGGATATCCGATTTATAATACTCCAGCTATGGGATGTCAGATTACCCCAAGGCAACATTCCCCGCTTTGCTGTTGAGTAACTTGACTTCGAGGTCATGCACGTTGCGGGTTGGGATACGGATTGGAGTAATTCCAAACTTGAATAGACGCCTGCAGGCTCCCGATCCGGACTATCATGGTTGTCCATAGGTAAACCAATAGAGAGGCTGCATATTTGATACGATGACCATGAGGTACAAAGATGGTCTGGGTCGTGCTGCGGAGAGGATATTACGCATATAGGATGATCGACATCGCCATGCATGTCTGTTCCATACACTTCACTGGAGCCAAGCTTACGCCACCATAAGCCGAATACATTACCGAGAAATAGCTACAGAGGACAAAGCCAGGCTTAGACTATACTCCGCTCTTAGAACAGCAAACTACCAGTAGCTAGGTGCTATTTAACGTCTCGCTTCACCTGGGTACACCTATATTCATAGATAGAACAACGTGGAAAGAAGAGGAATTAGTTATTCAACCCTTATAATCAGTATATAGGCTACTATGAAGTCCATTATCACCCTTGAGGTGGCAAACCTCAAATCTATATAACGTCACGTAAATCTGTTTGTCTCGTAGGAAGTTCACAAGAAGTATCATAAAGTCTTGATGACGAGATAATTCTAATGAGTAATTGGGCTTGACAACTAACCGTTACTACATATAACAAATAGAAACGATCCCAACGCGTAAAGGTAAAACAACGCCCATATACCCAGGTAACCAACCCTAAAATAATCTTACACGATACGCCACTGACAGATAGAAGTATCCTAACATCTATATCTTTTCGTGCTTATTTTCACATCGGGACATCGCCGAACGGAACCGCTCGCTTCCAGTTTGTGCCTGGAGTCCACTCTTTCGTCTCGTCTGGGTCCTCCGGATTAACCGCATAGACCTTGACGTTGAGATTTGGGTATTCGTATACCACTGTTAGGGAAATTAGCTCTAGTCAAGATTAACATGGTGTAGATTATTATCAATCATACTGAAAACCGATTCGGGCCGAGGGGTTGTGCCCTTCTTCAACAATATATATGCCGAGCCTGTGGTCTCTCTTGCAAGAGCTTCGGACATTCGAGGAGCAAGGTCGTCTTGGGCAGTGCCCGGGCCACATTCGCCGAGCCAGTCATAGTATTGGTCATTAGGGTAGACGTTACCCCAGAACTTTCCGTTGATCTTGTTGGCATAGTTCATGGCGTCTCTGTTGGTGCTGGATGGGCTAGTATAGAAAACGGTTTTGTCGAGAACGAGACCCTCGTTTCTGATCCAGGCACGTATCTGGTCGACCGTGGGACATGCAGCTTCGGCTTGGATAGCGAGCGAGAGCCCAGTGATAAATACAGCAAGGAACTTCATGGTGAATATTAATGCTGGTGTAAAATAATCGGCGTGACTGGATAATATGTGATTTCAAGGATGTTTGCAAGGCGATGAGTTCTTAATGGTTTATTACAATTGCTGAATAGCTTGAGAGTTCCTGTTCCTATATACACTTTGAAGGTCATGCTAATTGTATGTTTATGCTTTAAGCTTGATAGAGACTCTAAGCTGTGCCGCTCCTTAACGGAAGAGTTATTCTGGTCGATATCGACTATTTTGAATCCTCCAATCCTCTCACTAGTCAATTATGTCCATCTGAAGGTTTTGTGATCTCATGAATATCATATTTCTGTGAATAGTATATTGATCATCCGATCGGCAGCTATGGCATGTCTGGATCGCTTTCAGCTTGTCAGCCATCAGCCATCAGCCAAGCTTGGGATGATGATTGGATATACTAGTGTTAAGCCCCCAAATCCCTAAACGACGTCATTGTTAAATATAGGCTATAGAGGCTGTGCAGATCGCCGTTGTAAATGTAATCATAATACCAATTATGCATTTGCACTGTTTCGCAGGATACAGCTTATTATTGTATTTTAATCGATTGCAGTCTTTCTGGGTAATGGACAAGAATGATACATACAAATAATACATACAGCAGAAAAGTCTCAACTCTCACGTCTCTATTATTTCTTTTCTTTTAGAAACAATACCCCACCATGTCTCTCAACGAAGAAACCATCCGCGCAGCTGTCTACTCTGGGTCTATCGACCTCTTCGCTACCCTTCTCTCTAAAGACCCTACAATTATCAATTATCAATTCGACAGACGTGGTACACCGCTCGCATTAGCATGTCAGAGTCAACAACCGGTCAACTTCCTTGAGTTTCTACTTAAGCAAGGCGCTGATCCAAACCAAGACCCCGACGTTGCACCATTTCCGTTGGCTTCTGTGGCAGCCTTCTACAGCGACACCAGAGCGGCAGCACTTTTACTGGAGCATGGCGCGAAGTTAGAAAATACGGGAGCGCTTGCAGCCGCTGCAGGAAGAGGGAACGAAACTATGGTGCGATATCTACTTGAGCATGGTGCGCAGCAGGATAAGGACGTTGTAGAAGGTAGAATTCCTGAGTTGGCGCTGCATATTGCAGCGCGCAAAGGATACGTTGGAATAGTAAAGATGCTGCTGGAGCATGGCGCGGAGATAGAAAAAAGAGACGCTGAAGGTCGAACGGCCCTCGAAGCTGTGAGAAAGGCTGAAGAGAAAGATGGGAGTGATTTGAGTGAGGTCCGGAGCCTCCTATCCAAGCAGTAATTGGAAAGGAGTTCTAGTTAGGTTATCGTCTTAATATTAGATTAATCGAAGCATGGTCAATTTTCATAGCTAGCATACGGGAATATTCGATTAATTAGAAGAATTTACTATGGAAGGTATCTGTTAAGTACCGCAATACTTTGAGAGATTATTATTATCTAGCTCTATAGCTTCTTAAGACTATTATTTGCTATGTCCTCAAGTGCGAGAAGGACACAGTGATTTACCTTCTAAAATCTAAGTAATTCGATTGGACATGCCCTTGTCAAAAGTAATCCACTGTGTCCTTCTGGCACTTGAAGACATAGTACAATGCTGGGTTTCATTATGGGACCATTGTCTTAACACTTAACAAAACCTGTTTGTCTGGTGTTTAATTCTTGGTATGAAGCATCCTACTTTATTTCTTGGGCTAACAAACACCAAAATAAACATTGTAGCTTTGTAACATTTATGACTGTACTCTCGAATGATCGACAGGTGTAATCCTTCCGGGGGCCATTGAGTCTAGACTAAAAAAAGAATTATGGTATGTAGGTAGCATTAGGTAAGAGCTGAAGCTATGTAGGGTGGCAGGGTAGCTCCACGCCAATAATATGCGCTACATGTACTCTAGAGATCCTTCTATTAATACCTTTTAAACAAAACATCACATCTAGTAACCTATCGCGAGAAGCGTTACTATGACGTCGAAAGGAAGTGGCTAGAGGATCTAATGTGAAAGATGAGGCTATGTTTCTTATAAGCTGAGTGGAATAAGGATCAGTAACTATTGTAGTGACATGATGCTAAGATTGAGTTAATAATAGAGTTACGTACGATATAGAAAGAAAAGGCTACTCATCAACAGCATGAAGCTTTTGTATAAATTGAGATGCTTTTCCACCTTCAATACTTATTATCTGCATCATTCTACACACACCAACAACAAGAACAGTCTTATATCTACAATACCCTCGAAGTCTATCACACTTCATATCTCTTAGCAACCCAACAACTCAACAACTCATTTACTTTCAACTTTCAACTTTCAACATGGTCCAACTCGCCCAAGTCGCACTTATCTTCACCACAGCTCTTGCTGGCTTTACCACTGCTAAAAGCTGCAACACTGGAGGCATCTACTGCGGTACCTATCTTCTTAAAAGAGGTAAGCCATACTTAACCAGCTTTAAACAGACAAGTTCCTAGAGCAACCAAAAAGCAAATGCAATACTAATAATGAGTGTCACAGGTGACTACATTAATAAGATCATCACCAACCTCCGTGCCAACAACATGCCAACGGACGACAACACCATCCAGCAATCTCTATGGAGCTGCCTTGAGCACGGCGATATTCAATTCAAGGAGATGTGCACCAGGGGTTGCGTCGGCGGCGATAAAAATGACGACTATTGCACCGGATCCCCCGACGCTGGAGGCGAGAAGAGGGGCGAGCCCGTTTTCTGGGAGGCTTAAGTCTTACACGATTTGAGTCGATGGGCAGATCATTTGGAGATAACGTCCCATCACTTTCTATATTTCATTCTTCCGCACCTGTAAACTACCTATGTAAAAGATAGAATTGGATCATGTTATAACAATATATCACAGGCTTCCCTGACTGATAATATTCCCTGCATTGATTGTGTATAGTCTTACTTGATAAAATTTGGTATGAACTTATACTTAATGATAGCCATGACTTAAATTATTCGTTTAACTAGAGCTGCATTTATGAGTTACCTCCAGATAACTATCAATTCTATTAATTGGCTATTCAATGGAACCTATTCATGCTCTGGTGCGCTTAGTTTATCCAAGAGACTAATTTTAGTCCGTAATTAATGTCTATGCTAGCATATATTCTAATTTAGGTACATATGTTCAATTAATTCCTTGTTTCTGCATCTCGGCTCATATTGTATAGGATCATTCCTATCTCGTGATCTCTCAAAATCTCACCTTAGGGTTCCATCCAGCTTTTTGCACTCTCACAAGAAGAAATAAGAAGAAACCGATAGTAGTCATAGTTGCTGCCCATACTTGTGCACCTACGAACTTACCGCCATTAGCTGCTTGGATAGCGCCTCCAATTGGCGGTCCTGTCAAGGCAGCAAATGAAGAAATGCTAAAAGCCATCCCGAGTCGCGTTCCAACCGTGTCAAGTCTTTTGGTAATACTGGCTAAGAAACCAATAAAATTAGTACCAAGAAATTGTAGGTGATTCAACCACGTCCAAAGTCCAGTTGGCAACTCCCAATAGAGAGGTACTTCGAAACTCTGACGCGTGAAGTAGGATGACAAGAGGAAGAAATAGGGCTCAAAGTTACTTACTGACGGCGGTAGCTATTAGGCATTGGAAACTACCAGCACATATACCATAGAAGCAGGCGAAGACATATAAGCCAGGTACATTATCCACCGCAAGCCAACAGAACGCCACGATCGCCCATGCGAGTGTAACAGGAACCATGACGTTAATTGGACCAACTCGATCAGCAATTATTGGTGGTATAACTCGGAAGATGATTCCTGCTCCGTTAATAAGGATGACCATGATCGAAGCGGTTGAATATGAGAGGCCAAGAGCTTCTCTGCCAAATGAGGCAATCTAGATCAATATGTCAGCAGAAAAGGTTTGCTTTGGGGCATCCAATACTTTACGGGAAACTCACGTAATAGAAAGAGAAATAGTTAGCCATCATCAGTGAGAAAATGCCAGCTACGACACCATTGTACGCAGAATCGCGAAAAGCCGCAAAATCGATTATGGGCCCGGATCGCCTAGGAGGTAGACGTGGACGCATGAATACGAGCACGATGGAAAGACAACCGAGGTTGATAAAAGCCAGTACTCTTGTTGTCCAAGCGAATCCTAGCGTCGGAATCAACTGCCTGACAACAACCGGATAAATAATACCACCAGCTGAGTTTCCCGTTGTCGCCAGTCCGACTGCAAGGGCACGCCTCTTCTTAAAATACGTCGCGACAAGGGCAAGAGACGGTGTGAAAAAGATCCCTGCCCCTATGCCCGTCAGTACGCCTTGAGTCAGCATCAGAGACCAATACTGAGTTGAGATGCTCATTAAGAAGATGCCGAGCACTTGGATCACGGCGCCGACCAAGAAAGTCGGAATGAATAGACCGGCGTCTAGGAGACGTCCGGAGAAAACGCTGATCACCAAGCAAAACCATATTTGCACGGACCCAATCCAAGATATAGTTGATGGAGACTGCGGTAGCGTTGATGTGTAGTAAGTCTGGAAGCTACCAAAGGAGTTGACCCATCCCCAAGTTGTGAAGATAACAAGCCATCCCACTGTGTTCAGTTAGTGAAGTCATCTTTGCTATATCCTGAAATCTGCATACTTGCGACTTGCACCCATGCCGTTGTACCACCATCAGGGGGAGGAGGTGGTTCTGGCCATGACCTCGTAGTAAGGTGCGAGGCCGCGTGCGTGAGTACATTGCTGGCGGTTCTTCTTAGATCTAAGGAGATCCTCGTGCGCTTATCTTTCGTTTCAGTTCTTTGCGCAGCCTCAATATCATCTTTAATTCCATGTTGCTGAGCGAGATGAACATTATCGTGGGAAGACGTATTTGAAGTGATCTCTTCTGGAGCTGTGGCCAATACTGGATGTTGTTTTTCATCAAGTTGGTCGCTATGTTCTTGGCTAGCCATTGTTGCGGTTTAGAATGAATGGTACTAAAATAGAACAAGTTAAGAAAAAACTTACTTTGAACAGCCAATTAGTAGGTCAGATAAATGAAGATAAATCATATGAAGAGCACGAGAAATAGCACATGTTGCTGCAATAATCGGCTTGATGCTCCGTGTTCGGCCTCATTGGACATGTTATTATCAAAAAGAGCTTAATAATAGGCTTGAAGAGCTTAATAATAGGCTCTTTAAGCCTATAGGGACCCCAACGGCTTCGATACTAACCCACCAACATACACCGCCGAATGCCGCTCCGAAATGTCTCCTTTTGTGGAGCCGATGTAGGAATCCGGGGCGAGGGAACCGACCGGAGCGGCTCCATATGATCGTCGCAGGGGGTCCATATAATCATTACCTTTCATTGGTCAGAGACGGTCAATCGGGTTGTTTCCATTGTATGTATTTGTACACTCCTGTTTTTTCCCCCTTTGCTCGAATCAATATACTAATGGATCTTTTATACGAGCAACCCCTGATTTTATAATGTTATTCATAATTAGATCATATTACTTCTACCCATCGTTGACTGTATCAGACTTATTGGTTTAGAGAGTTTATTTACATTATAGGTGGTACCTTATAAAGGTTCTTATCAAGGCGTGGTTCGCGCATTAAAAATTTTATAACAGAGCAAAAGAAAAGAAAAATTTTGTGTGCACTTTCGTAGCCTACTTCAGGCATTGATATGGCAGTTGCTATTAGGAAAAGACTTAGGTATATTTGTTATTATTTTTGATCAATTGAACTATCGTTGTTGAAACCCCATAATTTCCATGGTTGGATTAACAGGAAACGCTTTTCCTTATTCAGAGGCAGGAGTTCTGCTTTGGGGATAGTTAATTATCAGCAAGGAAGTAGACTAGTTGGTTATGATTCTGATGTGCCTGCCCAAGAGGATTTCGATAAAGCTGCCTGGAGTAAACGAGGGTGAGCATTCCATTTTGACTGTGGGAAGATACACGAGTCAGCAGATGGATCTAAGTTCAATGGCTATGGATTTGTGGGATGGGGCGATATGGAGTTCAACGATATCATAGAATATTGGTGCCGCCTCGTCACGGAATATGGTAATCGTACGCTTACAGACGAGCAAGACAGGTTTCCAGCTCTTTCTGCGCTTGCTAGGTCCATATCTGATAAGTTCCCAGACCAATACTTGGCTGGCTTATGGAAATCAGATTTACATAGGGGCCTTGGACACCTTATGCGTGGACCGGCCTCAAAACTTATCTCAAAAGATTAGAGGGAGGGTATATCGCGCCTACTTGGAGCTGGGCACATCGTCCTAATAGTCTTGTTTGGGTAAGCGGGTTCAAACCAGACAATCCCTTTTCGCCTGAATTTGAACTTGGGGACGCTATAGTCGTCACGGAGAATTTGAATTCATACGGACGCGTGTCAAGCGCAACTCTCCAACTTCATACCAAAGCTTTCCAATTTCCCCTTAGCAAGGGTGAAGGGAAGATAATAAAAGCGCTAAATTCTGAGTTGCGATGGCTCCAGATGAATTTTCACTACACGCTGTTATCAGAAAAAGATGAATATATTGCTTCCCTCCACTTAGATTTGCTTACATATGGCATGGAGGGGGTTCCGGAAGATCCGATGGATCAGTTGTGGATGGTCTTGACCTCGTCTAGTAGCATCGACAAACTATTCTATCATTGGAGTCCAGCAGAAGACAAGTACCTATGTAACTGATCCGGAGATGATAATCGGTCTCTTGGTATTACCAAATGGGAGAGAGGGTGAATTCATCAAAGTCGGTTTATGGTATCCTGAAACCCGAGGACTAGGCGGGAGGAAGTTTTGGAATGGTATCTAAAAGCGCATGATTAAACTTGTTTAGAATGTCTCTACATATACGCTTTACGGGAAAATAACCACGTCGTGTAGAAGGACTTGACACACATAGGTAGCACTCCAATATCTTGGAGTGGTCCCGTCATACTCAGACAATATATTTGTGGCTTATAAGATTATTCATTTAGTGTCTCTCGGTCTTTAACAGCTCTTATCTAATGACTTGACCTTTGTAATAGCATCTTTCTAATCAGGTGGCTAGAGACTGTTACGTTTCAAAAACAACCGGACTTCCTAGAACCTACAAGCCAAATCCGAGTGACATTCTTCTCGCACGTACAGACCTTTTTCGCAGAGGGCTATGAGGCTTCAACGTGACAGGGGTCTAAAGTCTTGCTTGAATATTGTTGACCCCGCTTCAAACGCGTCAGACGGAACATATCTAAGGTGAGGGAGTATATGGGCTGAAAGGAATGCTGAAGAGTAAAAGCAAGAAGTAGGTATCTGTGTTTAATAACGCGCGGGTTGGTTGAAAGAGCGGGTGCACCCCGGAATACCTAACACATTATAATCATCTGCTGGCTGAGACCACAACGCCTGAATCCTTCAAGTTCGGCAATAATTCCCAAAGTAGGGAAGGATTTCGCGTCTAGCGCCTCTTCAAGCCGCGATGAACACGCTATTACTTGGGTACTCAATTTAAAATAGAAATAAACTTACCGCTTAGCGATCGCTCGTAACTGAGAAGTAGACTTGACACTTGCTTCCAATATTGCCAATTGGTGTCTTAAGACTTAATGTGTAGAGTTTTGAGTTGCTAACGTTTCTTTCTGACCACAATATTATTTTCTTCTTTTTATAGCTTGCGGCTGAAGTCAATATTTTATGAACTGGCTGTGTCTCGGAGGAACATCAAGTGCATGTGCACTTCTACAACCTATCAAAACGCAATGGAACCATTGCTATCACTACACAGGGTAGAGTCTCAAGGGTTAAGAAATCATACGCTGCACCTACTCGTGAAGTATGCGCAGGGGCAAATTCTAGACGTGCTTGGTAGAGAATTACCTTCCTCTTGTTGGTATGCGTAGGTGTAAATTCAGTGTCGTCTCGGCTCGAAAGTCGGGTTCGTTGGTTCGAGGTTCGGGTCGGAAACGGGAACTGGTTTTGAACACCCCTGGCAAATGGTTTTGTAAGGTTTCATCGACCTATTTTCGGTAATCCATGTGGCATTCCCCACGAGGCTATAGGAATCGTTTCCTTGCTCGGGACCCCAAAATATGTGCCAATTTCTTATCTGTAACTAACACTCAAAACCCCGCCCCGTTTACACATATGCAGGGTGCCGTGGAAGTCATAGTCGAGTTTCCTCTTCCGGATCAACCCACGAGGCTCCCCGAGACTTTGCTCATCGGGGGGATGAGGAACTTGGGATAAATATGAATGAGGGCAATCCCGTGAGAGTGTACGTGATCGTGTTTCCTTCGTCATAGCAATTATACCCCCATATCTCCTATCACTTCCGTATCAACAACATGTTCGTGAAGCCGCTCCTCATGTTTGGCTGGGCTGCGGCCTTTAGCTCTGTATCAGCCTCCATTTCACCATCAGATGTTCTAGTCGACGTGCGAGAAGCACCAGGCTCTTCATCCGCAGATACCCTTCGTGCCCTTCGACGGTCCCTTGAGGAAATAAAACTTCAAGGGAGAGATACGGTACTAAAGAACAGCACAGCTTTAAGCAAAAGTTGGAATGGCGCAACCCTACTTAGCATGTGAGCAGAACTGTAGCTTTCGAGCTACTTGATTATATCACTTCGTTACCTAACCTTCAGTCCAGTGCTGCCCAGACAAACACCGAAAATAATGCCACGATAAGTGGTGGGGTAGACATAATATGTACAACATGTTATATCAAGGGAAACGCCACGGCGGAATTTAGCATTGATGGAGACTTCAATGTGACAGAAGCACTTAAGAACTTCACAAGCGAAGTTGGAGACGGAATCTTAAATACTACTAACCAAGTCATCGACTATATCGAAGATTACTTTCCAACTGTTTTCCACAACCTCGAAGACGGCATAGACCTAGACGACTTTGACTTCCCTCCGATAAATATATCTTTCAATGTCGACGTCCCAGATATCCCTGAGTGCCGCCTCCAGTTCAAGTTTGATGACTTAGAGTTATATATGCTCATCGATACAGTGCTATCGGCTGGTGCAACCTACAACCTGAATCTTTACTCGTCAAAGACACCCATCGGAATCTCGGCAAGTAACGACTTATTTATAGGCGTTGTTTTCTCCGTCGACTTGATCCTGAGTGTAGACACCGAGATCGACATTAGCAGCGGGATTCACATCAAGTTAGAAGATGGTGTTGGCCTTGATATGGCTTTGTTTGGACAAAATGTCTCAAGCATCACTTTGTAAGCAAATCGCCCCTTTCCACTTTAAGCCAGCTCGGCAGTGCTAATTCCAAAATTTTAGTAATGGAGCCAACTTTGAATTCCTCCCAGTAACAGTTGAAAGTGCAGGAGGTCTTCTCAAGGCTGTCCTTCGTATTGGAGTGAATGCAGGATTTGAACTCTCGACTCCTTCTGTGGTGATTCCCAGCTCCTCGTTTACGACGAAGGCGAGCGCTGGTGTAGGTGTTAGTGTGTGGGCTAATATCGCCGAGTTTGCAACAAACATTACCGCAGCTCCGGAAGGTGACGATGAAGACTGTTCGTTGAAGGTTGAACAGTCGTACCAGTTCGGTCTTGGCGCTGCTGCTGGTGCTACGCTTGCTATCGGAGTAGAGACATGGGGACCAGCTCCTAACGTAAGTTGCCATCTATTTTATTCCATTCAGACCAACCAAAACAGCTTAAAACTTAGAATATACTAACCTAAAGCAATATTGTAGACAAATATCCCTATCTACACGACGACAATAGCCGATATTTGTGCCGTCCAGGGTCGCACTCAAACCACCACTGCTTCTATTCCTGCAATCAGCGCTAGAGCTGATGAAGAACTAGAAACGACTACGCTTAGTAAAAAGGTTACCTATACCGGCGTAGGCTGCCTGACTACAGGCTTGGTCAACTGTCCGCCAGCTTTGCAAACTACTACGAAAGTGACGAGTACTTTGACACACATCACAGCGGTGCCTTCGGATTCAGAAGCTACATTCCCCGAGACTACCGGGGCTAGCGCTGCTACTCTTGTCCCCTTCGGCACCAATGCGAAGAGCGTTGAAGCAACGACTGGATCCCCTGTGTCTTATGTGGCGCCTCCGCCAACTTCTTCAGGAGATCCTACTGTTTCCAGCGAGCACCCGCTCGGTGAAGTTGACGGTGTTGATAAGAGAATCATCATCGGAGTTTGCGTTGGGGTTGGTGTGCCCCTGATCGCGGCAATCATTGCTGGTATCTTGTAAGTTTCCATATTGGTTGAATCCGCTCCAACACCCTATTCGAATATAGTAAATCGTGATCTTCCTTGGAATATATGCTAATAATCATCGACAGCTTCTGCCAGAAACGAAGGAGATATACAGCAGTAACCCAACCCTACAAGGGAGCTGGATATTAGTAAAAGAGAGAACCGAATTACGGATATAATGGGCGTTTAGGGATCACGACATGACGAGGAATTTGATGGTTATTTGAAGTTAGGGTGTCGGTGTTTAGGCATGTATCAAGATATCCTGTTAGAAAGTTATTAAATATCAAATATTATTCTTATGATGCCAGGCTTTTATGCAAACACATTTAACCGAGCTAAGTAGTGTAAATCTGAGATTCGGCTCTTGAGTCGATTGAATTTGCTCTCTTTAGTATTTAAGTAATACGGAGCTACACTGTGTATTTAGATCCTCGTAAGGATCATCTAATGAAATCCTTCGCGTCGAGACCCTGAATCTTGACTCAACCCCTTAATAATTTACTAAGATCTTTGGGTTGCGCTGATATCTTACAAGCCCATTAAGCTTTTGTTAAGGCTCAATGTCTCTTGTTGATTTTCTGGTACTGGTCTCGTAGGGGCTTTGAGAGCATCGGGATTTGATTTAGACCTTTTATATAGGTAGGCACAATAACTTATAATGGCCACAATGAAGTATTCACTGTCGAAGAGCTTACCTCGCTCACAAGTGAGGTTGCCTATCCGAGTCTGGAGGTGAATCGACCACCAGGAGGAGCGATCAAATTTTTTACAATACCACCAAATAAGTATAATCATTAAATCGGCTGTGGATATTGGATATTGGGCAAGTTTTGGGCATATATGAAAACGTCCTGTGTTATATTCAACCCGCTCCCCGTCCCCTTTCTAAAATGGTATTGAAACTTCATTAGTAAGGTATACAGTAGCTAGTAAGTATGGTGACCCTATCATTTCGACTCAGTCGAAAAAGAACGGTGAAGATTCTAGAATTATGGGATTCCCAAGCTGACATGGAATACTTATTAGACTACTGATGACGTCCTCTTAGAAGAAATATACGGTGGTCTAAAACTCGTCGGAGTGAACCTCACGACTAATACGGTATTAAAGACAATCGTCTTCCCGGGCATTGTCGCATACGGGGACAGCTATCTAAACAACGTACGCCTTGACCTTCGTTCTAACTTATCTGATTCTCCAGGTGAAGGATTTACGTATATTACAGATAGCAGTACCTTCGGCCACAACGCCCTCATCATCGTAGACTTCGGCTCAGGGGAGAGCTGGAGACGTCTTGGACTGACGAAGTCGATACATGTACAGCGCCCCGACAGCCAAGCTTCGTGGACGAGGAGATGTTAGTGAACTCCTCGCCCAGTAGTCTGTGATGAATAACGGACAGAAAGGTGTGAGCGACAGCCTTGAGACTCATAGCAATGGCCTGATATATGCTAGTAATAACGAGGAGAATGCCATTAATGTGTTCGACCCTAGTAATGAAACGACCTTGACGTTCTTACAATTCTGCGAATCAACTGGGTGGGTAGATACGAGTAAGCGTTAAGACTAGCCCCTTCGCTTTAGAATCTTCGCTCTAACTAGGCGGCAGTATCAATTGCGGCGGATGGATATAGGTAGGTACTTATACTTCACGGTCAACCAGCTCAACTTCGCTGCGGCTACGTATCCTGACCTAGATATGAGAGTGATTCCTTTTGTGCTCTTCAAGGCCAAGCTTCCTAATAGTGGTTCTAAGGTATCATCTCGTTGATGCCGTTAATGTAAAAAGATGTAAAATTGTACACAGTGATACTATGATGTAATAGATAACGTGTTATAGGGGTTTGAATATAGGGGTTTAAAGCTTGGACGGTGGTATAAGCTTTTACTTACCCCTATTTTCTACCCCTATTTTCTACCCCTATTTATATAGTAGGCTGGCTATCGTTGCGATTTGTGACATCAGTAACAATCGAAATCTTGGTAGCGGGGTGAGTGAAGGTGGGATACACCTAGGTATGCAGCTACCTAGGTATATTATAAGGCCGGAGAGGTTATATTAGAATTGTTGAAAGTGAATTGGTGGAAGTGAGGGGTTTAAGGCTATTAAGCGATTAACCAACCCCATTGTAACCCCACTACCTAGGAGGTACCGAGGAGCTTCAACCCCCTCAAATTGTGGCAGGTCTGCAAGTGTGGCTGGTAGGCCAGGTTTTCTTAGGTACATACGTTAGGTATTTTCCACTAGAAAGCCCCTGGAAGCCTCACTCGGAACTCGCCTGACCGGGGCAGGTGTCTTCTAGGTCGCCGAGACAACTTGGAATGACCCGCAATTTTTTCCCGAGGGAGCGCCATATTCTGACCGATACTTTATCTCTTCTGTTCTATCTTCACTAGTTATCAGCAGGTAATCAAACATCATTCGATCGCTGTCGCTGTTACGCTGTTGCTTGCGCCATTGCTTTTGACAAGCTCGGTTCCTCGGCTGACATCGTCGCTCGCAGTCGAATTTTTCGAGTATTGTTAAATCCTTTTTTGCTATTGGGTGCACACCTTCAGAAACATCGCCAGCTATCAAACATCCTGCAAGTCGATCTTCAACCCCCGCCAAAATCTTCAAGCGCTGTCCACGATGTCGGGAACCATGAGAGGTACACCTAGTCGCGGCGGGAACCGAACCCCTGCCCCGACATTTGGGCCTGGCAGTCCCGCCAATTCCAATATCCCAAGACCCGTCAACGAAGGTCATCCTCACCCCGCTCCGAGCGAAGTCGCCTCTGGTGTCAGCGCAAGCAGGCAGAAGCAAAGCAAGCGCGATGAGGTATGAGTATCGCGTTTCCGTTACAATGGTATGGAAGCTGACCCCTTGTACTAGGCCATCAGGCGAAAGCTGGAGAACGACCTCTCCAAGAAGAAGCATCACATCACGGGCCGGGCCCGGCACTCGCGCAAAGCCCCTCCTGGAACCGTCCTCGCCCTGAAGCCGAGCCCTGCCCTCCAGATCAAGCCCGGTACTACTGTCTCCGAAGCCGCGCAGCTAATGGCCGCCAAGAGGGAGGACTGCGTGTTGGTGACGGACGAGGATGACCGAATCGCCGGTATCTTTACGGCTAAGGACCTCGCTTTCCGAGTCGTCGGTGCCGGCCATAAGGCTAGCAGTATCACCATTGCGGAGATTATGACGAAGAACCCTTTATGCGCGCGCACTGATACCAGCGCTACCGAGGCCTTGGATCTCATGGTTCGCAAGGGGTTTAGACATCTGCCTGTTATGGATGAGAACCAGGACATCTCTGGTATTCTCGACATTACGAAATGCTTCTACGATGCCATGGAAAAGCTGGAACGGGCCTATGCATCTTCAACAAAGCTCTATGCCGCTTTGGAAGGTGTCCAGTCGGAACTAGGAACCAGCCAGCCTCAGCAGATCATCCAGTATGTCGAAGCTCTTCGCTCCAAGATGTCCGGCCCGACCTTAGAGAGCGTTCTAAATGGGATGCCACCCACTACCGTCAGCGTTAGAACGACCGTGAAGGAGGCGGCGATGATGATGAAGGAAAACCACACGACTGCCGTGTTAGTTCAAGACCAAGGTCAGATTACGGGTATCTTCACGAGCAAGGATGTGGTTCTACGAGTCATCGCCCCCGGTTTGGATCCGTCGACATGCAGCGTTGTCCGCGTCATGACGCCTCATCCCGACTTTGCGCCCATGGATATGACCATCCAGGCTGCTTTGCGAAAGATGCATGGTTAGTTTCTGGCCAACTAAAGATAATGACATACAGGTGGATATGAGCTAACATAGTATGCAGATGGCCATTACCTTAACCTCCCGGTTATGAATGACCAGGGCGAGATAGTGGGCATGGTTGACGTGCTCAAGTTGACTTATGCGACACTTGAGCAGATCAATACTATGGGAACATCGGGCGACAATGAAGGCCCCGCCTGGAACAAATTCTGGCTCTCGCTCGATAATGAGACTGAATCTATGGTTTCTGGCGATGGTAGCCATCATCATGGTACTATGGCGTCGCGGTCGGTTCTGTCTCCTGATGTCAACCGTGAGCGTTCGTACGACCCTGTTGCGCCTGGCGATAGTGCTTCGCACGTAGGCATGGAGTCGTCGCCGATCCACTCTGCGGTAGCCCACCAAACCCCTGCGGATACCCCCTTTGCATTCAAGTTCAAGGCCCCAAGCGGTCGCGTACACCGAATACAAGTCATCGCGAATGAAGGTATCGCGCAATTCGTTGAGCACGTGGCCGCGAAGCTTGGCAGCGAAGTGGAGGCCATTGGGGGTATTCCAGAAGTGGAAGATGGTAACCTGAGTACTGGTGGCTTTGCCCTGAGCTACTTAGACGACGAGGGCGACACGGTTAGCATTACGACCGACCAAGATCTCCTCGAGGCAATCCTGCTAGCTCGCCATCATCATCACGAGAAAGTTGATCTGTTTGTGTATGATCCTGAGAAGCCACCAGTTACGGTTACTGCTCCTCAACCTGATCCTATCGCTACACCGGCTCCTAGTTCGGCCCCTTCGGAACTGCGTCGTAGACGTACCGTGGTAGAAGATGATGACGAGGACGAGGATAGTGAAGAGGAAGACTATGCGACTATTAGACGTCGTAGGAGGGCCCCCACACACTCGGAGCCCGACCAGGTTATCGCCGGCGTGCCTAACGAGCTGTTACTACCCGGCGCCATTGTTACTCTGGCTGTTGTCATCATTGGCGTTTTCACCATTTCGAAAGCTACTAGCCGGTAAGAAGTTGCGTTTTTGTAAGTTGGAGCATTGTTATTTGGAGTTTTTTGCGATTGCAGAATCGTTGAAGTTCGAGAGGGAAATTTAGATTTCTGAATCCTCATGATGCATAGATTAATAACTCATGCCTCTCTTGATTACTCTAAGTTATTTTTAATATTTGGGATATTGTGATTGTAATTCTTTTTTTTATATTGTAATTACTTTTCGTTTATTTGCGCCTTGTTAATAGTGCTATCTCTATCCTAATTCCTAAGTTCTAATCCTTAAGCCACCGACGGAGGTTAAGATGTGAGAGATCGAAAATTGTACTTAGGTACATGTTAGAAAGCGAGGTACGAAGGTACGAAGTTAGGTACTTCAAGCAATTTTCAATTGAGTTCAGCCCGATAACGATAACGATACGGCACGGGAATACGTAGCGCCTGATAAGATCCTTGTCTAAGCTCCACCAAGGCATTGAACTTGAATCAATTCCACCAGAAAAAAGTCATGATAGAGGCATGAGACCATATTAGACGACAGCAATTGTCGCAGCTATGATTGTAAGAGATATGGGTGTCCGCCATGCTAGGAAGGCATTGGCCGCCCCTCTGCGCCAGGCCTGTCTTCGCGCCCTTTCTACGCAACCGACTTCGACAGGAGTACCCGATCTCACAGAACCGACCCTCCAGTCTCCCAATGCCAACCCGCAACCCCCCTCCATATTCAACTCGAAGATCCGCGCCCCCTCGCGCCGGAAGAAGCCCGTCGCTCCCGATACCACCGTTGCGGACTACAAGATGGCGCAGGAACTAAAGTCCCAGATCGGCAAGGTGGGCACCAAAGTGCAGCGCACGTACAGACCGGCAGACGTCTTCTTGCACCCCCCCGGACCAAAAGACGTCACGCTGGAGCTTCTCATGGCGTCGCAGGCGCACATGGGACACCACGCGTCGCTGTGGAATCCGGCCAACGCGCGGTACATCTACGGCATCCGGCAGGGCATCCACATCATCTCGCTGGAAGAGACGGCGGCGCATCTGCGGCGCGCAGCACGTGTAGTAGAAGAAGTCGCGTACCGCGGGGGCCTAATCCTGTTCGTAGGCACGCGGCCCGGACAGACGCAAATCGTAACGCAGGCGGCCCGGTTGGCACGCGCGTGCCACCTCTTTACGAAATGGACGCCCGGGTCTATTACCAACTCCGAGGTCATTCTTAACGGCATGCCCATCCAGATGGTGGACGAGCACGACGAGCCTGTCGAGGGGTTCAACCGCCATCTCAATGAGCGACGACCACTAATCCCGGATTTGGTCGTGTGTCTGAACCCCATAGAGAACTATGTCCTGCTGCACGAGTGCGCGCTGGTTAATGTGCCCACGATTGGCGTTATTGATACGAATGCGGAGCCCACGTGGGTTACGTACGCTATTCCGGCGAATGATGACAGGTAAGAAAAGCCGTGCAATGACCATTTATAAGAGGTGAAACTAATACGCGTGCTACATAGTCTGAGATGCTTAGCCGTCATCGGCAGCGTGCTAGGACGGGCCGGCGAGACGGGCCACGAGCGGCGTATCCGTGACGCGAAGAGAGGCATAGTAGCGTGGAATACTCCCTTAGATGTCGCCAAGTTCATGTGGCAGGAGAGGGCGAGAGCTGAGTACGAGTCCGCTGCGGCTGCCGAAGCGGCGCGGGGACGTGCTTACCTTTCCGAGGAGGACGAGGCTGGCTTTGATACTGGGTTCCAGCAGAGTCATTCGACCGGGGCGAGGTCAAATCCGGGACTGGATTGAGCCACTTGAAGAAAGGGACTCGGGGCTGACGTATGTGTAAACTGCTGTATTAGGTAAATGCACATGTATAAATAAAAAGGAGGGACAAGAAATCCCCTGAATGAACTCATGCTTCGTCTTGAATGTTTGGTATCATTAAGTTTAACCTAGGTCTACGTTCTTCTCATTCCGGCCCGTTAAAAACGACATTGTAGATACTGCTCCGTTTGGCGGTATTACTGGTCCCTATGTCCCCTATTGCGCACTCTTCTCCTGCTGCGCTGGTAGTTGACTTATCACGGGGATCAATTTCCCCCTCTCGCCTGGTGCCGGGATCATTTATTATACCAGCGTCAATATCCATCTCGGAGTCATCGCCCTGCTCGATTAACATATCTAGGTCCCGGTCCACAGCGTCTTGATCCTCGGGATGATCGTCCCCACCGTGCAATGGATGCGTTGTATGGTGATGTACCTCGCCATCAACACTGTCGGCATCGTGTAGCAGTGCCTGGAAGGAGTCTGGATGGTGATGGGAATGATGGTGTGTCTGCATATGAAAAGGTTCATGAAGGGCGGCGGAATGGGTATCTTGGGGGTTGTAAGGCTCATGCCCTGGTAATGATGTACCTGGGGCATGCGGACTAGAGTGTACAACCGTGTCATTAGGATGGAATGAGTTGAACGCATGAGGATGATGATGATGATGATGGTGATGACTTTCTGGTTGATGGTGGTGCGCAGACTGGGATATAATCTGCGGGTCTATGGGGTGATACATATTCGTAGCTTCGTGTAGTGAAGCGAGAGTAGCAGCAGAATCGTGATGGAGCTGAGTCTGTAGAAGATGATGATGGGGTTGTAACGCAGCATTTGATAATGACTGCATGGGTGGATTTAACAAGGACGTGATATCACTTGGGCGAGCATATGGATGTTGAGGGCCAACCAAAGTTGGAAGTTCGCTGTGTGTGGGTGCTGGTAGCTCGAGGGCCCTGTCAGTCGCATCAACGCTTCCGGAGCCAGGAGATAATACAGGAGACAACATTGACGATATGGGACTAACACCGATAGTGGCATTGTCCGAGTTTACATTGAGACGCCTAGTAGGGTTCTGAATGGAAGGTGTTTTGCTCGCTTCTTTGCATTGTTCACACGTCCTAATTACATCCGAAACAGTTTCCTTGATGCGACTCCAGTGATACTTCTCAGCAATAGTCGCCGTAGTCTTGTTAATGCCGGCGTGACCGCCGACCTCGTGAAGGCGACGCGAAATATCCATCTGGCGTATGGGGTCGCTAATGACTTCCTTATCCTTAAGCATCAATACGTCGTTGTCGAGTAGCTTATAGTGCGTCGCGGCGCTCCGGAGCCTGCTTTTTTCGGCGCGGTCAGATCCATTCGGGTAGCGCCCGTATTTGAGGTAGAACTTGATTTTGTCGAAACGCTCTTCACTCACGAGAAGGGGTTCGCCGTTGCCCTCGCCGGCACCAGGCCCAAGGTCCCTCCCGTAGATGATGGCGTCGATTAGCCGATCCGGGTACGACTTAAGGTTGCCACATCCCTTAACACGTCCGATGCGTTTGAAACCGAGCGCATCCCAAATCTTACACGAGGCCACGTTCGTCTCGTAGACTAGGTTGAACACCGAGTATGTATAACCGAGCTTTGGCGCCCAATCTAAGTAACTTTCGCCCATAAGACGGCCCACGCCGCGGTTGCGGGAGGCGTCCGTCACGAGAAAACCGCCGTTGCACACATGGCTGCTTCGGCCTGGGTAATTAGGCTTGATATAGAAGCTTCCGAGACATTCTCTTGACCAGTCCTTACCCTCGACCACGTCGGCGGCACTCTCGATCTGACCGAGAAGCATAATTCCAGCAAAATTCTGGAACCAGTAAGCAGAGAACTTCTCAAGGGGCATAGGGTCGATCATGGGATAGGTATCCCCGCCCTCGATCTCCTTTGCGAATTGGTCCGAGAGGTAGATTAGCAACGAAGGGGGTACTTGATTGCGGGAAGCAAAAGGCACGACGGTTGCAATGGTTTGGCGATCTCGTAATGTCACCTGGCGAGGGAGGACATTTGGTGGTAGCTCCGGCTTGTTGGGGTCCGGATAAGGGGCTTGCCCGGTGACACGGTAGATGGTTGGACTTGACGGATCATCCATAATTGCCGGCATCTTGTCTCCGAATCCGTGGTCCCGTTATGTGCTGAAAGAATTGCGTCACTTAACCTAAACATGTTACCTATCAACAATACGTACTTATTAAACACATCGTAAGACCTATCCTGTTTCTTTCATCATCTCCCTTTTCGTCTCCTTTCCACAACCACTAACACAATCCCGTGTACATCCTCAAACAGACAGGTGAATCATTTCTTCTCGAATCATCGTGACTCGAATCAAGCGTATAATGGCCATCTTACCGAAATTAAAAATGACTGGTTAGTTTCTGGAACGCCGCTCAACGCTGTGTTACCGTTGCCACACAGTACCCCTCGATGTCGATTAAGGGGGGTTAAAGGGGGATTGGTCAGGGATTGTAAGGCGTGTGGTTGGCGATGATGAACTGTGCGTCGGGAAGGGAAATTCGTAGACGTGAATATTTTGGAACGCAGCACTAAATGAAAGCGCTACGGTAGAAGCTCGGAGAGTTGTATTTGGCTTAGATGAATACTTTTCACATGTAAGCAATTATCAGCGTTGCAATTTTGGTTATGAAGATATAAAATTAGCCCGAACCCGTGAACACCAAGAGGGAAACACTGAATAAGACCACATTTCGGGGTGCATTGATCTGATATCTTAATATTAATTTCCACCAATACGTAAATAGCAGAGGAAAAAGGGGGTAGGCTCTGGTACCCGTTACCTGAGGTTAGATTTAGGCTGTCAAACCGATTTCAGGAACATTCTTCATTAGACGGTCTTTTATTTATTCGTGCGGTAAATATTCCTACATCATCTATGGAATAAAGCACCCGCACGTAGCTTTTCAGGTATCATAGGTACATTATCGCGCCCCTAATGCATCGTCGACCCTAATATATGTTTACCGTCGCGGCATACCCCTTCCTCGTCCTCTTATCGCCCTCTGTGCTGCTCCTGGCGGCAGCGGCTGGCCCGGCGCCTGCGGTTGGGCACTTTCTTCGTTCCGGATGGTCTCATCTACACCTAGGATCAAGCAACTGGCCTCAGTAGCTGACTGTATGGCATTAATCTTGACAAGAGCTGGTTCCCAGACGAACCGTTCCATCATGTCAGCAACACCCTCGTTCACGAAATCGACGCCAGCCCAGACACCGCCTCTGCGGTGCTCCACGCGTAGTCTATTTAAGATATCGGTTGCGTCAAAGCCAGCGTTATCGCATAGTTGGCGGGGAATAACCTCAAGAGCTTTAGCGAAAGACTTGATGATGCCCTGTTGCTTATGCGGAACATCTTTGTCCGCGAAACGATGTAAGTATGCGGATATCTCCATCTCGCAGGCACCGCCACCACCAACGATCATGTGGTTTTTGATGGCGCGCTTCACGATCATGATGGCATCGTGCAAGGACCGCTCGACCTCGGCGATAAATTGTTCAGCACCGCCGCGAAGGACTAGAGTGCATGTCTTGGCCTCTGGGCAGTCTTCGAAGAAGTTGAAGCGCTCACCGCCGATCTGGCGTTCATCGAAGGAACCACACGTGCCTAAGTGGTGGGATTGAATATCGGAGCAGGTTGATTGTATGGTAGCGCCAGTGGCTTGAACTACTCGTTCCATATCTTCGGAAGCGACACGGCCAGCACAGAATATGTCCCGATCAGCAAAGTACTGTGTTGCCAGATCTCCGATAGGTAGTTTAGAGAGCACCACTTTGGCGCCTGTTTGGTAAACGGCTTCCAGTTTCTTGTAGATGATCTGCCACTCGGCGTCGACGATTGCTTGGTACTCTGAAACTTGCTCGACTCGTACTTCGGCGTTGTCCTTCTCAGCCTTCAACTCCAGCTCGACGTTCAGACAGACGATCTTGGGTTTCTTGAAAGACTTGGGCTGCTGCTCAAAACCAGCATACGAGAATGTCTTCTTGAAAGCTACTCCGTTGACGAACAGGGAGTCAGTAAGGGAACCGCCGGGGATCTTCTTGATACCAATAAGCTTCTCGTTTAAGTCGTCCTGGTCTAGCGATAGGACAGCATCCACAACCACTACAGTACTGTTAGCTTTGGTATGCGTAAGGGGTTTGGATTCGAAGAACACATACTCTTCGTAAAAAAGGGAGTATCCTTCTTGATCAGCTTGCTCGTCATAGCCGTGGCCGCTAGTTTCGCTAGGGTATCCCGCCTGGTAGACTCGTCTGTCCTCACCGCAATCTCTTTGATCTTGTTGACCGCCATCGTCGAAGCCTTCCGTAAACCCTTGATGATTATTTGGGAGCTAACACCTTGCTCAACGTGTTCCTTGACTTCCTTGAGTATCTCGCCAGCAAGAACGACTACAGATGTCGTTCCGTCACCGACTTCAGCATCTTGTGATCTTGCGATATCGACGAGGATTCGGGCAGCAGGGTGTACAATATCGAGGAGCTACAGGGTTTTAGTGGCTTGATTAAAAAAAGGAAAGGAATATCAATGAATCGAACCTTCATCACTGTTGCGCCATCGTTGGTAATAGTCTGCCTTCCATTTTCGTCCACCATTAATAAATCACCACCGTAGGGTCCCAGAGTCGACTTGATGGTCGCTTGAACGGCTTGGCAGGCATTTATATTTGATATTATCTGACCTTTTCCCTGAGAAGTATCGGTCCCTACGTCTAAAGTTAGTCTAGGGACGGCCTTCATTCACAGATCGAGGGGTAGCTCCTGGTCCTCACCTTCTTTCAGGACGATGATAGTGGGGGTTTGACCTCCGAAAGACATTTTGGCGGAGTGTATATGGCGAGTGAAGGAAGCAGTTTAAAAAGAGGTAAAATTTGGTCGAGGGAGTTGGGGAAGTTTATTCGCCTCGAAAATCGCCAACACTTGACCCTCGATAACTTTCCGTTAGGTGGGAGAGCTTTAGGAGCTTCAAAAAATTGTTGCAGCCTCGCGGGGTGGGTCACATACAGCACGGGCCATGATAACCCCGGTATGTGGATATCGTTAACCCCTCATTAGCAATCAACACCCACACTGCCTGACTGCCCTGACTTTCCCAATAAAGCATACAGCCTAAATTTTAATTGGTTAACCATCAACTAAGCACCTAACAAACCTAACAATATAAGGCGATAAGGGGTCTGTTAACACGACGCAACGTTGGCAACCGTGTTGGTATAATTATACTATTTTTTGAGTCTCAGCAAACAGGTTAACAGTACAATTATTTGATAATCCGAGGTACATCTCATTAAGTTGTAATCACTAACGCCGTCAGTGGCGAGACTTGCGCAGCATTACACCTTCATAAACAAACGTAAATGAATCCCACTTTTCCGAAAACTCCTCGCCCGAAAGGGTCAATAAGTCATCCAGTAGTGAAGAATACTGACCAAAGTCGTTATCACACTCCTCACTGTCCCAAAACACATAGACGTGTTGACAGGTTTGACACCCGCTGAATTCGTTCTCATAGAATCTATGCTTATTCTTCCTTGCTAAATCATGAATTGGAGGGAGAGATCCCCTATACGTGACCGAGACGACCTCTATTATCGAGATATTAGTTATCATGTGCTCTCGGTATTAGAAGAACTAGCTATATCAGTCATTATTTAAAGGAGAGGAAGCCATACTAAGTTGTTTTATAAGCCCATATTGATTTGGATTCAATGATTCCGTGAATTTCAGCACGTCGAAATCGAAATCGGACCGGTCAACGACGTCAATTACGAAGATGTCGGATTGAAAGTTGACGTAGACGTATCCACACGGTACACCAGTGAAGTTCGAGTCTATAGGAGTTATAGGAGATATACTGCCTTCACTTTGCACGTCTTCGGCGTCTTCGGCATCTTCATCACCGCCTAAGAATGTCGATTCCCTAAAAGATCGAAAAACGGGCAGCTGGACTGGATACATATCCAAATATATTTTTCGAGCCAAGAAGCTGATTTGTAGAGCCGGTGAGGTAAGAAATCGTGTCGGTAAAATTTGCTTTTTGTAATTGTCCATAAGTATGAGGCGATTTTTATTTGCGTCCAAGATGTACTCTCGCCATATTTCGACTTGAACCTCAGCAGGTAGATTAAGGAAAGCAGGGAAAGACATTGCCGCTAAGAACCTTGAATCTAAAAGGGGTTAGGAAAGGAAACAAGGTGTGCTTATAGCGTGGGCCGAGTAAAATCTTATATTCGAGGCCTTTTTTACTTGCTGGCGTTCTCTTCTACACAGGGGATTTCGATTTGGAGACTATCTTCATCGGTGTTTTGTGCTTGAGGTGGAGTCCTAAAAAAGAGATCTGAGATGTAAGAGGTAAGTACCTAAACTGTACTAAAAACCTAAGAGGTAGGTATCGTACCTTCCATCTTGCCGGTACTTTGGTTGGGGGTAATTACATACCTTGTAACTCGTATGTACTTAATAGAGGTACTGTCATCATCTCGCAGTCAGGCTTACGACTTCCTGGTTCGAAAATATGATGCATTTAACTATAGTTGCGCGTTTCACTCTTGAGTGACGCAGCATGGCTTCCAACAAAGTATCCAGGGGGTAATGATCTAGTCGACACAATATTAAGCCTTGATCACGAAGATGTCAAGAGTTTCACCATCTCTAAAAGCGGGCAATCTGTGAATCCAACAATAATTATTTCAGGATGCTCTAGTTAAACAGACCTAACCCGGGTTAATCGGTCCATTTTGTCCACTATTATATCAAATATCCTTGCTCAGTCGACAGTGACTTGTTCGAGTATTACAAGATACCTCCAGGCATACTATTGAGCCATTCATAATTATTGACGTCAAAATTGAAGTTACTAATATCGAACCCCACGTCTCCTATGGATTCCTCGGAAAACTTGTCCAATACTTCACCTATGGAGATTGATTGATCCAGATGACCTCCAGCAGTGGCGCCTAGACCTCCTGAATCATTCGACCCTTGAAGTATCTTCGAGGATAAGATTTCTAGAGCGGCTACGCAACGGCGTGCCGAAATGCCAAAATGCTCATGCGATCTAAGACTCGACATTGCCATATTCCAATGTCCAGATATACTAGAATGTGCAAAGATTTCAACACGGAGTTCTGCGGCCAGGAGGATAGTAGCTGCGGTATATATGTAATAGACCCCGTACCACCATGCCGGCAGCAACGTGATACCGCGACTAACACTTTCGTGCTCACTTATAATAGAAATTATCTTTTGAGCGCTGACCCGTTCGTCTATAGTTGAGTCATTTGTCATTTCCTGGTTCTATATCCTTTCTTTTCTTTTGTTTTTTTCCGTTTCCTTGGTTAGGCTAATAGAGGATACACACGTTCAAGCAGATAAATAGCAAACGTAGATGCATCCAGTAAAAATTTAATTCTATATCTTGCGCCGAGGTTTTAAAATATGATGACAAAATGAGTAAAATATGAATACGAAGTAAATAAACAACTCCCTAAAATGCTTAATGAAGAACCGCTAGCCCCTGAGAATTTCTACCGGCCAACTCCTCGACACTGAATCTCTGAAGAAACTTCGCTTTTCCTTGGCCACCAGAAATATCCAAAACAACAACAGCAGCGCCGGTAGTCTGATTTCCAGGGGATAGGACATAGAGAAAGTTACCAGCCGCCGCGAGGTCGATGAAGCCCGCGTCACCCGTGTGGGATAGGTCAATCTGGGAAATGATACTGGCGTCCTTGGCGCTCATCTCAACGATGCGAGGCAGAGCAACATCTGTAACGAAGACACTCTTGGTAGCGGGGGCATAGGCAGACCAGCATGTCGCCTTCTGGTCGCTAAGGGCTTGCTTGCCAACAGTAGTTACGCCTCCAGTTGCCTGGTCAAGGCTGAATACCGCCGCTCCGAAAGAGGCGTCAGTAGAGAAGAAAGTGTTGGTTCCGGGGATGGCCTGGGATCCAAACAAGACAGCAGTGCCCTCGGGAGTCGTGCGAGTGTCGTGCGGACAATCCGAATTAATCTCGGAAACGGGTAGCGTAGAGATGAATCCCGTCTTGTTCGTCGCAGGGTCGCCCTTGACGATGGTAATGAGCGTTGACTCGTCATCGGAGAACAAGACTTGGGAGACGGTGTTTGTTGGGCCGACGGGCGGGTTCGATTGTCCGAGGTCGAAGGATAGCACGGACTTGAACGAGTATAGACCTCCATCATGGAACGGAGCGCAGGAGACACCGGCTTGTGTGGCCGTGGTCGCAGCACACAAGATGTTATTCTTGGCCGATACGGCGACGGTATTCGGGAAAGGCTTTTGGATATAGGTTGCACCCTCGCTAATGAATGATAGTTGGGTCGGGTCGCTGTCGGAGATTGTCATTGGGGTCACAGATCCACTGAATGCGTTGACGGCGAAGATGACCTGTTATTAATTAGCTTTCATCTTGAAGAATAGTGTATAAGTTAAGCCCACATTTCCAGATATGGTGATGGAAGACTGGCTCACGAGCGCGTCCGGCGCAGCAGGCTGTTTCATAGCATTTAGGGTGTTAGACCCAACTCCATTCACTGAGGTCTTCTTCCCGGCCTTCAGAGTGCCATCCGGTTGAATAGGTAAAGCTATAATCGAATTGTCGGCGTCGTTGGATAGGAAGTACACAGCTTTTCCAGTGGTTGGGACAGCCGGTTTACAAGAGGAAGGTCGGTTGATAGCATGGCCAGCAATGCCTTCAGCCAGCATCAAAGTCGTGAGGAAGTTTGCCTTCATGGTGAAGAAGTGGAAAGTTAAGAGAGTGGATGAGCAGTGAAAGGTTTCGTTTGGATCTCGAGGTAATATTACTGTAGGAAAGAAAATGTGATATTAGTAGAGCTGCTTGGTCTTGATAGAATCTGATGATATTCATATTTGATAGGGATTGGATATCTTAGTTATATACACATCTTAACTAAACCACGTTGTCGCCCATGCCAATGATACGATACTCTGGGGATCAAAGATTGGAATCTAGATTTCCCGTTTAGGAAATCCCACTATAAGATTTGAGGCTGCAAATTAGCCAGGCATTGTGTAGCACCTATGATCCGTCACAGGGGTTAGACGGGGACTAATCTCGAACTACATATTGCTTGTTTTCCTACAGGTGTATCCAATCGCATACAGAGATGGTTTCATTCTAATATGGATACCCCTGCGAAGGATTCATCAGCAAAACCAGGGGCTGAGCAGATTTCAGCCTAGGTACTCTTTGGAATCTTTGCGTTTTCCTAATTTAGCCCGTGGATCTGTCAGTTCGTGGAGTAAAAATGGGCCACAGAGATGAGATTAACTACCTCTTTTACTATTTGGACATCATCATGTCCCCACTTTGATCAGGTATGTCTTAACGTCCATGAAGGGTACCTATGTAAGGTAAATGATGGTTAATCGGTACAGGTTTAGTCTAAACCTGATTATAACTATTCGGTAATAAGGAGTAGATATAGCCTCGTCTTGCATAGCGACTTCACGGATGCAAGGGGTAAAAGGCCTAGGTGGGATGTCTTTGTGGGATAGGCTATTAATACATAAGTCTGGATCTACCTTCGATAATTATTATTCAGTCGCAATGAAGCTTACCTCATGCTGCAAATTAACTCTATAATCTATAACAACCCATTGCAACTAGCTTATTAATATCTCTGCGCCTTTAGAAATAATTATAATATTGTAATTTGCAGTCCTTATGGGCAAAGGTTTATTATTAATCCTTACCTAAGGCTGTCACAGCCAAGGTGCAAGTGATAAGGGCATATTTAAGATTTCTACAAAGTACAGATAAAAGTACCTAGGGACATGAGATTCTTACTCAATCAACACATAAATACCATAGAGTATACAAAATAGGCGCCAAAACATAAATTTTAATTAAACGGCGCGTTCGCAGAAGTGCTGTTGCTGTAAAGTATCTAGGTATAAATGATTCATAGTCTACTGCCTCCTATCCTAATTAGAAATATATATTTCCCGATTAGAACTACGCATGTTTCAAAACAGACAAGTTTGGACTAATGCAACCGTAATCTGAATCCTAACCTGCACAAGATATGGCTAAAGTAAGTCCAATCCATCGTTTCAGCGAGGCTAAAACGACACACAAAGTTAAGAATTAATCAATATTCCCCCAGACCAAGATGTCCTAGTAAATGCAGTGTCCTCCATCTCGGCCTGTAAATATCAAATTCTCTGATGCAACATTTCCTCCGGTTGCGTCACACTACTCACATTCTCCATCCTTTCCGTTTCATCTCCTTTTCAAGCTTCTCCTCATTTTCCTTTATCTTGGCCTTACACCCCTCGCAGACCTCATATCTCACGTGGGTGTTTTTCTTGACAATTTCGCACGTTTTGCTTACCTTGTCACAGAAATCCAAGTCTGCCATAGTAGTACCCGTAATCTCCCCACAGTCAGGGCATTTGATCTGGCACTGATGTTGGACACACATGGTGGCAGCTGTAAGAAGTTGATCTTGTTCGTTGACTGGATCTTTCGGAAAATGTCGTGCAATTGCCGAAGGGATTTTCAATTATCCTTGACGGGCTCTAGGTGGTAGTGAAGGGGGTTTATTTTACTTTGAAATCTGGTGCGTATCTTCCGTGAGATAGAAGAGTTTATATAGGTATGGATGTGAAAATAGTGAATGGCGTTGGGGTGCAGGCTTACTCCCACGTACAAGATGTGTTGGAGGCGAGGTGTTCCGTTGACTATGGTAGTATTATCACCAGGCATGAGTCCTGATAGAGGTTCTTACACTTTTGTTAAGACACGTCAAGCAATGCATCGCAAACATTAGTAGCTTCGTCGTCTCCTTAGGCTTTTCTTGACTCGCTAGTAAATGGCCGTTGTACTCCTTTGGCTACCTAATTCTTGCTTACATTAACAACAAAAAAGGGGGGTTTATCTCATGTAGCAAGTATTCATTGTCACGTAATTCCTCGCATATACTCGCGAAAGTGGTAGATTTCTGTCGTACAATGATGAGCAGAGTGATTCAGATACGATCCTCAAAATACATCACTATGTGTAAGGTTACCTTTTCCTATTATACACCAGTGACGAAAGAGTACGTGTACCCTTAGATTTTAATGCCTTGAATTGATATAACTTCGAGTCTTAGCCTTGCAGTTGGCTCACTGGCGCGACGCATAATTAAAGGTGTTGTAGATTTGAATCTTTCCTCAATTATGACTTCAAATGTAACAACATAGGTACCTAAGCACCTAATTTTAAGTAAGTATATTAATAATATTGAATACAATTCACTTTTTGCATACATATCATGTAGGCGTCACTAAAGATTGGATGTCTAACATCACAGCAGGAATGTTCGGTCTGGCCATAGTCCCGATAATATTCAAAGCGAAGTTGGTACATCTTGGCGAAGATACCGTGTTAAATTATATGTATATCTGCTTGAGTCTATATATCGTATATATAGGTTAGGTACCTACGTTAAAGCTCTTCACTGGGGGTTTCTTTTTCAGTTGAATATAACACAGTATTTTCGATGTATTATCTCAGCATGTTTTTGATGGTAAGAGGTCATTACCTGAATTTAATTGCATGGCTTTATTGTTTCTAGACTATTCTGAAAGCGAGGACACAAAGACATATCATCTTAGTTTCTGGATAAGGGAGTTCATGAGATAGAACGCTTACCTAAGTCATATAAGCAGAGTGGTTTAAGAACCTACCGTAGTTAATAATTATATGGATCTTTAGATTAAGAGAATCACTGTAGAGTTGCGGCGTATTCTATACTAAGCACTAGTTTCGAATTAGGACATTAACTCCCCTTTCATTTTAAGGAGTAAGAATTATCGCTGCTAATATAATAATCGATGGGTAAATGATCTAGATTTGGTTCAGAAGCTGACGCCACCACGGTCGGGAAACCCCTATTTCAGCCTCGGCGATCTCCTTGTCTTCTTCCAAATCACGACGTCTCCCCGATTGTAAATCGATCTCTTCATTCTTCCAAATTTTTGTTTTGAAAGCGAGTTTGTATCCAATAAATATCACAAAGAACAATGGCAACAGAATGTAGGCATCGACAAATCCGCCGGCGTCCCAGGGAGAAAAGTTAGACCAACCTTGTACTAACGCCAGAAATATGTTCGCTGCTAAGCCAAAATATGCATTCCAGGGATACCAAAGAGAAACGTACGGTAGATCCTCGACTTGATAACCCTGTGCTTCCCAGGCTTGGCGAAATCGAATGTGAGTGAGGGAAATAGACCCCCAGACCAGGAAGGTTGAAACGCCACTCAAGTTGACAATGTATCCATAGGCTTTGGAAGCACCGGTTGAAACGTTCATCATAGACAAGGCGCCGAATGCATTTGCTAGAGTGATGGCAGGAATAGGTACTCCCCTCTTGTCCGTCCACCCGAGGAAAGATGGGGCCATTCTTTGCTGTGCCATATACAGCAGGGTCCGCGATGCAATGTAGATAGAACTGTTGATGGCAGAAATGCAAGTAACAAGAATAAAAGCATTTATGAGATGCACGCCACCTTGCCAGCCTGCATTTTGAATCGCAACGGTCATTGGACTCAACAAAGCGCGGCTGCTACCATTAACAAGCTGATCAGCATTTGCTGGACAGGTGAGGCCGAAAAAGAAAGCTGCGCCCATATAGATGAATATGATGCGCCAGAAGACTTGGCGAATTGCTAGCGGGACAGCAACTCGAGGGTTCTTGGTCTCAGTAGCAGCCACAGCCACCGACTCGCAACCAGCATAGAATGTAGAACAGAAAACGAAGACTTTAGCTACACCACGGAAGCCCTCGACGAAAGGTCCCGGGTCGTGCCAATACCGGAAGCCTATAGCATCTGTCCCGCTGATTCCGCCTGACACGTATCTACGGTCGTTAACATATTATTGGCTGATATTATTTCGTGAGAGTCCAAACTTACACTATGGAAAATATGTAGAATGCCACCAATCCTACAAGTTTAAGAAGAGCTAGCCAAAACTCAGCCTCACCGAATGTAGAAACACCCAGGAGTTGGAATAGTAAGAAAGCGGTCTGTGAAAACGTCAGCAAGGTGATTGAAGAAGTTGATTGGAAAGTCTGATGAGAGTGATACATACCCATAAGAGCAGAAAATATCCCCATACGGGTACCTTGTCACTCCAGAATACGAGAATGCTAGTCGTAGCATTATACTCGTTGGCAAGGACCGCGAACCAGATGACGAAGTAGTTCCATCCAACAGCGACACCAAACGCAGGATCCACAAATCGAGACGCAAGCTGAGTAAATGCTCCTCCCGATGGATAAAGAGTGGTCAGCTCGCCTAAGCTTTGCATAATACTGTTTTTTTTGTAGGTCAGTACCAGATAGATAGGTACCTAATGCATACTGTTACGGGGGGCATGCGATGGTACCTGAAAGCAATTATGCCGATGACGCCGAAGCCAATCAACAACGAGGCCGGCCCACCGGCGGACAATGCGCCTCCGCTGCCGACTAAAAGTCCGGGTCCAATGATTCCGGCCAAAGCCATCATTGATAAATGTCGCGTCTTCAGGCCGCGTTTAACTCCGGACTCGGGATCAATTGAGCGGAAGTCATCCTGATCGGGATCGTCATAGGGTTGCAAGACGGACCGATCAAGGTCCTTGGGGCTGCTACTCATGGTAGGAAAAGGAAAGGATCACGACGCTTTGCCGCATCAAAACAACAAAGTTACAGGATTAATACTGCTTGCTTAACAAAATATTTCCTATTTCTTAGAGGAGAACCATACGAGCAGCGGACACGACGTTAGCGGGCTATAATAACATTTCGCGCTTGAGAAAAAAAAAATCGGTTGGTTTAGAAAACTCGGTGATAATTTCGTTAAGACGGCATTTGTCATTGGCGTGTAAAATTGCGTGATTGAGATTTTGCGCCGCATACCTAGAAACTCGGTGCCAAGCTGACGGCTATCCAAACTCAATCCGGCATAGGGTTAGCGCAATGTGGATAGGTAAGTAACAGATAGCATTTGTGCTACACCCAAAAGGGATCCCCTGTAGTCTTCCTCTAGCATGCGTTAGGGACGGTCTATGATTTATTCTTGAACATATCTGTCAATCTGATGTTATACACTTGAGTGTATCGTGATTGTGACGTTATTATGGGAAAGTATATGGAAAAGAATAACTTAAGTGCCTCTTATGATCGTGCAGCAAATACTAACTATGATGGAAAAAATTTATACGAATCTCATTACGCCTAAACAGACACTAAAAATATGCTCATATCATTCTCAACCCTATCGTTGATTTTACCATGCGCGCGAAGTCTTTATCAAATGCATCTCCCTATTGCCATAGTTACTTCATTTCTCATGAAGGGAACTAGTCGCATGCTTCTTCAAGAAATTGTTAAACCTCTTGTAGAATACCGGCGTGCTAGGATGGGTGGGGATGACAGCAGGGAAACAGTGCGGTACACCTTGATAACCGTATATCTCAACGTCAACACCCGCAGCCTGGAGAGCTTCGGCATATGCGAAAGCATCGTCCCGGAGAATATCATAGCCTGCGCATTGTATCACTAAGAATAAGGCAAACGGGTTAGTTATAGCTAGAAGATTTAAAATGGGACGGGGTGATATTTAGAGGAAGGGATATATGAGAACTCTCTTACATGCTGGCGGAAGAGTCGTAAGTGATTCTGCAAGCAGAGGCGAATGCCTATAGTCAGGTTTAGTGTTAGGATTATAGGCCCTAAGGAAAGCCTCCATCCTTAGAGTGCTAAGAACAGGATTTTCCGAGTTTTGAATGTAACTGCCGTATTCATATTTATCCCGGGGGAAGAACTTGGGATGGCAGACGGCGGGGAAGTGAAGGACTTGGGCGATGATGCCGGTAATGCCATTTTCCCTAGCCATTATGGCCACGACCGGCGCCTAGGTAGTAATGGTATTAGTAGGTAAAATCATATATAGCCAAAAGAGGCACAACTGTGGAAGCTCACGAGATTGCCTCCCGCGCTGCTCCCGGCAACAATGATCTTCTCAGGATTGATTCCGAGAGTTTTCGCGTTCTTTTTACACTATAGTCCAGAGTTAGTTAATGTATAATCCTTTAATTGTAGCTTGTGTCAGGATTCTAGATGAGACATCTAGAACAAAGGAACTGTCCAGTATGTATAGACGATAGATCTTCATAGGTAGTTTAGAGTTCCTTGCGGAACAACGAAGTTGTTTCCATACTGTTTCGTTCCACCTCGTGACAGCTTGTTAGATTGGCGAACATACCCATAATAATCCATCGTAGCAATCTTCAACCGGCCGTGGAAAGGGAAACTCGGGCGCTCTTTTTGGGGTTAGCTAGGTCATAGGAAACCAATAGTATAAAATACATACAGTCGGTAATCTACACTAACAACAACAATGTTGGGATTTGTAGCCGCATAAACGTTCTCGGCACCGTCTACCTCATGTCGTCCGACCGCAAAGCCTAAGATGCAGAAGGTCAGCAGAGTATAGCCAAGGAAAGGGGGTTGTGTCCAATGTTCCATACCACCACCGTGCATGCGATATACCAGGGTTGCGTCTGGCGCAACTTTAGGAGACTTATAAACTTTTAGTTCATTCAAGTGGCCGTCGCGGGCAGGAAATCGGAGTAACTCTGTGGTAACATCGCGATACCGATCGGGTCCACCAGGGGGCATAGCGGCGTCCGGGTCGCCCGCAGCCTGTCGGAAGGCCGCGAAATCGGGCAACACCCAAAGTGGCGAATATGCAGCGTCGATGGCGGACTCAACTGCTATATACTCGGGTGTTTTTTCAGATAGATGGCCATATTTAGGCAAAGGCTTGAAGTCAGCGTCAAGGTCAAAGTATTCGGACTTATCCTTAAGGTACTCCATGACAATTTGCTTGCTGATGTTTTGTATTATATTACAAATGTTTATCACGAATATTAACAGGTTTGAGTTTATATACTACCTATGTAGGTCTTGACGGACATCCTTATAGTTTTAGCATTCGAGCAAACGTCCAACTATACAAGATAGCTTTAACCCCGACAAGTCTTTGAATGACACGGTTTCACGTGAGACTCAAGGATCAACTAATGTTCTGAGGCTATGCGACCCTGCATATAAGGGTTCCATCATTTACAATCAGAATGAATCACTTTGAACAATTTTGCTCTGTAAATTTGATTGGCTAAGAGCCTTTAGGGTAGCATTGAGGTTAGCTGAATAAACAGCCCCATTGGGCTGAGAAGTGATTTCAAGTCCCATCATTATGAATCATAATTTGGTGTCCCTTAGCGCCCGATACATGTAGTACATCACTTAGCATACAAATTTGGGTGTAAATGTATGTAACTCTTATAGCTACAATTTTTATAATTGATGAATGATTGATAGATGTGTATATGTGAGAATAAGGTAGTTGGTAGTAGTATTAGTTGCGCATCTCACTTCGGACATAGCCGTAGCGACTAAGATGGACCATACTGAAGCCGTAGACCCAACTTATTGGACTTCGAGAAGCCACCCCATGAAGTATTTAATACTACCCACCACCTACGAATGTATAAATACTCGGTGTTCAACTTTAAGAATGCAATATAACGACATCCTCACAACCTCACACAAATCTCATGACGACCTCCTTGGCCAATATGGCTAAATTCGAACTACCAAAATCAGCAAGTGGTCTCCGCGTAGTGCCTGACACTCAACTCGACCTACGGCCCGAATCCGAAATCATAAACGAACTCCGTTCTTTTCGGCCCATCACTTCAGAGAAGAATGTATGGGCTTTCTGGGATAAGGGTATCGATTATATGTACCCAAGCTACAGATGTACCGTGGTGAACTGGGTGAAAAAGCTCGGCAGGTCCTGGACAGTTCGCCTCGTAGATCTTGTCGAGGACTCACCTAATAACGTCTACAACTATGTCTCTAAAGACTGGTTTCCCGACTGTTTCGTAAACCAGACGATGGACGGCAGACATGCGGCACAACATTCTGCTGATCTTGTGAGGCTGCCGCTTCTATTCGAGCACGGAGGTGTCTGGATGGACGTCGGAAGTATGTTGCACACTCATCTCGACCTTTTATTCTGGGACCACCTCACGGCTCCGGATACCCCTTACGAGATGGCCGCCTGGATTATTACCGGCCAGATTAGAAAGGAATGGGGCAGCTTCGCAAACTACGTGATGGCTGCACGAAAAGGTTGCGTTTTTATCAAAAATTGGCACGACGGTTACAAACAGCTGTGGAAGGGACGCACCAATGCAGATGGCTTCCATAAAATGCCCCTAATACAGGACATTGGGCTTGCCGAGGGAATAGCCGATTGTGGTTTCGAGGGTAAGGTCAAAGAGATGAGCGACTACGTGGCGCAGATGCTCATTGGCGACCGTACGAGAAACCTGCACGATCTGAACACGGACTGGAACGGACGCGAGTATTACAAGAACAAGGTGTTTATGGTGGAAGGGATTCTGAACGGCGTGCTAGGTGCGATCAAGACAGAAGCCGACGGAGCTAAGCAAGTAGAGCTCTTCACTACTCGGCTCGACGAACCAGATGAAGCGAAGAGGCAGGCGGCCGAAGCCTTCATAATAGAGATGTTGGAGCAAAGCCACATGTATAAGGTATACCATAACTCGGCAGGCGGGCTGCCCGCGCTGGGAGACCTTGTGAAGAAGAAGGAATTCATGGATGCAGACCATAGGCCCGGCACCTTCGGCGAGATGTACAGGTATGGCACAGTCCACTGGGAGTCAACCCGTGGGGTGGAACGGCTGGTCCCGCAAATCGACGAGAAGGAGGAGCTAATTCGGGCCACACCTACGACTCCGGCATTGCGCAAATAGAAATAAGGGTTGGGACCACTGATTAGTATAGAGCAGGCCTTAATGTAACATTATTGATAGAAAGGGGGGGTTTTTTTTACTCGAAGATAGCATTCTAGTTCACGTCAATATACCTTATTATACGCAGTATTACATCGTTAAAACTCGTAGTTACACATGAAGTGGAATTTCGAGGCTAAATTGTGATATCGTCATTCTATACCTCTAAGGCTTGTAAATTTAGAGGCTACTAGGTATAATCAAGGTTGCCTCTAACGCGATGGTTGACTTCCAATGGTTTTCTATTGTAGACCAATACCGAGAGGGATGCACCCTCATGTGGCCGACGTGTGGCGAGTCATCGAACATCTCCAACGTTGTCTTGTAACCCCTATTCTTTGCTACCTCCGCCTGCGCTTCAACGTCTTCCCACCAGATAATGTCGTCATTCTTGGAGTACAGGTACGCCCTAGGAGCTTTAGGTGTTGCTATCGAGTGATCCAAGAACACACGGCAGCTATAGATCCCGGAAGGCTCCCTTCCAATGACCTTCTCAACGAGGTACATTGTATATAAAAATGCCCACCATATTCGCTGCGTCACTGTAAACGGCCATGGAAACCATTTGGCCGTTCCTACTGCCATTGCCTTCGACCACCGTCCTACTTCTTTGGCGAAGTCGAGACTGCCGGGTGTAGAATCGTTTATACATAGATGGTGCGGAAGAGCCTTGTCTTTCCCGTGACGCTCTTGGTAGGCGTTCAATGTTGCGGCAGCATAAATACCGCCGGTGTTAGACATTATGTGTAAAATGATTCTTGCCGAATCATCATCAGGAGTAGGGAACACGGTGTCGACAACAGGCATCATATCCTTAGTCCTTTGGTCGAGCGACTGGTATGTAGCTGCGAAAGTTGATGATATCACCATTAAGATGCGAGCCCCCGGGAACAGCTTATTGTAGCCATCAACATATTTGGCGACATTCTTTGGGTGGCCGTCACCCCATCCGTATATAATGATCGTTGTAGGGTGATCACTTGGTGTTTTCTCGGTGGTTTCGGATGAATCTTCATTACGGATGAAGATCCGGTCGGAGATAGGTGTAAACCCCGGTAGCCCCTTTTGCTTCCCTGCCATGTCTGCAAAAGAGAAAGTCGATAAGTATGAATAAACTGGGATTGATAGATATAGGCACAAGTTGCAACCAAAGTATATAGAGGAGATAGGTATAGTTAAATATAATATTTGAAACTTAGAAAATTTGAGGCCAAGTCGTTAACACATAATAAGTCCGATTCGGTTAGCGTGATTCAACGGGGTGGATAGGGGTAGAGTGTTGTCAGGCTTGTCAAAAAGTGTTGGGCGTGAAGGATGAATATAGATACCCTGCCAGCCGAGGTAAGTGGAGCTAACAAATACCCAAAACGGCTAATCAAAGAAGCTAAATGCAATACATTTACACATTCAAATATCTTAGGTCTGCTGGTTGGTGCTTAAGGAACTAAAGTTATTCTATTTCTGTTATAGATGGTTGGGGCATGCTAGCAAAGCACGACAGGTTACAGGATTCAACGATAGGCCTCGATGTAGGAACAGTTTCAAACCCATGAGAAGAATCGCGGGGATGAGATTTTGACTTATGATCTTACCGGTGGGAAATCCCGAGCCAATTCTGGTGTTGGCAAGCCAATCATTAGGAGGTAACTAAGTTATTTACTTCTTCATCGATCAATATAAGATACTTATTTCTTTGATTTAAATGAAAGTCTGAAATAAATGAAGTAGAGGCGGCGGCTTAATATTACAAGCCTCTCACCTGAGAATCAAAAACCCCCCATGCTTTTCTATCTTCTGATAGTAAGTGCAAGTCGAACCTCCAAAGTTTGGATATCTATCTCAACAAATCGCTTCAACAAGGCTTCATTACTAAGAGCATCCCTCACGTTATCATAAGAAGCCTTATTTTCGATGTTATTCTCGCCTGTTCCGCGAAATTCAAAGTCGCCGCTATGGCGATTCCAGATGGATACCCCATCTTGTGAGATGTGCAACTCCCACTGCCCGAGTCCCCTTCGTTGATCAGGCTCTTTGCCGATAACTAATAGTAGCTCCGTAGCTTTGTTGTACCACCGCATTGCTTCTGGCAACGTGTCGATGACGATGGGGCGTAAAAAGAAGTCTAGAGACACAGCAAGACGCTCAGGTTCTGATTTGACGACGAAAGGTTCACCTTCCATATCATTCGAGCCTCCTTGGTAGAATGCGTTCCATCTGTCGGGCGTGACATATAATGCATCGAGCTGGGGGTTGAAGGAGCGTGCGAAAATATGCTGGCCATTATCGCGTGGTTTGATCTTGATACCCTGTGGACGTTAGGCAGAGCCGACTATGCTAGAGGGTTGGGGATTCACAGTGCTCACATGTTCGTGGAACCAATACAGCGCAGTGATGCGAGCCTCGCGGCTGACGTAGAAAAGAGGTACATCAAATTGGACATCATCGTCCAACAGGTCGTGATGGAAGCACATTTCCACATCGCCTGTCTCTGGTACAAGACTCTCAGGTTCTAGGCGCCAACATCCTTCTTTGAAGAAGAATAGACTCGGCCCAGTGTGTTTCGGTAAGGTCTCGTGCAAAATTTGGTGGCGAAGTTCAGGCGTCAATTCGGGGAAGAGAAAGAATGTTGTCTCTGCCATGGCGATTTTGTTGTTAAGTGGTATTGGAGAGATAAGAGCTTCAGTGTTATTGTTGTTCTTGATATTAACACGCTACCTAGGTATATATTGCCTTATTGGTCGAGACTCGAAGTTCTGTTGTTTAAGATGATGTGTGAGGTATAAACACGTCAATGAATCACTACTTGTAAGATGGAAGGAAGGTATAAGAATGGCAAGTCCGGTATATACAGTACTATAATACGCGTCAAGTACCTATGGCATTTAATATCTCGGTAGTAATTACCTGATTAACTTGGAGTGTTCACAATCCTGAGCAGGAAACCAGTTTAAAGTATCGCCTCGAAAGATTATTTCCCCTTCCCCTTTCCTGAACTTCCTCTTCTCCGCTTCCCCCAAGTCCAATGCGCTTTCGGATTCTCAGCCAAAATTCTCATGGCCTTAGCATCAGCCGCATTTGGTCCCAACTCTCTTTCAACGGCTTCTACCGCAGCCAGCGCGTACTTCTGCGCCTTATTCTCCTCGCCGAATAGTGCAAAGTTGAGCGCCGCCCGCGTGTATACTCGTTCGAGATAGACATCCAGTCTCTCCTTTTCGTATAAATCTGCTAGCTGCGCTCCAGTGTCGGCAGTTACGATAGTCTGGTTGAAGTTCTCTAGGGCGGTTTCTAACTCTTCGATCTTCTGAAGCCTCGCATCTGAAGTAGCGACCTCTTCGTCACTCATACTGCAGTGAGAACAAGCGCATTCAAATCCCCAATTGCGTAGGCGAGAACGACGCTCTTCTCGTGGGAGCATTAGTTCGATATAATAGTTAATACTTAGTTCCTGACCAGGCTCTATATCACGCGCAGCAACTGTGATATGAGTCATGTTAGAGATACGATAGTGAATACTAAGTGATAATATTGTTGTTAGCCATTTGCATATTGAGCATTCGTCTCTAGAAATAGGCTTACTTTGGCCGGCAGTCGTGATTAAATCGAGATATCTCCGGATAACACCCCAGGTGGCCACCAGAGTCGTTTGCCCCGTCGATGTACATTTGAAAGCAGTTTGTCTCTATTTTATCGTAGACGTCTTTGCCCATCTGGCCCATGAAAAACTCTTGGCCTCTAGTAGGAAGCTTTCCCACGGCGAGGTCGTATAGAACATCCCTAGTTCCGGACTCCATTCCAACGTGAGGGGCGGTCTGCACCATCATCGTCGGGGAACGTATGAGAATAGTTTCCCCTTTATGTATTTTCCTACTAGCAACAATACCAACGCCCTTTCCGGGCACTTCTGCCACGTGGAATGGTAATGCTGCCGCCCCATTATTGCCCGTGACTGGGAAGTTGCTTGCAACTTTTGCATTTATTTCGCTAGTAATAAGTACGATGCCGTCACCCATGTGGTCGTTTGAGATGATGCATGTTTCGTTCACACAATGCTCTGGGCCTTCCCAATCCAAGTTGGCCTTCGAAAGTTTGCTCGAACTTCTCTCCTGTCCCGATTCAAACTTAGCACAAGTTCCGCCTGATATTTCACCTAATGGGCTCCAGGGACATATTGCAGTGAGTGAATTTGCTCTGGCAACCGCCACAAAAACTGCCAGGTAGCCATAGAGTCCGGTAACGCGCATGGTCTTATATGGGAGGGTCTGGAAGAAACCGCGCAAGATTATAATAGTAGGTTAACATTATGCTTATCATTTTATTCTAACGAGAAACCTCGGATATGAGAAGGAAAACCGTGTTCATCTGAGGGCGATGATAATAAATCGTGATCATCGAAGATATTTCCTTCTCTTTGGCCATATACAGCTTTATCCGACCCGCAGCACAAGACTTGGGAATCCCGCTACAACTCTCAAGCAAGAAACTAATCCCTTGGCTATTCCTCTAGTTATCACTTTCCTGTAGCTAATTACCCTCTGTAGAGATATTGATTACCTTCACTGCCTCGTTATTGTAGCCTTTTGGGGAATAATCGTTGGCCGAGCTTGTGGAATATCGACCATACAACTGCGAGTATCGCAATCTAGTTACGCGATGTTCGAACAACCAACGCATCATGATCGATAGGCGGAGTCAGAAGTTTCTGCCATAGTCTTACTATAGCCATATCAGTGAATCAATCTGCCACGCTTGAATTAACTTTCATATCGTCGGACAGTTCACATAGGCCACGGAGTAGAGAGCTTAACACAAAAGTTAAGTTATCAAGAGCTATAGCAAGTACAGTATTGAGAGTATTTGAGTCCATAATCCTTCCCGAATCAAACACAGCAATACAGACCAATATCTCAAGTCTTCACTGCTCTAGCCTTAGTAAGAATGTAATCGGAGAACCCTTGGAGGGAATCCATCATGCATGAATAAGAGTACCTAATTACGCCACCTTCACGGGCATGCTTGTTATAAACACTTGCCAACTTCCAAACATAAGATGACTTAGACCCCAATTCCAAGACGTCCAATCTGTCATACTGCTCCCTGACTAGGTAGCAATGATGTCGTTAAGAATCATTATCCTGTTTTCCCAAGCTAAGCTTCTTCACCCAGCTCCAAGCCGACTTCTTCGGCTTCTTCTTCACCTCCCTAACGTTACCGATTCCGAAGCGCTTACACTGGCCCTTCGTCGCGAGGAAGCACTCGTCCCCCTCCCAGCAGCACATCCCCGGATACCACACCGCGGCGCTGTTCGTCAAGATCTTCAGCGTCTTGGACCCTTGCGTGCGCACCGCGACGTTGGTCCCGGTGAGGACTCGTTCGTCGTCGTCGAGCTGCATCTGCCCGTACAGGAGGACGATGATGCATTCGTCGGGCAACGGTGCTGACACCTCACACGGTCCTCCGTCGTGTGATTCCGTCTCCGAGTACGCCGGGATACTTTCCCATCCGAGCTATAGCCACATTAGCCCTGGCCTTTTTCTTTTTCGTGTGGTGGCGAAAAAATAACGCCTAAAACAAAACATACGTGAGCGGTGATGAACTTGGCCTTCTCACTCAACTCATTACGACTGTTTAAGCCTTCGCGAAAAGCTTTCCTATCCGGAACGTCTGCTTTTCCTACGATCGTCATGTTTTCTCCTGTTCAAACTAGAGGCTACCGGATGGCAATGTTTTAAAATGAAGGATTGAGATGCACGAGCCGTGCTGGACTTTCTAGGGGCTTAGGCATCAGGCTGTAATGTAAAGAATACCCCGCCTGCGATGGCAATGATACCTACTTCGCTGCATACTACGTAGTGTAACGAAACATGCCGGAATTCGGAGAAGGTAATGGTTGGATAAACAAGCTTTCATAGGACTTTAACAACTGCGACACATGTCATATTCTAATCGGTGTAGAACTGCGGTTGTTCGCGGAGGACTGCAGTGCACAAAGGATTGGGAAAGCCGAAGTATCACGAGCGAGAAGCAATTGCGAAGGAATAGTATAATTATCACGTAAAAGTATATGAGCTCAGGGCAATCAACATCGCTACAAACACGCGAAACGCCTAATAGTCCTTAGAGCTATATTCTAAAGTCCCCCTAGGACTTCCGTGACAAGACTCTCTAGCATCCGGAGGCCAAACCACTTCGCCACGCCTTGATATACACCTAGGCGCCTGACCACCTCACCCCTCTTGACGCTCTCCGCCCACGGACCGCTACATGTACAATGCTCCATGAGGTCATTCAACCGCACGCTGCCGCACCGCTCGCACTTTAGGTCTTGCGTGCTCCACTCCACCACCATACTCTGCACATCCGCCAGTAACCTCTCCTCGATCTTCAGTCTGTCCAGCTCAGCATCGCAGAATGGACACTGCCAGGTCTTGGCTGCCGCTGCCCTCCGTATTTCCGCCTCGTTGTCACCGGCAAAGGTATTTAGGTCCGGTAGTAGGTGCTCGTCGCGGCACAAGTCCCAGTCACGGGCGAGGGTGCACTCGTGACAACTCCACTGTGCTACTTTGAGGCTCTCGCTCGGATTTGCGAACGCACCCTCTTTACTGAACTCGCGCACTTCAAATAGTGCGAGTAATTCTTTCCTTAGCAACCGCGCTTCCATGGTGATGTTCTTGTCTAGTGACAGGACTTGCATAAGGTTTTTTACGAGCTCAAGTACTGCATTGCGATTTTTCATGTTCTTCAAGTGGCTACCTGGTAGAACCGGGAATGACCAGTCCGACGCTAGTTCTGGATGAAGGAGCTCACGAGCTTGGGTCGAGACGAGGGTCCTAATCTCCTTCTTGAGTTGTTTTTCGAAATTCTTGCCGAGGATAGCCTGCGAGATATCACCATCATCATCTTGAGAGCCGTTGCGCAACGGTAGCTGCGTGAGACGTGGCGTTGCATCGGGGTCTCCGTTCACCATCAAGGGCCGTTTGAGTCCGTGCATAAGTTGTATAAACTCAACAACCCAATGCTGGAACGTGTCCTGTAGTCGAACAGGTAGGAAGGTCTTTATCTGCCAGTTCATGATAGTCTGTAAACTCTGCTGTTCGGCTTCAACAACTTCCTGGCAAGCTTTCCCGCCGTAGTTAAACTCATCATACCACACCAGGTAGTCCCAATACTCCTTAATTTCGAGATCAATAAAGTGAAACAGCGGCTTGCTCTTAATACTCTTCAGTATGTATTGGCTGTATGCATATGCGTTGCCTACTTCTGACTTTGTTGTCTGTAGAAGTAGTCGATTGGAATTCGCAAACACAACTTGGGAACCGACCCGACGGAAGTCCGCCATAAGCTGCTGCATGGCTTTGCGGCTCATCATCTGCACATAATATTGTAATGCTCGGTCGTACATGAAAGAGTCAGGAGATTCGACCCATCGTACTAGATGCTGGACGAGAATATCGGCCATAGGACTGCCCTTGCATGCTTCCGCCCACCAAGACTTGACCATCTCGCGTAGTACAAGTACCCCGGCATTGGCAAACGCTGATTCAGAATGCAAAACCTCGTTACCATCTGATGGTGCAGAGTCTGCAGCGGGATTGAAGGAAATTGAATCTGCGCCTTCGAGTTCGTTGATCAGGGCTGATGTAAGTATAGTGTTAATAGCTAGATTCCGAACTTCGATATCGATACAAACTGATGCATACGTCCCAGGGGTATTGATCGAGGGCATTGTGACTGTATCAAGTGGACCCGTCACATCATCTTGCTCATAGCCAGCATGATCTGGCCTAGGGCCCGGCGACCACCATAGCACTACGTTATTTAATTGTAGCCGGCGAGCGTATGCAACGTCGATAAGGAACCTCGGATCGTCGCGCTCTAAGTTACATAAGGGTATATCGCCATACCTTGCTAGGGCTGTGAGGTGAAGAATCCACGACCCAAGATTGAGGTAATGAGAAACAAGACGTTTGGCGACAACGGATTGCCAGCCAAGAGGGGGAAGAGAGCTGTCTGCTTGGTCGTATCGAAGAGGAAGAATAGGGAACTCTGCGAGGGTGGGGATATCATGAACTAGTAAGCTTTGCTGAGATGACTGAATAACAAGCATGAGAGGCTTCAACTCATCCTTCTTCATCTTCTTGATCAGATCACTGATCTCAAGGTGTGCCTTTCGTCGCGTTGTCACCTGAGTTACCTTGAACGTTACTTTCTCCTGGTAGGAAAAGCATTCTTGCCAATTGGTACCCTCCCCTTCTTGTCGCCTCTTTGCAAACATCTCACTATAGATCTTTGTGACGTTAGGTAGGTCTTGCCCGGCGTCCCTGTTCTTCTGAAGGATGACTATATGGGCTTCGTCCCTAGTTGAAGAGAATACACCAAAAATCTGCCTCTCACCCGCGGTGATATGTGATATGTAGAGGTATGCAAGTGGATTGGAGTCTAGGTAGGCCTTGGGTTTTGTCGGCTTTATTAAACTCTTAAGATCGAAACCTTGATCTAAGCCATTTCCGAGTACACCGGGCTGGCTTTCGTCAATGGTACATGAGTTGCCAAGTTGAAGTACTGCTCGAACGTTTAATGGGACCTGCTTCTCATATACGCCTTCTACACTCGGGTGATTGAACAGCAATGAAAACTTTTGGGATTCGGCAAAGTAAATATCCTCAGGGACGGTGATTTTGAACAAGTGTGTCGACGAGTGTCCATTTGGCAAGGTATGATAGACTTGCTCTACTTCGCAACCCTGAACTTCGATGTCGGGGAGATCCTTGCCCTTGAGGTTTAGGAACACCTGCCGTGAGACTTTGATCTTGAGCGAGTGAACCTTTGCGTCGATCAAGACGAAAGCAGCTACCACGCCTGGATTGTCAGTTGTTCGGAGCTGAAGTAATTGCCACGTATTCCTGAACGTAACTTCTGCTCTCTGGCGGAATGTCTGCTGGATGTTGCCGCTCGCATTGCCACGGCGGTCTCCAAAGAGGTGGCGTCGGCGGATTCGAGCCTGCTTTTGGATCTTCCACTTTTTCTTTTGATATTCCAAAAATGCTGGGTAGTCATCAGAGGGATTTGGCATCTCCTTCGGGAGAGCCGCAAAAGGATCCGTATTCTCCTTTTCTGGTTCAGGGGATTTTCGCTTTGTTGCTGTTGATGGGGGCTGGGATGCGTTGATGACTGCCGTTGTACTCTTCGGCTTTAGTAACCTGGTCCCGAAATCTTCGAGATCGTCTACCCTCGAACCTGTAAGATTTGTTATATCTTCTAGAGGTCCCTTGGTACTTGTGAAAAGGTCGGTCAACTTTTTCTGCTTCATTTTGTCGTCCTTGATATTGATCCGCCGCTGAAGCCAGTCTGGGTGTGCCACTCGCGGGACTGGGTTACGAACTTTTTGTAACGCGGCAGGAATGGTGATCAACTTCTGGATAACGGAACCCAATCGTTCTAAATAGTAATTCCAATCTAAAAGCGCCCTGGGATCAGTATCGGCGGGTTCTTCCTTGAGCCACTTTGTCAAGTATGTTCGCTTGATCTCCGGTGCGGCAGAGAAGATGGCGACTGGAACAGCTCGTTCGGTAACTGGGGCATTCCGAGGTCTAGCGCAAATAATATACTTGCAATTAAGACCCTTATCTTTAACCATCTGCTCACCTAAGAACTCTGCCAGCCGTTTGGCCGTCGTGATGGATGTGGACTTCTGGCTTCCGTATTCCTCGAGCGTCTTAGACATGCTTCTATTTTCGCAAATGAGATCGATGAGTTCCTCATCAGCTAGTGTCGAACCCTTATTGTCAAGAACGTCCAGCCATCTGTTTGCGACTTTTGCTACTGCAGCGTAACACTCGGTGAGGGTAGTTCCCTCTAAGAAGAACTTGAAGATTTGCTGCTGGAAGATCTTAATAAGCTTGAGTTCACCTCTTCGTTTCACCTCGAATCCTTTGAGCTCAGCCAGACTACCGTCGTCATTAAAAACAGCATATCTTTTCTTCAAGTTCTTGTCTTCTTCTTTCGATGTCGGCAAAACCATCGCCTTGTAGGGACCGTCAACTTCGAAGAAAATTGAATTATCACTATGCGTTTCATATTTAAACGTTTTTGGATCAACCAGAGTCTGATATTGGTGATTCGTGAATTTGGCGTGGACAAGATGGTTTAACATGACGCAAGGATATGAGATAGCACATTTCTTGCCGTTTTTAAGTTTAAAGACGAAGTTTTCCGGAAATGTCGCAGGCAACATGCACCAAATACCATCCGTATCGAGTTCAAGCGGTCGGCCAAGGCGTTCGACAAGAGATCGCGCCAACTGAATGATGGTTGCGCCAGTTAAACACGTCACACCGGCCATTTCCATAGAGTACCATCTCGAACCCTTTCGCATGACATAGCCGTAGAACGAGTTTAAAATGACCTTGTGCGCAAGCTGTAAAGAGTCGTAAAGGACAATCATTTTCTTCGCAGAGTCAACCTCTGTGCTTGGTGCTCCAGAAGACTTTAGAGACTCAGTCTTGCCTTTCCAGACTTTCGCTTGTCCTTTATAATCATATCGACGATCTCTGAAATCTCTGACGGTGTCGATATAGAAAGGATTTTCTCGTTGACAAATAATTGCCTCCCGGACAATAGTGGTCGAATCGCGGATCTTGTGATAGACCTTTTGACTATACATCTGCAACCGTTTCCTGATGAGACCGGCTTGTTCATCTTCTGGCAACTCTTGAAAAGTTCGCATAGGTCCGCCAGGTCGTTTACCTGGAAATTTCTCGTTTTCAAGCGCATGCCGAATCATGTTGTACTCGTCTCGCTTCGCAGGTAGGTACTCTCCTCTCCAAGCCCAGGGCATTCTCCTATCGCAAGTTTTACCTGGGCGGTTGAAATCGCAGGCAGCGCAGTCCGACTCCTGAATCATTGAGTCCGGCTGCAATCGATTTGTTGTCATAATGTTAGGGTACATAGAAGCAACATCTAAGTGGTAAATCAGAGGTCGCTCGTTTCGGTTGGGTGTCTCTTTGAGTTGTAACAATCGCGATGCAATCTGCTCTTTAACTTCATCATAGTTCGTGACATCATCTAGAGACTTCTTTTCTTCGATTTCGATCACGAATTTAAGAGCCGCATCTAAATCTCCGAGGAGCTCGTCCACCGCACCGGGATCAACAGCAAAATTCACCGGAATATCTGCTCGAAACACACCCGCCTCGATACTTTCGACGTGGCCGCCGACATAAGTTTCGGCATCGAGTAGATGACCATCCCAAAAAGACTCTTTGGGTGACATGTGCTTATTGGGTAGGATGATTTCGTGCTTGTATGCCTGCACCATCAACAACATCTCACACAAAGTACCCGTTCCTTTGCGTAATACGTCATCGCCTCCTAGGGGTAGAATTGTACACAACGAGAAGATGAATGGGTGGATATACTTCATGTATAGGTAGTACGTAGCGACGGCATCTGAAACTGAATACTCTGCCAGCGTCTGAGGCCTTTCGCTTGCGTATGGTGTCATAAGCTCCGGATCGAGTTCGTCTGGATCGTACCCAAGCTTGGCAACGGTAACAGCCTTCAAACCTCGACTACCCTGGGGCAAGTAAGAGTCTCGGTTGACCCACGATAGACAGTCCATATGGACGCCATACGTGCACTTGTAGATGTCTTCACTATCCTTCTTCCATCCAATCTCTCGGTACATATCGATACCGTTAATGCTTGCTCTCGTTTCTACAAACGGCCAATCGAAAAAGTCTCCGTTGTACGTGGCGATGACGGTCGGTCTCGCCTCTTTGACGTGTGAGAAGAACCTCTCGATAACAGCTTTCTCGTTAGGCTCGTTAAAAATCATGAATGTTCCAGGGTATTCGGGTTTTGGGGTGTATTCGAAATCTGCAATGTCCTCCGAGACGATCTCCCGATTCGTGATGAGGAAACCTTGCCCGTCGATCATATACGACATCATCATGATCTGATCTATGGCGGCGTCGGGGAATTTGAGAGGGGCCTTTGATGTCTCGATATCAAAGGCCATTACTACGGGGTCGGCTTGAACGATGTGTTCCTCATTAAGCGTTATAGTGGTAATACCGTGCTTTACTTCCACCCAATACCACTTTCCTACTCGAATATCTAGGTAACATTCTCATTAGCATGATATAGTAGCGGGAGTTAGTGATATATACTCACCCATATCTATCATTACTCTTACGTGGTACGGTACGTCGTACTCTCTAATATCGACCACGTAGTCGCTAGCGTCCGCAAAAGAAGCATTATGTCGTCCGTCGTTATCTCGTGAATCATCAAATAGGTCGAATCCCGCTTGTTCGCTATATTTTATGTTAGTATCTAGATATTTGAGTAAAATCCTTCTGGAAATAGGGAGACTAACGAAGCAACCTCTGCATAAACATCCACCGTGCCCATAGATTTCTTATTTTTCTCCGCTATAGGCATTATATCCCGCCTCGCATTCATTAAATCTTGTACGTTCCTAAACCGTAACTCGAGGAACGTCCTTCTATATCCAAGAAGGTGATTCGGCATAGACAGGTCCTCCTTCTCGACTCGTCTAATGCTATGTACGACACCGCCGCCTGGCACTCGTTTTAGCCATTCCTCGACTTCCCCCTCTCTCCCTTTTCGGCACGCAATGACGAAGTATGGTTCGTATTCGACGGTTGCCTTGAACGTCTGTCCGTCTTCCTCGATAAAATAGCAGTCTAATGCCGCTCTCCCACCAGGGGCTCGATCGTCGCCAAGCGCTACGGTCGTCGGTTGGACATTGACAAGCCATCCCTCTTTTCTTCTACCCGACTCGTATCTAGCAAACCCCATAGACTCGTCAATTTGCTGCGCAAGGAGTGCCCGTTCCGCTTTCTCGTCGGCTGATGTAGCCTCGTTGCGTGTAGTTGAAGCAGCAAATGTTCGAGTCCGGCTGCCACCATGGTAGGCATTCTTGCCTCCCCGGCGAGCATAGCCCTTTTGAGGGCGGCGTAGAGATGTGTTGGGCATAGTAGAATCGGTAGGAGAGGAATGGTTTTAATTATGGCCTGGCGCAAAAGTTGAAGGAATTGTCGATTATAGTGAGGGTATCGTTATAATGCAGGGTATTTTGGGCGTCATTTGCGACGGCAGGGTTCAAATAAGATAACCAATCCAATTGAGATTCCGAAGATTACCTTATTGAAGTACGGAATAGTCGATGTTATAGTCTTCGAGTTTGCTATTTGGTAAAGTTAGTAGTTGTATCTAAAAGAATCCATAATCGATATGGAATGGGCTACAAAACCCCTGTTCCATTAAACGCGAGACGCGTCTTTGCATATGTACGCGTTTTATGTATTACCATTGTCGCGTTCCTTAAAGTGCCCCTATATATGCATAGTAGTACTCAATTCGCTTTACTCGTTTAGTTGCATACTCCCAGTGGGGCCTCTGCATAGCGGCATCATAGCTCCAAATCGCGATTTTTATATTCCGTAGTCAAAATATCGAACCATAGAAATTCAAGCTCAGGTAGTATTTTGAGCGCCAGTGATGGCGCAAGACGACAACGAGCCGCCTAGGGTGCGAGGCCCTCCACCTGGGGCAATAGGTCCTCCTGACCATGTCAAGGAACATCAGATCTACGAAATATTCCCCGAAATATTCCCCAATTCAAAACCCGAAAGCCATGCGGGCGAATCCACGGAGGGGCAAAAGAGCACGCCTGAGCCCACGATCAAGGACGGGATTCAGTCCATAAAATCCGACGATTTCCTCAATGTACACAAAATCCCGTGTGCCCGCCAGGGCCTTATGACGGGTATCGCATCGGGTGCGGCGGTGGGGATGGGTCGATATTTCGTAGGAGGTACCTAAGCGTACTACTTGAGAGTTCAGAATGCGCTTAGACTAATTATGTCCTCCAGGGACGGTACCAAAAGCAACAAACTGGGCCTTTGGTGTATTTTTCTTGGGCTCCATAATCCAATGGGAATACTGTCGTGCGCAACGAGCGAACGAGCGCATAGCCATGGCGCGCATAGTTGAAGTCATGGATAAGAAGCAAGCCGAGAAAAAGACACAAGCTGAAGAAGCTGCAAGGTTAAAATTGGAAGCAGAAAAAGCAAGGCAAGACGCTGCTACAAAGAAAAGCTGGTATAAATTTTGGTGATCTTAGTCGACCTGCAGGCATTACAACGAAAGTGAGGAATATCTACTAGTTATACTATAGAAATTCGGGGTATGTCGCTGAGGTCTGCTCATATGCTATCCTTCGAAACCCATAAATCACGTATCAACATTGACGCTTTCGACAGTCTTGGCTCTGTTGGTGTGACCTATAGCAATACCGAATCCGAAGCTATGTAGTTTTAGATTATTTCGCAAAAGCATAAAGAAAGTCGAATAGGTTTCAAATAGATAAAGGCAACCTTGCCATCATGTCGGCCATTTAAGGCTATAAATCCGCGCCAGAGCTATTCAACGCCCTATTAATGAAATCATTGCCGGCTATATCCACTTAACGCCCCAAGTCCAGAATTATCGTATTGAAATTCAAGTGGTAGAAGACATATGCTAGCGTCAAGTCGTGACCACAGTAGTCGGCTCTGCATCCGAGAAACGCACTCGTGCCATAGAATGTTTCCTCTCCAATTCTGCGACAGTGCCAATCCGTTGTCGACGACGTTGACTTCTCTTCGCTCTAGCTTCGCTCTCCTCGCGTTTTCTATAGTCGGCCAGCTGCTGTCTTCGTTTCTGCGCCCGCGCGTATGCCAAAGCAGGAGTTGGTCTGAAGCCGATACCATTGATACCAGTACCGTCGTCGTCTTTATCCTCGGGGTCATATATAGTAATTTCATCCTCGTGCCACGTAAGCGCGGCACGAACGGGATCAATGATGATAGGATCCTCCTCGGCCAAGGCTTCTGTCGTCTTACGCTTTGCTAAGGGAGGGGTGCCCGATCGTTTTCGAATACGCGACTTAGATTCCGATAATCGGTTGATGGACGGATACGACTTCTGCAAGCGGCCTGAACCTTCTGTCTTTGCTGTCCTCAAAATAGCAGGGTCCACGGCTGTCTGTAAAGTGAATCGAGGGGACTGGGTAGGCTGGGGAAAGTCGGGATTCGCCACGTCTACTTCTCCCCCCAACCCTACCTCAGGAGAATTTCGGAGTTCGGTGAGGTCAGGCAACTTGACACGCTTACGCGATGCAGTATCGTCATCGTCAATCTGCATGTCTTCGATAGACGTGCTACTTCTGATACCTCCATCAAAATCGAAGACGGTGAGCTCTGGCGAAAACCTCGGGCTATCAATTGCAAATTGGGGACTAGCCTCATCTAATCCCGTTCCCGTTCTCGTTCCCATAAAATCATTGCCATCGACCCTGTCGTTATCAATTACCCCGCCCCCACTTCCAAGGGCCAGTTCTTGGAACTTCTGAGCAACCTTACTTCGAGGACTACTGTTACCATCTTCAGGGGCATCGTTTCGAGGAATCTCCACTGGTTTCAGGGTCGGAGCTTGAAAAGAGAAGGTGGTCTTAGGCAGACTATAAGTATTTGGAGAAGAGTTGAAAACGCGTTGCTCGTTGAGCACATCGTCGCGCTTACGTTTGGGGGTAGCTTTTAGCGGTGACGATTCAGCCATGGTTCGTCTAACCCTTTAATTTGCGAACTTCAAAGTAACTGAGCGTCTTTGAAGCTCTAAAGTAGAGCCTACAAGACTTAGAGCCGGCCGTCCATTGGTGTATTATATTCGTTAGGTATGTAATCGGAGAAATTTAGGTAAGCATCTTGGGGTTGGGTTGTATGTCTATTCCTTTGAATCGGGATCGGAAATGATGATGAATAGCAGGTAATCGTTTTGAATATTAGGTAGACAATTGTGAATCAGGAGGGTTAGCAAGGCCGGTGAGTTGGTTGAGCAGCTACATAGGTACCTTAGGTTAGGTACCTTTAGGTATCCAATGTACGGTAAGCATTGGACGGCACCTGCAGCCGGATATAGGGTAGGTAAGTACTTCCACGTGGGTATTAGGAAATAGCCACGCAGTGCAGGTGTACCAGATGCTAACGCGGGTGCCTTAGCTTGCCCTTTCCTGCCTAATGAGAAGGAGGATGCCGTAAGGCTAAGACAATGATTGGCCCAAAATATTATTTGCCCGGACGGCAGATACTTCCAAGCAGAATTCAAGATTGCATGGCATGGCATTTAACAAGACATTCTTGTGGATTCAAGCACAGTTCAAATGCCCACACGCATCTTTTAGTCAGGTACATTCTTTACTCTACCGAATTATCTCTAGTTGAATTCTCTCAAGATTCCATTCCAAATGCGATAGATAAGGTGCCTTGTAAATACATAAACTACTCTGCAAGCGTTTAGTGGTAATTGCATATTGAGATTATATCCCATTAACCCCCAACCAATTCAAATAGGAGTTTGGCTCTGGGCCTATTCTTGTTACTTCCATACATGTACGTAGGTAGGTTAGGTACATATGCACATCTGTAATACCCACATATTGCGAATCCGGTGGTACGGGTCCAGCAGATTAATGTCGCCACGCCTCAACAGCGTAGGAATCGATCGCGATAGCGTAGGAAAGTAAAGAAATCGCGACTTACCTCGGTGGAATGATGAGGTAAACGGAGTCGTATAATCCGCTTGTACGACCGTGTACGACCAAGTTACCCCGCCATACGTACAGAAGGTACCTCCTACCTTACTCATATGTACTTACTATGTACCCCACCATCTCATGATGGCTTTAGGTTATTGTATGTAGCTTAAACAGATAAACTTAGAAACTCTCCCCACACTTGTCACTTGTCTCGTGAACATCGTATATAGCCTGAATACCAATGATCTCGCTACTGAGGCCGAATGTTCTAATTTATTTCCCATATCTAGCTGCCATCCCGCCCTGAGTCTAAGAGTCTATTTCGAGCCTCCAGCTAACCCCCACATCCCTCGAATTCATATTAGCACCAGCAACAACTTGACAACTGTAGCAAACACCACCATGGCCGACGAGATCTCCTTCCTGCCACTCGGCGCTATTATCCAATCCTTTAAGGTTGGTGGTCTTAACATTGTCCAAGGCTTCCCGACCCAAGAGCTTTATGCCGAGCATAACAGCTCGCACTTTGGCGCCACAATTGGCCGTGTCGCAAACCGCATCTCGGGCGCCAAGGTCGAGGGTTTGAACGGAGGAAAGTCATATAGCTTCGTTGCCAACAACGGACCGAATACCCTGCACGGCGGAAATGTGGGCTGGGGTAAGCGGGTATGGAAGGGTCCGACCCCGGTGGGCGTCCGCAAGAACATTCCCGGAATCGAGGGCGAGCTTAAGGGTGGAGAGACCGTCGAGTTCTCGCTTATAAGTGAAGACGGAGATGAAGGGTTCCCCGGTGAGGTTCTAGTCAAGGTCTTCTATACGGCCGGTAAGGTTACCGAGAACGGAAGAGAGGTCACAGTTCTTAGCCAGGAATACGAGGCTGAGCTAGTAGGAGGTGCGGAGGAAACTATCATCAACATGACAAACCATTCGTATGGTCACCTAGATTTCTACGGACAGGAGCAAGGATGCATTATGCTAATATGAATAGGTACTTTAACCTCTCGGGCAAGCCAACTATCGAGGGAACCGTGGTCCAACTTTGTACCAATTCATATCTCCCTCTCGATGAGTGGGGTATCCCAACCACCGGACCAACTGCGTACTCCAAAGTCGCAACAACGACTCCTTTCACCCTCGGCGCCCAGGAGCCGGATTTCGACGACTGCTTCATCGTCGATCCCGCCGCTTCTCCCAGCTCTGTGCCGATAGACACACGAGGTCTTCCTCTCACTAAACTTGTTTCCGCTCACCATCCAGAAAGCAAAATCCACCTAGAGGTTCTTAGCACGGAGCCCGCATTCCAGTTCTATACCGGCAAGTGGATTGATGTGCCGGCTGTAGGCGGAGCTCCCGCGCGCGGGCCGCGCAGCGGTTTTTGCGTGGAACCCAGCCGGTTTGTAAATGCTATTAACGTTGATGATTGGCGGAGCCAGCAGCTTCTAAAGAAGGGTGAGAAATACGGAGCCCGGATCGTGTACAAGGCATGGAAAGAGTAATCAGCACTCCAATGGTGATGGATAACAAGAGGTTATTGGAAGACGGGAGCCGCTTATATGTGTTATATTAGCCACTCAAATCTAATTGAATATCTACAACTCTTCTTCTTCGTCTTCCTCAACCTCCTCCTTAGCTGGCGCCTTAGCCTCCTGTTTTCTATACAGTGCAGCCAGAAACTCGCTACTACTAGCTTCTTCTAACCCTTTATCCTCACGCTTTTTGAGAAAACGCGGGAATCGTAAACTAAGCCCTCGATCCTGGCTCACTAGTCCAATAGCCGCAGTGTATGTCGGCGATAATGTAATGTCGGCAAATGCCATCTCCCACACCTCCTGAGGCTCGAACCAGACATCCGGCTCGGGACCCGAGTACTCTACGAAGCTAGGCTTTGTCTTGCGGACATTTTTATATTTCCTCCCGTCATTCTCGCCCGCCTCGTCACTACTCCTATCTTCTTCCCCTTCGCCTTCCCTAACGCCATTGGAATCCGACTGTTCGTCGCCGGAACCGTCGTCGTAGAATTTCTTATTCGCCTTGTAGAAGGCATCCGTGAACCCGGACATGCATTTGCACACGACGTCCAGGGTCCCTGTCGCGTCGTTGCGAACGGCCATAAGCATAGGCGACCACCATTTCGCCTTGCGGCCTTGCCCATGCCATCCAGCTACCGGTATAAGATCTAGCGTGTCAAACGAACTGCTATAGTCCTTCTTCACTTTAAGCCACGAGTCAAGGCGCTTATCGGGCTCGTAAGTGGCAAGCAGTGGTTTCCGGCGTGGAGATGGCTTCTTTTCTTGGTCACCATTGCTAACTCCCTTTCCTTTGCCTTTTTTCCCTTTCGACTTTGTCGGTAAAGTGAGGGTCTCGCTCTCTTCTAAATCTTCCGCCGCCCGATTAGGATCCTCTGAGGCGTCGCTAGGGGCGGGCAGATTGGGCAGGTTATCAAGAATCTTAACCATAATGCCCTCACATTTGTTCTCTACAGCTTGCTTGAAGAAGTCCAGTACACCTTCGGAATCCTGCGACGTAGCGTCGAGGTTCTTCACCCAGGTAAAGTGGTGCGGTATTTCCGTAAATAGAGATCGTAGCAACGTACGCCGCTCGCGGAACGGCCGGTCTAAGAGCGGCTGGCCGTTCAGGTACATCAAGTCGAACGCGAATAGGCAGACGTCAATTGTGATGCTCCCAATTGCCACGTCCTTCCGAGCTCGGTTCGTGAGTGTTTGGAAATTCTTTAATTCCCCTGTTTGGCGATCCACTGCAACCACTTCACCCTCCATGATAAAGCTGCTGACACCCTCCCCACGCAGCTTTGGCACTAATTCTACGAGGTCTGGATATTTGTCGGTCATGACCTCCAGATGCCGGGAAAATATTGACACCTTGCCCTTATCATCGCAGTGGACCTGCGCTCGTTGACCATCATATTTGAACTCGCATGCGAAATCTCTCCCTTGCAACTTCGTAAGCATCTCAGATAGATCCCTTGTAATACTCCCCAGCATTGGCCTTAAAGGTATATGTAGCGTCAGATCGCACCTCATTAACAACTCATCACACACTCCTATTTGGAGCATAGCAGGGATGAGATCATTATAGTTGGGACGCCTTGCGAAACAAGCTTTGACGATCTCCTCGGCTCTACCCCATACGTCCGCGAGCTCTTCTTTTTTCAATGCCTTAAGCTCGTCGACAGATTTCAAGGGAAACTCCGCGTCAGGCGGTCTAGAAAGGAGAAACGCGCGCGATAAAGCGATTAGCATTGTGGTTTTCACAGCGCCAATACGCAGGTGTTGGCATAGCGTGCGGACAACATATCGACTCTCCTCGCCACCCCGAGCATCTTGGAGTAATCGATCCACGATACGCTGTTTCACCTCGCCGCTACCCTGTCCCTGGCTACTAGCTACTTTTACTAGAGACTGATAGACGCCTTTTATCGTAAGCGGCTTTGGCTTCCGCAGTGTGAAGCTCTGTTTCTTTTTCGCTTCGAAGGCAACGTCTCCCGCATCGCCGTACTTGTCGTAAATTGCCTTCAGAGATCGATTATCCAAGCCGCAGACATTCTTCAAGGCCTTCGAAATCGCTGAGCCTCCTAATCCGAGTTCCAGCGAGATATAAGGTGGTGATATTGAGTTTGTGGCAAGCCAGACCTACTTGCTGTAATTAGTAGGACATATAAACATAGATAATAAACAGGTAACTAACAGCTGGCAGTAGGCTCTCAGAATCCCCTTCTATAAGGACGCGGAGGAAATTAACGAGCGTATCTACTATCTTAATTCGGCTAGATGTGCTGTTGATGAGTACGAAACAGCGCGTCAGAAGTGCATATGACGCATCACCACCATCGCTGGCCCAATGTTCCTGAAGATGCTGTATATACTTCGAAGGGTCGAATGTAAGAGGACTCTCGTCAAATAGTATGTTCTCCGAAACTATGTCCACAGAAGCTGTAACAGATTGTAACGACAGCGTGCCTTTACCCTTATTTTCAGCTTTCTTTACTCCTACTAGGGGATCCGAGGATGTTGGTGGAACATTAACAGCTTCAGTGATATTGTCCGATTTAGGCGGATTAGGGACCGCTGCCACGGCTGAAGATCCGGAGGCGTGCCCCACAGCTTCGGCCTCCTTATTCCATTCAGCCTGGAGCTTCCGTGCGAGCTCCTCGTCCGTCATCACCTGATCCTGCACAGGACCTTCATCGTTCGGTGTTTTATCCTTTGGCGTTTGATCATTAGGGCTTTTACTTTCCTTCTGCTTAGAGAAGAAATACTCCAGACCTCTAGAAGGTAAACCAGATGATTTCGAGTTGCCACTATTCAGCTTCCGCTTTTTCGTTGGACTAGACATCTCGATCTCGAGCCCGTAACGAAACACTGCATGGATATATAGATGCAAGCGCTACTTAACCATTAGAATATATTTAGCTCATCTAATTGGTTTGACGCGCCTTCCTCGCATCCCGTAGTACGCTCTAATCAATGATGAGAAAATATTGATGATGTCGTTGACAGGTACCGGTAGCATCGCTGTGTTGCATTTGTAATAAAACATTCAATTATACGAGAAATGCATCCCTCGAGATTACCTAGGTAGAACACAGGGTATGGTGGACGGTTAGGACATTTGTGCCAAAATCAAAAAAGTCGGTTGCACTATGCCTAATAAAGTAATGGTAACGCTAAAGGTACAGTATAAATTCGATTGTTTACGCTGTATACATAATTAATAATTTTTATAAGGTAATAATATCTTTTTTTATCTTTTGCTATACCATAATAACTTAACGAATATCTATCCAATTTTTTTTTTAAAAATGATAATATTTTAATTAAAAAATAACAAAAATTACAGTTTAAACCGCAGGTAATTTGACCTAATATTGGGAAAGATATTTAAAACGCTGTATAATTATGTAATAATATACGGGCAACCCTTTCTTACTAATCTTTAACATCAACCAATCAAATTAAAAGATTTAATTGTCAATTTAATCTTCACTTGCCTTATATGTACGTACACCCACGTAAACACAATACATTACACATTCGAATAACTTTACCAATATAGCAATTTAAGTCATATAATTAGTATCATTTTATAGTCTGAATTGATGCGAAAATAAAAATCCAAGTTGCATCTAAATCAGACTTGTTGTTAATATGTTATATATAAATGAAGTTTCCCCGGAAAGGCTAGCACGTGATACCCTTCGAGGGCACCTCGGAAAGGTCTTTCTAAAAGGCCCCAAATATTTCAACAATAAATAAAATATTTAATACCTACCGGATAGCCATGCAATTTGGACCATTGTTTTCGCATTAATTCAAGCTATAAAATAAAACTAATCATAATACTTAAAACGCTATATTCGTAAAGTTATTCGAGTATATATTATATTATAAGTAAGTATATTAATATAATTATCAAAAACCTTATATTTTACCTTGTATTTACCCCGCATAATATACTGTGCCCTTAGCGTTGCTTACTATATTACCCTTTTTGGAAAGCCTTGGCCTATTTTCTTGATTTTAGCACAAATGTCTTAACCGTCCACCATACAAGGTTACGTAAAACGTTAGCAAGGAATTGTGGCGTGCGCATTAAACTTTTAAAGTCATTTTTTACTTTTAGTAATTCTCTTTTATCCGTGCGCAAATAAGCGATTATTATGGTGGACCATTAGTATAACTGTGTTAAAATCAAGAAAATTGGTGGCATTATGTTTAATAAAGTAATAATAACGTTAAAGGTATAGTGTAAACTCGATTATTTACCTTATATATATAATTTATAAAGTAATATAAACCCCTTTTAAACTTAATAATATAATAATTTTACAAATATTTATTTAAATTTTTTTTAAAAAATATTAATATTTTAATTAATAAATAATAAAAATTATGGTTTAAGTTATATATTATTTAACTTAATATTAATAAAAATATTAAAAAAGTTATAAATGTAATTATACGGGTTATTTTTTTAAAAGATTTAAAAGATTAATTAATTAAATTAAATTGTTAATTTAATATTTAATTACTTTATATATTTATATATAAATAACATATTTAAATAACTTTATAAAAATAATAATTTAAACGTTATAATTAATATTATTTTAAAGTTTTAATTAATGTAAAAACAATAATTTAAATTGTATTTAAATTAGTTTTTTAATTATTATGTTATAATAAAATTAAATAACGTTTGTTTAAAAAAGTAAACACGTGATACCTTTTAAAAGCACTTTAATAAAGTCATTTTAAACAAATTTTAAATATTTTAATAATAATATAATACTTAATATATATTATATAAATATACATTTTAATCCATTATTTTTACATTAATTAAAGTTATAAAATAATACCAATTATAACGTTTAAATTATTGTTTTTATAAAGTTATTTAAATATATTATTAATACGTAAATATATAAAATAATTAAACATTAAATTAACAATTTAATTTAATTGGTTAAATCTAGATTTTAATGGAAAAAGTAGCCCGGATTTTATTTTATATATACCTCGCATAATGTATTATATACTTAACGTTCTTTGTTATATTATCTTTTTTGGAAAATTCTAACCTATTTTATTAATTTTGGCACAGTTGCACTAATGGTCCACCATAACTACACTCAAATCAACAAATCTAGAAAACCACGCTTTGATCTTTAAATGAAATAATTTATCATACCGCAAAACTTATCCTAATACAGCCCGTCGGAGATATAAATCAGCTCCTACCATCGGTAGACCAAGAGAGGGGCCTTGCTCAAGGTAGTTCATGACCTGATCCCAACAGAAAATGAAAACCATCCCAGTTTGCCGTGAATCTAGATCAAACTCCTAGATTAAACCACCTTATGTCGGCATCTAGGTTCACAGGAACCACATGGCCAACGTCGTGAGCAGAAATCCCAACCAAGTAACCACCATCTCCATATAGCATTTGAGTATAGCCTCCCTGTGGCCTATCCGTAATATTCTGAGTGAGCTCGACACCCTGGATAGCCGACCACTGCTTCAGCTGTTCTCCAAAGTTTTTATAACTGACAAACTCATCCGCGGTACCATGGAAAGTTTGCAGGCGGGGATATCCTCCGGTCCATCTTGGGTTCATAGCTCGGACTATCTTTGCCCATTCCTCGCCCGTCTTAATATTCTGGCCGTTGGCGCATTTGGAATCAGCACTCTGCGGGCTCGATCCGGGTGAGCCCGCCAGGCAGCCTGCTGGGACACCAGAATAGCAAGATCCGGCCATGAATAAGTCCGGATAAGTGGCCAGGAGCACGTTCGTCATCATACAGCCAGAAGACGTGCCTTGAACATAGATTCTCATCGGGTCTGCGTTATACGCTTCGATGAAGTACCTCATCATGTTTGCCAGACCAGTGCTGTCACCTCCTCCATCTACTGTGAGAGACTTATTCGAGGCAACGTCCTGTGATACCATTAAGTTAGCAAATATCTCCTTCAAGTTAACTTGACTATAATGCCGCCATCAAACTCACCCAGCAGTTGTCGTCCATTCTGGTGGATGGGTAAACTACAATAAACCCCTTTGCCTCAGCATAAGCGTCAAAGTTCGCCATTTTATGATACAGAGCCCCCGATCCGCCACAATAGTGTAGCTGTATATCTTGTTAGCTTTTTTTCTTAGGTCCCAGAAATAGTCAGGTCTTACGGCAAGAAGGACGGCGGGCGAACTCTGCAAATTTCTGGGAATGTATGCATGCATGTCCAGATGTGTCGGGTTCTCGCCCCAATCAGAAATTTGTATCCACTTCGCATATGAAGTCGAAAATGAGAGTAGCCAGGCTACTGTGCCTGTGAGAGTGAAACCGCGCATGGTGGCTGGACTTTAGAAAGTGTTTAACTAGATCTGATTTCAGAGAGAAGTTTGGAAGATGTTCTACAAGTCCAAACAAAACCTGGGGTCTCGCTGATCCTTATGTATTTATAGACTTGGGATCTCTTAACACTAAAAGGTAAGATACTTTGATGGCTATCAAAACTCAACCTTATCCGCTTGACAGACTCGAAGTTTAGAGTCGGCTAATTGGGCGTGCCATGCAGGGGAAGCCAAGAGCTTAATGTAACCCGATGTCATAGAGGATTCGGGGCGTGTAAATTCATATCAATCTTGGTTCCCCGCGCACGGTTCCATCATAGTTTATTTAAAGAGTCACTCTATTTAAATGCCGGCCCAAGAAGCCGTGTCTCTCTACGCAGACGCGATATATCATTCGCAAGGATTATAGTTGGAGTTACGCCTCTCTAGCCTCCGCAATTGTGACTGTGGCATGTCCCAACAGCACCTAGGTTCTAGACAAAAGTTTAGGCTCTTTCTATCGTGACTCTATTCTTAGTTGTTTCTTTACCTTATACCTTTGACACTCCTTTCATCTTGGACAACGCACAGGCTCATAAGCTAGTCAGCGATTACGGCGTCGTTTTTCGTGTTCGACAGGATAGTAAACAGGAGCGAAAAAGTTGATTATGTATTATTAACCTCATTTTGGTAAAATCCAAGGCATAAGATAGCTAAATTCATACTATACCCCCGTATATATGCCTTGAGATATAAAAGTGATTAATCATCAATTATATAACTTGCTGTCTTCGTTGAAAGATGCTTGCTTCGTACGTCATCCGTTTGCAGGTAGCTCCTGTGGTTCGCTGGGACGATCTATTCCACTATACGTCGCCTCCGAGCCGGTTACATCAAGCTCTTGTGGGTGACTAGGGGCGTCCAACTCTATCTTCACTGCTGAGTTCCCATGCAACTCTATTTTGGATTGCGCTTTAACTCTTCTTTGCCTGCGACGCCATAATAAAAACGCACTCATTATGATAACAAACACTCCAGAGCAAGCGCCTACAACAGTCCCAGCGATCCAGGCACGACTAGCTGGTGTGGCCGGTTCAGAGCTAAACGTGGGTGGCGGTGAAATACCAATCGCTATAAAGAATCAGCAGAGGAGTTACACTATGTGAGATTAATTTGAAAGCAATTCCCTACCACTAGTAGTCTGGTCCCCAATACTTGTCGGCAACTCTAAATTAGTTGTAATCTGTCGATATGTTGTTGTGAAGGTGAAAGTCGTTAGCTCCCCGTTGACTGTCTTCGGAATCTCGACGACCGCAGTGGCCGGAATTTGCGAATATAGAGTGATGGCTGTTTGAAATAACCAGGTCATTGTGACTCCCCCAATAATTGCCGTGCCTATATCAAAGTTAACGGCAGAGAATTGGTTATAATTGCGTATTTACATCAAGATACTGGGCCAGAAGAGAACCAGATACATACTAAAAATGAGATTAGCGCAAATTCCCCCCCCAGCTACTGGGTTTGGGGACTTATATTGGATACTTTCAGAGGATATGAGTTTCTAACACATACCCTGGTAACGTCGTCGTCACAATTTCATATGGTATAGACTTGGAGCTTGTCGAATTTGATCCTCCTGCAGGCGTAATAGAACCTAAAGGTTTCGTATCACAATAATGGAGCCACTGGTCCATGGCGTTTCCCGCGTCCCCTTCATTCGTCGACGTCCAATTCCCTCCATTACCTTCAATGCAATTCTTACACGCATCGCGGTATACCATAAAGGCGGAGTCGGGTACACATAGCGATCCCGATTTGCCAACCTTTTGTGCTTCAATGACTGCATTGTCTGTAATTTTTTGCGTGAGCGACCTCTCTTAGAAAATATATCCTAGACAGGTTGGGTAGTAGATAGATACTTACTACAATTGCTATAACAGACCGCTGGGAGTGTTTCTTCCCTAGCAATTACTCGGTTTAACATTCGCATGATGCCTGGTAATTTGAGTATGAATAGCAAAGACCTTGCACAATGTAGGCCTGGCGGTAAAGGCAGGCTTTTAACCAAGACTTTCCCCCAATATTCGTATCTGATTTCAATTGGTCCCCAGAGGTGATCGCCCCCTTTTGTAGTTGTACTGCAGGCGAGAACGGGTTGATAATGGTGTTTCGCTAGCTGACGGAAAACGAGTGGTTACACCAATTATAGTGTAAGTAATGGATTATTTACTAATCTGCCATTTTATTGGCTACCTTAAGATGGTTGAAGCACTATATCCGAGAAGTAATATAGCTGGTCAGAGTATTTACAGATTTGCATCATGCAGTGTTACCAACAAGAAAACATGCTGGGCTTATTCGGGGGTATATACTGTACTACGTGAGAAATTCTACGAGACATGGTAAGAGGTGCCTATGATATACGAGTCTATACCGTATCAATTGTCATGGTACAAAACACGATGTGAAAACTCCAAGATATATTTTAGAAGATCACTTACATTCGTGCTTCTCCCTGCGGCTATAATTAAATACAATCTGGCTACCATTTTACACAATCGACGTATCACGGAAAAATATAGTGGAATACTTAGTATTCTCACACAAGAATGTGTTATTGGAATTTCAACACTAGATACATGATACTCGATTTTATAAGTCGCAACCCCGTTACTGGGGCCCCCCCAGTGGGGACCACCCATTTTATATGGGAAATCAGCAAAATCGCATATTCGTAATTAATCCAAAAAAATAGATAAAAATATAAAGTTTTTATTTCTAAGTACATTCTAAAGTCTTTACTTCGTATAAAAATTGCAAAAAATATCCGTCCAATATTTGTGGTTGAATTAATAAAAATGGTTTCGTTAACAGTTATACATATAAATATGTATATAAAACTGTTAAAGCTTATAACTTTACGAATATTGTTGCTAAAAATTCCCTTTTTTTATTAATAAATAAAGGTTTTTTTAAATTATAACATATATTTAAAAAAAGGTTAATAGCTATTTTATTTATAAAATTATTAGCTTTTATAGTAGTTTTAAAGTGTTGGATTTAAAAGTCCCATACATTTTAGAACTTTTTTAACGAAAAAAACACCTAAAATTATCACTTTTTACTATTTCACCATAAGAACGTTAAAATATAAAATTGAAAAAAATCCAAATTAAGTAATATTATAGTAAATGAATAAAAAACTAAGATTGCATATTTTTAGCTATTTTCTTAAATTAATTATGAATATGCGATTTTGTTAATTTTACATATAAATCAGGTGGCCCCCACTGGGGGGGCCCCAGTAACGGGGTTGCGACTTATAGCCAAATTACTTAGGCAATGTCTTGGGATCGATGGCTTTTATATTTCTAATGATACTCGAAATCCATTATGTCTTCAGCTAATTACATTAGCCCCTCTAGGCAACATTCATACTTCTCCAGGTTACTTCTAGAACTTCTTGGAAAGCAAATTGCGGCCTCTCATTTATTATCAACCCTATTGACAGTCGTTTACCTATGGCTACCTATTTAGGTTGGGCCTTTCCCGGTATGTTCTGGGTTAGTTAACTCGCATCTTTTGTTTTAACTCTTCTTATTCCCCAGCCACCTTAGATAGCGCTGTTATAATTAAAATGGGGATACGAAATATTTGAGTGTTACCGAGATAGGAATGACTTACTGGTAATATATAGGTACTATGGGATAGTAAAATTTGCTTTTATCACATTAGTTATTTAAAGTTCATCGTAAATACTATGTCGTTCTAACTATCTTCATAGAACTCAAACAACTCTATCGATACCTCGTCATATTGTCCCCAGCCTTACGACAATTGTAGATTGAATTACTATCGTGGCGCGAGGACGTTGAATTAATCTTTCACGTTAAAAAGGTACATACCCCTCATCAGAAATCCTACTTGGAAATGTGAGTGGATCTGCTATACCCAAATAGCTGGGATATGGAATATATTACGGACCGTGCCACCCTTGTGCTGATCATGCGGTTGGCAGGTATTTCGAACAGGAGTTTGTTTCATCCAAATCATTACTATCTGTGCGTTGCCGATTTCCTTAAATTTTATACATGCCCGCCGTGAGCCTCCTTCCCATTGTCAAATCATTTGCCTTTGACGATCACCGAATTATCACGACTATATCGACTATATCTTAGACTTTACTTTACCTAACTGGGTACCTTATCTGTTAAAGATCCAACTCAGAAATCCAACATGGTAAACTTTTTATTTTTGATTATTAAAGAAGCGCTTAGCGAAACCCCGCTAACTCGACGAGTAGGCTCGACAACTGTCACCGGATGAAATTCAAGTCTTCAAAGAGCTCTTTGACTCCTATGTGAGTATAGGGCCTTACGAGAAATGAAAGATGTTTTGGTTTTAATCTGACTTCGTTCTAGGACACAGACAAGGGCGGTCAGTACTGAGAGCTCATCAGAATGATGAATTCTGGCCATTGAGTATTGACTGCTGTCTTCTAACTATTACTAGGCAACATAAGTGTGGAAGAATTTGCGAAAGTAATGTCTCAGAGTCCCGGAAAGCAGCCAACGGCAGATGAAGTGCAGCAAATCATCAGAGAGGTTGATCTCGACGGTGATGGAACTATCAACTTCAATGGTAAGTTTCATTACCCGGTATTTTATTCTAATATCGCCTGGGAAACACAAATACGAAAGGAAGATGAGCAAGTCGTATTCGGAAAGCTGATACGCAATAGAGTTCATCACGATGATGACAGGCCAGACGTACCCCCCAGTAGACGAAAAGGTCGACTATGCTAAAGCATGGAAGCAATTTGAGCCCTCCCTCAAGAGCTCAATTACACAAAGCCAATTCCGGCAACTCGTAGCGGGATTAGGAGAGGCTATCGGCGACGTTGAAATTGATCAAATAATCAATAACGTAGATGGAGAAGGCAAAATCACTTGTGAGTTTGGTCTGCATTTAACTGTAAACATGTCTCGGCTAACCGATATCCAGTCCAAGAGTTTGAAAATTTCATGAAGAATAGGAGTCTGGTGGATGAGATCGTGAATGGGTATCAGTGATGGGCTTGATATAATGCCACAGATGGCTAAAAGTGATGATTTGATATATGGTATTGATGACCCGAAGCTTATCCTTCGGTGGCATTGTTATCACTGCACCTGTAGAAGGAAGAAAATCTACGTATCCGGCAAGACTCCTATATCTAATTCTACTCCATCATAGCCTCTGTGAAGATATAGATCATTGGAAACACAAGGCCGAACCCACCGACACTACTAACGGAAAACTTTACTTAACCAGACTAGTTTAATCCTCTTCACTTGAACCATCTGCCTCCTCTTCTTTGGTATCTTCCGAACTTTCTTCGCTGTTATCAATGGTTGATTCAGTGACTGACGAGGTCTCTGATTGATCGTCCTCGTCTGCGTTAGATTCTGACATTGCGTCATATTCTGGTCCCCTTTCCTCGAATTCATGGTCGTGTTTATACTCATGGACAATATCCAAATGGATATAGCATTTCTGACAGAGCATGTAACTGAAGCAAGTCTTGCATGCGTAACACAAACCCTTAGCTTTCTAGAGGTTATTAGTTGGTCTGTTCATTGTATTGTATTTTGAGTGCGGGGATACGTACTAGAAAGCAACTGTCGCACCAAGCAGCATCGTGTACATGAGCCGCTCTTGGGAGCACCGGCTGGTTCTCTTCGGTTGGTGTTGGAATATCCTCGGCTACCTGCCCCTGATCTTCTTTTTCAAGTCCATTTTTCAAGAGGTCAATAACTCCAGGATCGGCCCCGAAATAGGAGGCGATTTCAAGCGGAGTTCAGAGTTCATTGCCAACCGGGCACTGAATAGATCGATCAGCGTGTTGCTCTAACAGTGCCCTAGTTACCCCAATGGTATCCTCGGCATCATTGGCGTCGTCCTAAAATTGCAAACGTCCTCCCCCCTTGGCGACCCAACAGAGAGGTGTCCACCCGTCTATGTCCCTTTGGTCCACATCTACTTGAGGATTCTACCAGAAGCTGAGTAATCGGCGTACTTGAAGAGGCAACGTGGAGAGGAATTAGGCCTTGGGTTGTTTGGACGTTCACATCTGCGCCTCTCTCGAGTAATAATATCACTAGACCTTCGTCTTGATTCCGTACTGCCTCGTATATTGGCGTTCTTCCATCAACATCTGCGAAATTGACGTCGGGCCCATACTCTAGGAGACACCTAGCAAGGTCTTTAAACTGATTTCTGATTGCGATAAGTAATGGGGTGGCTTTCTGCTCATCTATAGCGTTGATATTCACGTTATGTTTAACCAGAAGCCTTGTTAGGTCGATCCGCTGTTCGGTTGTAAGAGGTAAAGTTCGATTTACTACGCCATGTAAAAGCGGTGACTTAAGAAGCGGGTTATTAGGATCGGCGCCGCGTTCCAGTAGTAATTGGCATATCTGCACATTCCCATTGGCGACAGCATGATGCATAGATGTACCATTTCCTATTCCGCTTGGAGTATCGGGATCAACACCATGATTTAGAAATGCCTCGACACACCTCTTATTTCTGTGCCTTGCCGCTATTTCAATCGGCTTCATGCCACCAGGGTCCGGTTTATTTGGATCCGTTCCGAGTTCGAGGAGCTTTTGTACCACTGTCGGACATCCCCATTCGCAAGAAAAGCACAAAGGAGATGGCCTAGGAGTGCCACCATCGTAAATGCTATGCTCTAAAATATCCTTATTTTCTTTGGCAAGAAATTCTATTACTTCGACATGGCCTCCTAAAATGGCCGACGTCAATGAATTCCCATTGAAAGAGCCAGACTTGATGTCAGCTCCGTGCGTCACTAAAACTCTGGCTATTTTGAGGTGCCCATATGATGATGCAACCCGTAGAAGGTTCATCGAAGAGTCGCCTGTAAGCGGGTTATTGCAGTCGATTGGACACCCCTTTGATACCAAAGTTTCCGCAAGTTGAACAAAGTTCAATCTCGCTGCTCTATACAATAATGGCGGACCCCATTCGCTAATAGTATCATAAGAATTGAGTTGGAGGTAATTAATAAGGTCAATTACCAGCTGCTCTTGACCACTTGGGCCTGCTGCTTCGATAAAACGCAAGATAGTATCTTGGTTCCACGTTTTCGACCTGACGAGCTTTCGAACCACTTCCACGCGGCCGTTGAGAGCTGCTTCAAGTATCCCCGCTTCCAAGTCTTCGTCACTTTCTGGCCCAACCTCCAGGCACCCAAGACTAGCAAGGGGTGGAAAGGGGGTTTTCCAGCAATTGTCACTCACAGTGATAGGATGTGTGAAAATCCAGAAAGCCTCTGGCCAATGCCCCAATCCAACTTCTTGGAAGAGTCGATTCAACTTTCCGATCTTTTCCAAACGATCTTGGATTTGCATATAGTGATGAAACCAGTATTGAACCGCATAGGAAAATAAATCATGAGAATCATCTAACATTATGATAGATGGGTCATTTTCCGCATGTCTTTCGATAAACTCGACGTATCGCTCTTGAACACCAGGTCGTGAGAGGTAAGCTAGACAAGTAGTAGCAATATGATGATGAGCGTCGGCGGCAATCTCAGGCCAGATACAGGTTGGTCCTTCTTTTGCTTTGGGTGTCATGAATATGTCTCTTATGCGAAGGTTAGACGGATGAATTTCATTATTATCAATTCTGATAATACCGGCCAGCCAAGCAAGCCAGCTATGGTAGTCTGGGAAGATCACTCCTATGTCTGTCTTTTTGGGTAGACTGGTAGATCCTCCACCCTGTTCACGACTGATAAATACTACCGTGGCGAGTTCCCAGATAGACAATGGCTTGGTTGAGTAGAGAATCCAGGACAGTATTAGTCGTAGCAACGGCTGATTGGAAATGTTTCGGAGTATACGATCTATAATCAATTCGGAGGAGTATTGGCCGTTATGTCATCTATTGGCCTGAGAAAATCTTCCGGCGCAGCGTTCCTATTCAACGCTATTCTCCGCACCAATTGCTCTTGGATTACCGAACGTGCTAGGAAATCAATACCATCGAACCATGCAGGAATTTCCCACGAAATATGATCGAAGTCGTATGATTGGGGTAGATCCTCACTTTGCTGCTGCTTCTTTTTTGTGTCCTGTGATGAATCGAGTTGAAAATCATCAGAGGTAGACGCTAAACTAAGATCGAGGCTTCGCCAGTCTAATAACTCATCACTTAGATTATCGGCTCGACTAGTAACAAATACTTTCCATGACTTTTCGTTACTAACCACAACACGGGAGAGATATTGAATAAACGTTTTCCGCGAGTTCGCATCGCACTCATCAAAGTTGTTGATGACAATACGAATGCCATCGAATCTCCATAGAGCCTGTTCGAACCAATATATAAGGTCACTTTCGGTCCAGGCTCGTTCAGTGTCCAGAAACTTTAAGAAAGTCATTACTGAAGCTCTCGGACTTGGGTGATGGCAGACAATCTGCGCCAGAAATGTAAAGAGCATCTGGGACAACCGATTTCGCCTTATATCTTGACGATCAAATGTGAAGTAAAGTGTAAGAAATGTCATAGCCGTTTAGCCTAGATCGCCAAATGCCACCTAGGTATATGTGCTCCATTAGATTCTACGTTAAGCATATACATCAAAATCAGGATCCATTGGTCACCGATATAAAGGGACAGAAAGACAAAGTCATTAGGCGAGGAAAGAACAATAAATCAATAGAATAGGGAATAATAAGCTAGTATTAGAATTTAAAGGGAAAGCTTTGGTCTAACCACTCATCCAACCGATTCCCTTTAGGTAAACGACTGTACCGAAGCTTCATAAGGCGTCATCTACTTCACCTGTAACCCTGCTCACCACTCAGAACACCCATAACACCAGCACCAGAAATTTTCTAGGTGATACCCCTGCCTTACTTCTTCTGGATCTTTTGGAGGTACGTGAAGATGCCGTCAATTCTCAAGTTCTGGTTCTCCTTGTAGCCAGGCACGTATCGGTCACCCCACGGCTGCAGCTGGGTGTCTAGGTAGGCATAGTTAGCACTGATATCAAATTCGCCCGTTGGATAAGTCTTACCCCAAGTGACATCTGGCTTCTTAGCACAGATGAATGTGAAGGTTTCGTTGGTAGCCTGAATCAAATCGAAGTTGGGGTATTCGGTAACGATGTTCTGCCACGTCTGGTTGGTGACACCCCGCTCTGGGCCGTTGTAGTCTATGGCAATGCCCTGACTAGTCACATATACCTCGGGCTCCTTGTAGTATGCGATCGTGCGGGTCGTGTGCAATGCAATGGCGTCGAATACCAGCTGGATACGGCGATGGTCCCAGTTCTCACCTCCGTACTTCTTGAGGAACTCTGTCGAAGCGATGGCTCCGTCAACCTCAAATCGCTTGTCTAGAGAGGTGACTGGAGAGTTTGGGGTTTGGTCCCAGCCAAGATCATGTAGAATAGCAGCCACGGCTTGCACTTCAATGTCGACGCTGTTCAGAAGCGTCTCGTTATTGGCAATGATTTGAGATCCAAAGAGCCAGGCGCGAACCTGGTGCTTGTAGGTAGCGTCATCGCTGTGGTTACGAGCGAATTCCCTTGCAAGACGGACGATAGGCGTGTCAATGACGGTAAGTCCCGCTATCGTGGTGTTTGGGTAAGGAACGTTTCCTAGAACGGGGATACCACGTGGCCTGAATGGTGGTGGGTATGGGTAAAAGGGGGCTGAGGCGCCAAGGCCAGCTAAGCTGGTGAGAAGTAAGAGAACGTTCTGAGTGAATTGCATATTGGTGGTTGATACGAAGGCGAGTTTGTTACCGGATCGACCTGTTACTAGTTGTTACTGGGCTGATGATCTATCTAATTCAAGAAACGATGACCTTGATGGTCTATATATACACACTTTTCGAACTCTTGACTCCGGCATGACGGACATTATTCATAACTCCATGTCGACCTGTCAATGGCTTCTAGAACTCTTCACGTAGTCATGCGAGTAGCTATGTTGCTGGCCCACCAGGAACGCATCTATCACGTCAATTTTTGAGAATCTCGAAAGCGAATTGTATTGGACAGAAATCCGATGACATAGTAAGAAGAGACATGAATTCTGTAAGGGCGTCTAAAGTTAGTAAGTGAAGAAGAGCTGAGAGAGGGCAGCAAGGCTGGCCATCTGATTGGTGCGGGATATGTTCTATCTCCAATCGCGCCTATAGGTAACATTTATATTACTAGTGTGACCCCGACGGAGATATTTGACAGCTTACAAGATGTAACTTACCTTATGCCCGACCATTTCGCGGACGAGGGTACACTTCCGGAGGTTGGCAAAGGCTTACCATCAACAACGACGCAGTGCTGCATACAACTTACTAAGGACCAATAGACGATCCCTGCCCAGAAGTGCATATACAGTAATGCTCCCCAACACACTGGGTTGATGCTGATTGTAGCACCTAGCATTGTAGAGAACCCAAGCGGCAGTTTGCAACCCAATACGGATTAGGGGTATATTGATCTCGATCAAGCTTCCTAATTTATACAATATCCCTTGGCCGCATCGAAGTCCCTGCATAAAATCTCTAGGCATAAGGCTTATCGTGTTAATGATTGGCAAGACAATATCCACCAGGCACGGTCCGAAAAGCTTAACGTCTTAGATACGATGCGAATTTCGGCCGCCGCAAATAGCAGCTACAAAGTCTGCGATATCTTGCGTGCTCCTTGCGTGCTCCTACCTACCAGATCTATACTCGAATCAATTGGAGTGGCGAACCTTTTGTTTTGGTTCTACGGTAAATCTGTCTTATAGCACTTATTTTTGGGGTAAAGAAGCAATCTCCAAAATCCAAATCGACCCCTCGAAAATACCGCAGGGGCAACAATTGAGAGGATATGTGCTACGGCAAAAAGTTCATACCGAATTTTGCCAAAGCCAATTTATAGTCTCTTCCAGTGAAGCTTCTCACTTGGCTTTCAATAACTTGTCAAGTATATTCTAAAGCTTTATTATAGCACCATCATATATACCGTAGTATCTAATTCCCCTAGTCATAGTGGTATTTCGAAGCTATCAATCTAGATTTCTAGCTTGCTACACAAACATAGAGTCTAAAGGATAGGCTAATGTAGAGTCCTATCTAGAGACTAGAGGTAAGATTCCTAACCTTCCTAACCAGTATGTACCTGTTCTATTGTACATCATTGGTCCGATATCGTGCCCCAACGGAATTACCTATGGTGTCTACCGTAGTCCCAAGAGCGTCACCGAGAGAGCCAAGACTTCGAATTCGTAAGGAGGCTTGGGGATTCAGCACGAGTCACATATAGTAACATGTTGAGCCACATTCTAGCAAATAGAAGTAGACCTTAACTACCTACCTTATACCACTATACCCTCTGGACAGAAAGATATTCAATATTCTTCCACCCATCAAAACGAGCCTGATCGACAACGAGCTACTCTAGACCAACACGAAATAACTCAAATTCCCTTCACATACTACTTCCTGGCGTTTTGAGCTTCGATATGTTGAGCTTTTCATCTAATACCCTGGTCCAAAGAAGCGATTCTTGGTCTAATTAAGAAAGTCGCCAAACTGTTAGTTTATGTCAAACGAATAGTGCTTAGTCTATAATATAAACATCACCAGCATGACTGGTCTCGTAATATTTACATCAGCGTGCGTATCAATCACGTAGTCTGTGGTAGTGCGTTAACAGATTAGTTCTCCATAATAGATATGCCTATACTCAACCTCATCGGCTCTAGACCCCCAAGGACAATTGGCTCCGAATTAGCCTCTTTCGCCTTGAATTTGTCACGTCGTACGTGTCTTAGACGGCAGTGTATCTTGGCCATCGTGGGTCTCTTACGCACCTAGGTCGCTTTTAGCCTTGGTATAGAGATAGACCCTACTGTTTTAAGGAAGGTATACACGCTAGGGGCGCGTCATTGTAATGTGATGTATCATCGCCTCCTTTGATCTTCAAGTTTGGGGTCTCGGTCCTGGATTTGGGATTCTTGGCATCCAACAGTTTTAGTTCAGAGCTGTTTCATTTCCTTAGGTAGATGATTCGCCCCATAATCTAGAATTATTGCCAACTCACAAGGACGAATAGTATTCTATTAGAGTGTAGGGCATATCGAAAGAACTAATTCCTAGAATCTATATAAACACCAAGCCATCGTTCTTCTATTCCGCTCTGTTCTAAGCCTATCCCTGCGTTCGATTTGATTTTGTAGCCGCATTGCGTTGTGTTACTGGCGTTACTCGGAGCTATGGACAAAAGCATCGCTCTATCCTCAGATAAAAATACCCCTTTTCTTACACATGATCCACCATTGTTTGCCAAATCACTTGAGAAGCCCACACCAGGGCCAGGCGCCAAATATGAAGTGGACGAGAAAGACATAAGCCTCAGCACGAGCGGGACTCGGGTAAACTCCCCAGACGCTTCCATACACGATGGCAAGGAAGGTCATGATATCGAGAAGACGGAGGTTGACCTCGGCGGCATCGATATATACGATCCGAATCGCCCGAGATTCAAGCTTTCTCAAAGGCTGTAAGAAAATAACCAGTAGTCCGGATATCAATATTAACATAGTTTACTAATTGTTGAGTAACTTAGAGCTCACTTCACTTGGGCCTGGTTTACTTTGTCTATGAGCACCGGAGGTTTAGCACTCTTGATTTACGCCCAACCTCACCAATTCCCCGGGCTTCGACAAATCGGATTCGTTGTATATATCACGAACCTCGTTATATTTGCTGGTATAGTCGCCGCTATGACCATGAGATTTGTTCTACATAAAGGTACCTTCAAGACGTCTATCACCCATTCCCGAGAGGCATTTTTCGTGCCGACGGCTTTTCTCGCTCTAGCGACTATTATCACAGGTACTCAACGCTACGCTATTCCCGAAGCAACCACATCTGCAGTATGGTTCATCTCGGTTCTGTTTTGGGGATACGTGGCAGCTTCGCTGTTCGTCGCGATAGCACAATATTCCTACGTATTTAGAACTCACCAGCTCGGTCTCCAGACTATGATGCCAACTTGGATCTTACCGATATTTCCCATCATGCTCTCAGGCACAATCGCATCAGTTATTGCGGAAACTCAACCTCAGATGAATGCAATTCCAATCATCGTGGTTGGGTTGACGTGTCAGGGCTTGGGTTTGTCTGTGGCGTTTATGATGTACGCTCATATGGTAGGACGTTTAATGTCACGAGGTAAGCTTGATATATCAGTTCATCTAAGAGACTATCAGCTAAAGCACTTCAGGCATGCCAAACCGCGAACACCGAGCAGGTTTATTCATGAACGTTGGCCCACCGGCATTTACAGCCCTGGCAATTATCGGTATGGCAAATGGTCTACCTGATAACCTGGATATTAACGTGGGTATGGTGCTTGACATGAAAATAATTAGGCCTATAGCAGTCGTGGGTGCTATATTTCTATGGGCGCTCTCCCTATGGTGGTTTGGGATTGCTGTAGTGTCCGTCATCATGTCGCCGCCTCAATATTTCCACCTTAATTGGTGGGCGATGGCCTTTCCAAATACAGGCTTCATCCTGGCTACAATTTCTATCGGGAATGAGCTCCAGCATGAAGGAATCCGCTGGTTTGCGACAGGGATGTCTATCTGCCTACTCGTTACATATTGCTTTGTGTTTTACAATCTAGTCCGAGCTGTTATCATTCAGGATATCATGTATCCAGGTCGCGACGAGGATGTATTGGACACTACGGACAACTAAGGGGGGTGATTGGCACCTCCTTTAATGTAAACATGGACCGTCAAGAATATTGGAGAAGTTGTTAGATTGCAAGTTGAACATTAGAAGAAGATAACTAACGGAGAAAAGGTGAAGAGATTTAGACTCGGAGGCATAAAATCATAATACGGGTTATAAGGGTATACACTCATGCATCACTTATCTTATATAGCGCATAGCTGCACCTTTTATCAATCTAACTCGCATTATGCAGACATTAGCTGCCGACATGAAGTGGGGCAACGTCTTCCCCGGTTCGCGCATGATGTATTATTTTACGTGAGCTTTGATTGGATGACCTCATCATTTCTATATACTTCGTATTTCTCCACTTTGTGATTAAGTCTCGAGTTCTCTCAACACCATCAACGCCGTCAACGCCGTCAACCCACCTCCTGCACATGCTTTAGCTAGCAGTCAATCGACAATGGTTTGCCAGACCTAGCTGATAGCGATCTGAAATATTACCGGAGACCTATTATATGCACTACGCACGTCGACTACCACTGACTGACCAGAGCCGAAGTCTCTTTTTCGACCATGACTATCGTCCGACGAATCGCATTGCGCCAGAGATTCCTTTCATACCGCTACCCGAATTCCACAAACCCTCTCTCTCGCCAATGGGCTAGATTAGTTAGTACCGAAAGTGAAGGCAATGACGCCGGGCGCAAGCGTTGGAGTGCTGGAAAGTTTCTGGGTGGAATGTTGGTAGCCCTCACGGCTGGAAGTGCAGTTGTTCTATATCCGTCTTTAACCAAAGAAACACCAAAGCCACAACATGCCGTCATTGAGTACGAGAAGTCCCGACCGCCTAGTGAATCTAAAGAAGAAAACCGGGATATAATAAGCAGCCAACATCTCCAAGTTAAGAAGAGTTGGGAACACCCTGGCGTTTATGCGTGGGGTTCTAACTCAGGTCGAGTGGCCGCACCCGATTCAACCGACAGCGTTATAAAGACGCCACGAAGGATACCATATTTTGACGGGATGCTCCTACGAGACATGAAGCTAGATCGCGATTTTGGGGCGGCTATTACTGAGAAGGGCGACCTTGTGCAGTGGGGTACGGCTTTCTCGAAAGCAAACCTAACCCCCGCGGAAACGCTAAAAGGCAAAGATCTTGTCAGGATCGAAATATCGCGTGACCGTATTATTGCCTTGGGAAAGAACGGAACTGTCTACTCAGTACCTGTAGCGGGAGCCGATCAGACTTCTGGCGAGAAGTCAAACCAGACGTCCTGGTTCTCCTTTTGGTCCAGCCCGGAAACAGTTAATTATCGACAGCTTAAGCCTAAGAATCTTAGTTGGGGCGAAAGCATTGTCGACATTGCCAGTGGTCTAGAGCATACCCTACTCTTAACATCTAAGGGGCGCGTCTTCTCTGCCGCTTCCAGCACGTCTGATTTTCCCTCTAAAGGACAAATGGGTATACCAGGCTTAACTTGGTCAACTCGGCCAAAAGGACCTTACGATGAGCCACATGAAATTCTCAGTTTAAAAGGGTTTAAAATTGGAAAAATTGCTGCCGGTGACTACCATTCCTTAGCACTCAATGACGACGGATACGTCTTCGTCTTCGGCGACAATACTTCTGGTCAGTTAGGTTTCGAAGCGGAACCCCAGTTCCCTTTTATTGATGCTCCAATCCCTTTACCATTTACCAAAATTTACAGCGGTTCGGGACAACAACCGCGTGTGACGTCAATTGCAGCCGGCGGTGCAAATTCATTCTTTACGGTGGATGCAAAGCGAGTTGCCGGGCCAAAAGAGGACGCCAATTCTATCAGGGACCTAGGCCGAGTTACCGCCGATACTTGGGCTTGTGGCTCTGGTATTTGGGGTAGCTTAGGTACGGGTAAATGGACACATGTTTCACTCGGCCCTTCCAAGATCAAGTCGCTCTCTGGACTTTTTGAGTGGGATGAAAAGACGGATTCAGTCGTCCCAATCCGCCTAGCCCGATTAAGCGCTGGCAGTACTCACGTAGCGGCAGTGATGAACAATGTTACTTCAGTTGGTGCATCTGATACCAGCTCGTATAATGATACGAACTGGGGCGCAGATGTAGTATTCTGGGGTGGCAACGAGCATTACCAGCTAGGGACAGGAAAGCGGAACAACGCCGCCTTGCCAACTTACATCAGACCCCTAGATGGTGGGGAGGGTGACGCAGAGAAAGGACGGCAGGGCGAACAACACAGGTTTCAGATTACACCTCGAACAACAGTTAAGATCGGCGAGGGCGGCTCGGGAAGAAAAGTCGGTATTGAGCAGCAAGTGGAGTGTGGTCGTTTCGTGACAGCTGTATATTCCAGAGCATAAAAGTCGTTTATATAGGGACCTCTATGGATTTACCCCTCGGTGTATATTAAATCATGGTCAAATAGGATGGGCGGTTGGCTTGAATCATGGACTTGGACTGGAGATGCTTGGCATGAGCATAAAGTCCTTTGATCATTCTGGATCTATATTGATACCCCCTTCTCAATCTATTCACATATGTACCTAGGTAGTCATACATAACATTCATTTTACAACATCCCTGCTTGGGTTTCTCGCGTTCGGCCCTTCTTTAAAGGGTCTCTCAAATGTCAACTCGGTTTGAACTTCAACCGAGCGCGCGATTAGTTCACGGGGCTTACACAGGTATGTTGTTGACCAAGTCGTTATAAATGTACCTACGTTTCAATGCTTTTGCTAAACGAATGTCACTCTAGGTATGGATTGTTTTTATGATTCGTGTCGCGTTGAAGGTTCCCCGCACCGAATCTGCCAACTCCGGGGCGGTATTGTACCTTGATCGGCCCCTATCTAATTCAGATATTGTCCATTATTATAATAATCTTGCATTGCTGTTTAATGGCTTCCTATCAGTGAGTCGCGAGATCGGCTTTTCCCCCGAAGTCCCCGCTCGTCTCCCCTCACCACTGGTCGAGATTAAAGCATCAACTAGAAGCCACACTGAATATCTTAGGTACCTAAGTACAGACCCAGTAGCTGGTTATCCGATGAGTTGTTATAGAAGACCAACTGGACTATAATCTTTTTATATTCTAAATTGATGTTATGGTGGTCCTCTTACTCAGGAATAAGACTGAGATATCACCTTTCAATGACCATGCCTCGAAAGATTCACCCAGCATCGCAGCCAGATTGGAACAATCTCACCGTTATTCATAAGAATAATCTTCCTCCTCGGGCTAATTTCCACATATATAACAGGATACAGGATGCATTGGATTATGACAGCACTAAATCCAACACTTACTCCCTCTCGGGGACTTGGAAATTCAAGCTTGCCGAAAACCCATTCGAGGGCCCCGGAGGATTCGAGGATCCGACCTTCAACACAGCAGAATGGGACAACATAACAGTGCCTAGTATGTGGCAGTTGAACGGCTATGGAAAAGGACCTCACTACACCAATGTTAATTTCCCTATCCCCGTAGACCCGCCTAATGTTCCACTCGACGAAAATGAGACTGGATTCTACGTCAAGAAATTCACAGTCCCCGAGAATCTCGCTGGCTTACAGCTGAGGCTAAGGTTCGAGGGAGTAGATTCTGCCTTCCACGTCTGGGTGAACGGAAAAGAAGTGGGATACCATCAGGGGTCGCGGAACCCAACCGAGTTCGACGTCACAGACGTAGTTCATCAGGCGGGTGAGAATACCATCGCAGTTCGAGTTTATCAATATTGCGATGGTACTTACATCGAAGATCAGGTAAGGTCTATTATTACGAAGTCTCTTAGTCCAGTCAACCGAGGATAATGGAAATGTCCTCTCATTTAGTTTCGTCTCATTTCAAGTGTCCTCCCCCCAAGCCAGTGCCTACATTTCTAACTTTTCTTGCTTCATAGGATCAATGGAGGATGAGTGGAATGCAAGTTCAATGACCTCCTCAGGCGCTGTGATAAACTGACTAGTAATAAGCTATCGCGATGTTCATCTTCTTGGCTTTCCATCAGAGTCGCGTGTTGAGAACCTATTCGTCCAGACAAAGTTAGACAACCAGTACGTCAATGCCGATCTAAAAGTCCGGATAGATATCACCGGGTCTGGTAAGCTCCAAGTCGACCTTTGGGACCCATCTAAGAGCAAGGTCATTACTACGGAGACAAGAGCTGTATCTCAGGGACGCGCCGAGTTCTCTCTCCCAATACAAAATCCTTCGAAATGGACGGCAGAAACACCGATACTTTATTACCTTATTATCTCTTTGAATGATACCAGCTTCGTTGCTCATCGCGTGGGGTTCCGACAGGTAGAAGTGAAAGATGGCCTAATCAAAGTCAATGGCCGGCGAATTATCCTAAAAGGCGCTAATCGACACGAACATCATCCCAGACTTGGCCGTGCTGTTCCATTTGAATTCATGAAGCGGGACCTTATCCTCATGAAAACTCATAATGTCAATGCCATTCGGACCTGTCACCAACCAAGCGATGTTCGTCTATATGACTTAGCCGACGAACTAGGAGTAGGTTATCTCCATAATATCTTTATGTTCTTTATATCTCTAACAAGAACAGTTCTGGGTAATGGACGAGGCTGATCTCGAATGTCACGGATTCGAGTCAATATGTACGTTAATACCCACGTTCTAAACTATAAACCATATTAATATAGATATAGGCGATGCCGCACTATCTCCTGCCGATAGATCACTTCCGTTCCGCGAGCGGCAGCTTCTCACCCGGACGGACGCAGCTAAATGGACAACGGACAATCCCGCTTGGGAACAAGCCTATGTAGATCGCGCGAAACAGCTAGTTTATCGCGACCAACTTCACCCCTCTGTCATCATTTGGTCTCTAGGAAACGAAGCCTTCTTTGGCCGAAACTTTAAGTCTATGTATAATTGGATCAAATCATATGATGACAGCCGACCTATCCATTATGAGGCCGATATATACGCTGAGACTATGGACATGTATTCAACAATGTACCCGCCGATAGAAACCATCATTGAGTTTGCCAAGGATGAATCTAAGACCAAGCCCCTTGTCCTATGCGAGTTCATTCACGCAATGGGTAATGGACCAGGTAACATTAAGGAGTACATCGACGCTTTTTACGAGCATCCGAAGCTTCAAGGCGGCTTTGTATGGGAATGGGCGAACCATGGTCTCCTTACGAGGGATAAGGAATCCAGTGATGAGTTCTATGCTTACGGTGGGGATTTCGGTGACGAGCCCAACGATAGCAACTTCATCATGGACGGGGTGTTACACTCTGACCACACACCAACCCCTGGATTAGTTGAATACAAAAAGGGGATAGAGCCCATCAAAGTTGTTCGCTACGCGTCGCAGGCAGCCATAGTCGTAAATCGATACGACTTCATTACTCTTGATCATCTCGGATGTATTTACGTGATCTTGGATGAGGGCAGACCAACCTCTCACACCGGCAGCATCGAACTTCCATCTGGCATAGAACCTGGCCAGACTGCTGAACTGGCACTCCCATCTCGACCCGCTGATTTGACTGGAGAAGGGATATTGCAACTATTCTTTTATCAGCGCGCTGCAACTCCATCCCTCCCAGCCGGATTCGAAATCGCCTTCGAAGAGATCCCACTCAATAGCCCCGCTCTTCCTCTCCCTCTTCAGCTTCAGTCTACAGATAAAGTGACAATTACTGAAACATCGACTCTTTGGACGATTTCTAGTCCGGTTGTATCATGGAATTTCTCGCCGGTTCATGGAAAACTACGATCCTTTACAAAGAATCACACCGAACTCTTAGCCGTGAGCCCGGAGTTTACCGCTTATCGGGCACCTACGGATAATGATGCGCCTCAAGATGGGCGCGACTGGAAAAATAGGCTTTTACACCTCGCTAAGTGCCAGACACGTAGTTGCACGTGGGATATTGAAGCCGATGGGCACGCCGTCGTAGTTCGAGTGCAGCAGCGATTCGCTCCACCTGTCCTTTCGTGGTCCATTGATTTAGACATCACGTACACGTTTTACGCATCGGCTGTGCTCGTCATACGTGTGAAGGGCAAACCGAAAGGGTTGAATTTGCCTCGTACGCTACCGCGTATAGGCCTCACTATGGAACTACCGATAGAATGGGCCAAAGGAAATAAAGATGCACCGGCAGTAACTTGGTACGGACGCGGTCCAGGCGAGAGTTACAGGGACAAGAAGCTGTCACAGCGCCTAGGCGTGTACCAAGTTGCCGCGGTGTCCGAGCTCTGGACCGAATACGAGTACCCGCAAGAAGGCGGCAACAGGACGGACACGCGGTGGGTAAAGTTTACGCATGCTGGCGGCGAAACGATCACGGCTTTCTTTTCGGATCAGAATGATGCTAGAAGGAAGCGGAAGCTGTTTGATTTTAATGCGTCGCATTACCGGGTCGCAGACGTAGAGGCGGCGAAGCACCCTTATGAATTACAGAGGAAGAAGACGGATAACGTAGTCCTTAGACTGGATGCAGCACACCATGGATTGGGAAGCGGCTCATGCGGACCTAGTACCAGAGATGAATATTCGTTATTGGCAGAGGACTTTGAGTTTGAAGTAGTGTTGGCATAAGGTACCTAAAGAACTTTTTAAGGCCTCCGGATTCAATCAATACCTAAGGTATCATTTCTTTAACTTATTGAGGACTCATCACAAGTATCTTTGCACCAAAGATGACCTATTAGTTTCGGCATATAGATATCTTGGTGTATGAGTAAACTGGGCAAATATGTCGGGTTCACTCAACCCTCATGACACGATATACAATTATCTATCTAATTAGTACAGCCATGGTGCATTCACTGATCCTTCCGTTATAAGCCGAGTACTATTAACCTACATCGTCGTTTGATTGGTGAGCGCGGACATGCATGCATATGAGGCACAAAAGCGCCCCCATATTGCAGCACACCGGGCTCTTCCACACAACTGTGCGTTACCGTTGCAGTGCAATTATATTCAACAAAGCCCCCTCTTCTCCATCCTTAAAGTAGCAAGCTATATGACAAGTCGTCAAATATTTTAGTACATCACCATCTCATCCCAACTCACAGCTTTATCATTTCCAAGTTTCATTCCTAAAAAATGGAGGCGAGGTATGATCCAGAGACGATCGTGGCACCGCCAAACATGGGTGACGGACAAGACAGTGTCATAGATGCCTCTGTGCAAGATTCTATGGCCCTTTTAGGGAGATCTACATCATCTACAGAGCAGCCCCTATCCTTAAATCAGGATTGCTCGAAAATAAGCACATCAAGCAGCCAATACGGGTTTCGATCCCTAGACTTGCGCGATGAATCTGGCGCAGATGTTTGTCGGAAACAAAATGAAGTTCTCATCAGATCAGAAATGCAGAGACTCTTTTCAGATGATTCATTATCATCATCTAAACGGGACGACTCATTTTCTTCGTTATATGATTATAGTCTTACATCACTTAGCACAGATACCCATGACAGCGTATCAAGCATGTACCGAGCTGCCACTCCGATTGATACACTGGAGCTGCCTCAAGAGCCTATATTCCCTGAAGATCCTGGGCCCTTACTCTATCAAAATTCCGCCCAGTATTATCGGAACTTATCCCACGAGACAGATACGGATCAGTCACTCACTATGTCAATCCCCCAAAAGGACAACTATTCACATCCAGGTACACTGAAAACGATTAATGGGCTCATTCCATTTACATCATTAAGTGAGGTAAATGCTAAAAGCTCAGTGAGTCTGTGAATCAGGGTCCATCTCTCCCCGATTTGAGCTCGACGAGTGTCAAGGAGCAGGCGGCGTACAGGAACTCGAGCCCAAGTATGTACAGTGTCTTTCCCTTAGCGATATATTCCAAATAGCTACCAGCTAATTCAATTTCAATACCTAGCAGGATGGGATCCTGATGTAACCGATAAAGCAATTGAGGGGTCGTACTCTAAACAACAAAATACTTCCAGACAAAGTAGTCCTTCAATAGAACTTTCCAAAACTCTCGGAAATCATATCGATCCTTCAATACCGAGTCCCTTACCAAGTGCATTCAACAATTCACATCCATCAAGTCTGGGCAACTCAAGTAACGTAACCGAATATGACTCAACGAACTCAAGCGACTTCGAAGAAGAAATTAATGGGATGGACCATGGTATCCTCCAACAGCTTACATCATCCATACTAGACGAGCTATTAGGTATCTTCTATAGGCAACTCAGTCTATCCAAAGGTCGGCCGAACGAAGCCGCTTCCGGAAACACGACATCACGCCATCAAAATCGCACAGCAACCCCAAAACAGGGCGACTCTCCTAGTAAAGACTCAGGCACTTCATTACGGGGTAAAAGGAGGCGCAAAGACAGTGACCAGCATCAATCAGGGGACGAGGGAGACGAAGACAGATACCCACACAAGAAGCTTCACCTGGACCGCCCTGTTGAAGTTCAACCTACATTTTGGGCGTGTCCGTTCTCTAAATGGAAACCCCTATCTTATCGCAAGTGCTGTCAGTATATCCTAAAGGATATATCCAGAGTGAAGCAGCACCTTCGTCGATATCATGAGAGACCGCCCTACTGCCCTGTATGCTGGGAAGTATTCCGAGAAGAAGACGGGTTCGAAAGTCATATTCAAGATCGTACTTGCTCCCCGCGACCAAAAACAGACCTAGAAGGTATAACTCCAACTCAACAAAAGCAACTCGAACGTCGCTCCGATAAGCAACTCTCAAAGCCAGAACAGTGGTACGCAATTTATACGATATTATTTCCAGGTCAACCGCATCCAGACAGTCCGTACTTAGAGAGTGACTTATCTTCCGAGCTACTGTTATTACAGAAGTTCATAGCAACGGATGGGCTGGAAATCGTGGAGCGTAAAGCTCGAGAGCATATACCGCCAGATTTAATGCCCCACGAGGATGAGGTGCTAGCCTACTCACAGGCCCTGTTTCAGCAAGCAATACCAGAGATACTCCAAAGATACGACGCTTCTAGACCTATTAACAACGGTCCTGAGATACTCAAAAGATCTGGGTTATCTTCGTTAAGTGGGAACGATTGCGACTCCGGATATGGTACATTATCCCAAGTAAGCCAAGATAGAAGCACCCAGAATAAGGGACTGGGCACACACAAAGAGCAGGATCACGGTATAACGAATGGGATCGACCACACTGGTTTCGACTGGACGTCAATTGATGATGTTCAGATACAGGCCTTATTAACGAAAAGTCAAGTTACAGCAGATGCAGCCCAATGTCAAGATTTATCCATCGTTCAAATAAGCCTCGAGAGAGGCTCTCAACACTTTACACCTTATGGATCTCTGGATTTACCATCGAATTTTACGTTACATCCCTGTGATGAACACCAGCTCTTTGGATTAAATGAGAGCGAAGCAACATTAGCTAACGGCCCATACAATTGGGATGCTGCTGTCGGTGCCATATTCGACAACAATGGGACTTCGGCGTCGACAGATCACAGCTAGGAATCCCAGACCTTAGGCTACGATAAAAAGTTGGACACAGCTCTAACATGGATAAACCAGTGCTGCAGGCAGATAAAAGGAGATGGGAAGATGCGGGACATCGACATCTATAGGATCTATTGTAACTAGATAGATTAAGGTGTAGTTAAGTACTTACAGTCATTATAGAAACATAAAAAATAAAAAACCTCTTCGCTAACGGTCAACTACTTTACAATACATATATTTCTTTATCGAATGGGTGATGATATTTGACTGGTACCGTATACGAGCCTCATTTAACACGCCTGATTTAGATATACAGGTAGTTAGTCTGTCAAGCATTATGTGGAGTATACTCTAAAAAGTCCAGGAGGATCTACATGGTAGTCCACAGTATGCCTTCAAATATGTGTACATAACCCCCTTGCTAGATCAGCACATGGCTTAGTTTGCTAAGACACCGAGTAGCCCCACGTTATTGCGGCGGGTACCATTTGAAGCATACACAGCCCGATTTCACGCACATACAAATTCGACCTCCAAGGCTGCGAGTTGAGGGATAACTTAAATAGACCATAACTTGTTCACGCAAATCCCCTATCCGTGCTATTAAGTCCGGCAGAATGGAAATTCCACTAGAAACCCCCAACCCACCAGTAAACATTTCCAACGGTTACGTCTCACCGCAGCAGACTACTTTAAACGTGTACTGCCATGACAGAATCTTTAAAAAGGTCACAGTCACGGATAGTACCGGCCAGCCTGTATTCCGAGTCGAGGGTACGAGTTTCGGAACATCATGGAGCTGGAGGCGTAAGGTCTTGGACGGCTCCAATACTCACATATTCGACTTCCGCCATAAAAGCGTCGACATTAAGAACGGCTGGATCATCGAAAATCCCAAAGGCGATAAGCTCTGCTCGCTAGTACACAAGTCCCAGATCACCCATAGCCACTCGGCTATTGACGCCACCGTACGCACCCAAGCAGGCGAAAAAGTCCTAGTAATAATGCGGCCCAACGACCATGCGGCGCTGACTACGACTATCAGTGTTGATGGCACCGCCATTGCGACCATCCGCAAGGTTGAGGATAACGACATAGCTTCTTTAGGGACTCGAGACAGAAGTGTTTGGGAAGTGCGAGTAGCTTCGGGGGTTGACCTAAGCTTAGTGAGTATTGACTTATTGATTTCATCTCCAGTTATAAAAATGTAGTTCTAATAACAATTATAGATTATGATTTTGATGCTTTGTCGCGCTGAGATGGGACACGTGTGGAGGCAATGATGAGCTGGGAGTGAGATATGACCAGATCTGTTATTGGTATTCCATTCAAGTTCGTACGTCATGTAGAGCTTATTCTAGTGCTGAATAAAGAAAAAAACGCCTAACAACTTGTGAAAACTGAAGGTTTCTAGGCTTAACTACATTATCCAGTCTTTTTACGTTTATACTACCTCCAACGGATATATTCCTTTAGGTAGCATACGATATAAAGAGTGCCCGAGTGAGTCTGACCACCACGAGACGCCGGCTTTAACGACTCCACTCACCTTGTGATTATAAATTGGTGCCAGCCATGCTAACATGTTTAACTATAAAGTCAGAGTAACTCCCTTTGGCATATATTTATAGAAGCAACATCCTAATTAATAAGACTGAAGTATATTCAGAAATTCCATTTACCTTGTATTATATACTAATAGCGTACCTTGTGACTAAAAAGGTACCAGTACGTTTATCTATAGATTAACACTCATAACACAACACCCATAAGAGAACGACCCACTACCTATGTTTCCAATACTTTAATTTGATATAGTATACTCAGGTAAGAGAATGTATGAGCGGTGTAAGAAGAATGCCAATCCAACTCACCCCAGCACATGGCTAAGGATATTTACGCACCAACCAATTACATCGTATGAGTAGGTCACATCGTCGTTCACCTACGGGATTATAAAGCAGCTGACGTACTCCATCTTACCATAACGGGTATTAGCTTGGGAATACTAACAGAGCCATATAATACTAGCGAAGAGGCTATCTTACTAGAGAAAACTGTCTATATAAGCGGGAATTCCATCAATCCAGTCAGGTATAATGCAGGAGATTGTAGTTACAAAAAGTGGTACAGCCTGAGAAAATATACTCCATCTAACTAAAAAGCTGAGGACCGAGGGGTGAACAATTTCTGGCTCACATTTCGGTAAATCTCTGCAGAATGTCATCACCTTCGAGAGAACAACTCTTAGGGACTGCCAAGCTCTTCATAGAGGCGTTCAACGAGTTCACACCTGAATCAGTCGTGCGATACCGCAGTCCTACATGTACGCATCGACTAGTTCCGGCAACCCTAAACTCGCCGCCACAAAGCAATACCGAGTACGCAGGCCTCATAGCAGCGCTAACAACCATTATGCCGACGTTCCATCTCCGAATCGTTGATGGAGGAGAACCGGTGGTAGACGAAGTCACTCGTAAGGTCGTATTGCATTTGAAGTCGAGGTCCGAAACGGCCGTTGGGCTATATGAGAATGAGTATGTTTGGATGTTGACATTGAGCAAGGATGGTAAACTCGTGGACGATATTTTGGAATTTGCGGATAGTTTATATACAAGTGATCAATTACCAAAGCTGAAGAAAGCGGTCGAGGACGCAGTTAAGAAGTGAGGATAGATCTTAGTTAGACCATCAAGGCGAATAGAGGGAGTTTGAGAAATGAGGAGTACCGTCACCGAGAGTCCAACTTAAAGCTTCCAATTTTCTAGATCTATTAGGTCCTTAAGTTAGTAAATGTGGAGCTATCGAAGACTTATATACGGCCCAGCGCCCACGTGCTCCGGAAACCATGCGGGCCGGAACGTGATCTACTATAAGCTTTGTGACGTAAACGAATTCACCATTATTACCGTCTTCAATTATAGGTTTGTCACATACAAAGCATTTACGAACTTGCTCTATATAAATTTATCGAGCAGGATCCTATTAGTATTCTAGGTAAATACGCGAAGCACCCCGATGATACTGGCTTTAAAATTAAGGCGGATGTTTTCTTACAAACGAACAAAACAATACCTACATGGCACGACTTCCGAATTGGTTATTAAGCGGTTAATAATATCTACGACTCTTTACAATATAGTGCGTTTACTATCGTTATTTAAACCTAGTTTGGGCGTAAAAGGGAGCTTACAGACGAATTGTGCTTATGCTCTTGCTATATTTGATGACGTTGATATGAGCTTTCCTTTTCGGATCTCGCGGAGAGAGACACGGTGGAGTACCTTATACTAGGGTACTATGTATTTCTACCTCTTATTAGAATGAATAGTCGATTTTTGGACCAATCAAGCTACTTGGATATTTGGGGGTATCTCCCTCGCAATTGAGGACATATATTGGTAAACTTATTTGCTTACCGGGCAACTCAACCTTTACGTTGACAGGGTTTACTTTGGATTAACATAAGACCCATAAAAATACCTGCCGATAACCGTAAGAGTCCGGATGTTTATAATGGTTATATGGATCAGCCATGTCGGGATTTGTGGGGAGACGGCCCCGCGTGATGGTCGTAGTCGTATCGACAAGGAAGCTACTTGCTTCGGTGGCAAAGTTTAAGGGAAGTGACTCCAGACCACGCGATAGATATGTATGAATGGGGATCCAAGGGGGGATCGACACTAGCTGCACAAATATACCGGTCTTATCTATACAGACAGACATATTCGTGTCGCGAGAACAGTATACAGAAGGCTGTAAATGCCAAACCAATCGAGAATAACCGGTTAGACGGTCGGGGTTCTATTGTGTATAGCATCAACAGCGATCTTCAACTTTCCGGGAGAGCTATTACGTATCAGCATACGTATTGGTTTAAATGAGCAATCCTCGTCTCGAGATAATGTTAGCATAACATCGCAACGGGAAGGTAAGGTGATCTGGATCGCGGATAAGATGAATTTATCAAATCAAAATAATCATAATAATTCGGTGATCTCGATTGCCCCCGCGCCCTTTTATTCTGAGTTGCGAGCATGTAGCCGGCTGATAGTCGCGTGTTCGAATCCTGACACTAACATGTAATTTCGTATATCAATTGACAGCACAAGGTGTTAAGTATGATTATACAAATCTCATGTGAAAATGTTAGCCTACTTTGCTCCATCTATAAACCATAATGCTGATAGTTATAGTTCAGTTGTCGCTGGAGGGCTGGAGCAAGGCTGCTGAATCAGAAGAAAGGAGGCAAATATGTTGTAAGTAGGTAAACTACCTCAATATGTACGTCCACTGCATATGTACATGTATCTACCTGATATGAGGTTAAGTCACCTGACGGCTTGATTGAACGCATCCTGCATAGGTACATCCTAACATTAGGTAATATGGGACCAGAAATTGGGCACTGTGGCTCGGTGTGGCTGCACAAAGTGAAAATCGGGACCATCCAATCCACTAAAGACAACTAACGACAGGGGTATACCCCCGGGTAAGCATCTAAGATCTTCTAAGAAATAGCAGATCGAGATTTTACAAATGCTCTTATCCTCTTTGGGTCGCTCATCGTACGACTTCTGACCTAATGAGGTCTAATGAGGTTACAATTCGTGGAATCGTGGAAACAAGCAGTTTACCTCTTAGAAGTTAGAGCCATACATAGAAGCCATAACTGCCATGAGTCTTTTTTGTCCGGCTTCCCTCGATGTCAAGGTGAGTGTCAGATAGGTACCGTCCGACTTATTTTAGATGGCAGGGTCGTCTCCGATCCACGCCCTCCTTAACGGTTGCTGTCCGTATGCAATTGGTCCGTTAAAGTTCGGCTAGACTCTGAATAGATTTCTGCTCACACAGCGTGGGTGCATGGCTGGCCCCACAGGACCCTTGATCGGCGGAAAAAGGTACGTCGTTCTGTACGATTCCAGCAGGTTACGCTCGATCGTGAGGAAGCTGCACCCCCAAGTGTATCGGTCGTAACGATTGCTAAATCACTTTTGAATCTGCAAGGAAAGCAAGTCCGGGCGGCGAAGGGGTCTTACGGTGGGTAGTTACTGTTTTCGTAACCCTCCTGGATCTCGATGCGCATTCTATTTTCTTCAATACATATTGTTATAATGGCAGGGAAGTAAAATTCTCTTTTTTATTTTCTACTAAATGTATTCCCTAAAAATGTATGCTCTTGCAACCCTAGATACCTAGCTTAAGTACCTATTGCATGCATCCATCATCTATTATATCTATTATATCTATTATATCTATTATATCTATTATTATATGCTTCATCTTCTAGCTCGACTTGTGTTTTGCTCGATCTGCTCCCGGGCCAATACACTCTAAGCCCTCTCGATACGAACCGAATCTTAAGCCAAGGGAGAAACTCTGCATGTAGGTATGACGTTGCATCGTCGACTTTTCACGAATCCCAACCCCCTTTGGGTCCCTTTGGGTTACCGCACCCTAAATGCATCGCAGCGATATCTTGCAGAAGGGTTTCCATCGAATTCTCGCACACTCTTTAGCTACTTATTATCGACCCATTCATTACAGCCAATATGCGCTTGTAGTCTCGCGCGAATGGCCGCAATGTGCTGTCCATCCTCCTCACCTAGATAATCATTCCTCAATTTTGCTAAGACGCACCGATGCAAAACCATCTTGCTTTTGCTCGCCGTACTGATATATTATGAAACTAGAACATACTCCCTATTGACGACTATGTCGCTACAAAATTCCTGCTACATTCTCAGATGATCTATTGAAAGTTCATTTCTCTCTCTCGCCTCTCACTATACCAGTATACGAAGGTATCAGTGCGAGCAGCATGGCCGACTGTAAAGACGCGCCCACTGTACCGAGTGTTACATATAATAATCCGAGACGAAAATCGCCCGATGCCTCTATAACGCTGCAGTATCACCGACAAGCGAGAAATGCTTCCAAACGCGACCCCCAAACAGCTAACCCGCCCATCCATCCAATCTTTTCCAAACCGCGAAGGAATTCTTCTGGAGACAGCAATGAAACAGGTATGAGCGACCCGAAGAAATGGTTTGATACATCAAACCAGAAAGCAATGCACACAGCCGACATCGACGAAGCTCCATTTTACCAAAAAGAGACAGATTCTTCCAATGAGGAGGTTGCAAAGTATGGGTTGCCGTTGCAGAGTCTAGCATACCAAACCCGCCCGGTTGGACTGGCACCTAGCAACCAAAGCGCTGATGAATTCCGTTCCGTAATCGATGACTTAACGGTTGAGAACAAGCGCTTGAAGGAGGAGCTGAGGAAATATAAACAGATGGGGCCCGACTCATTGCGGAGGGACAAATTATTCGAGGTCAAGGTTCATGGCCTATCTAGTAGAAAGAAGCGGGAGCTGGAGGCTGCGCTACGGGATTTTACAACAAGTTTCGAGGGTTCGAGTGCCGGACCCTCCCCAAGCCGGAAGAAGACGTCAGGCAAGTCGAAGAATATCCATTCGTCAATATCCAAACATGCGTCGTCGTCGTCTGGGTCTAACTCGAGACCCGTCGACTCCGCGTATGCATCTATGTCGACCGGACCAAGCTCTTCTGTCCCGTCCCTTCCCGGCCAGGCTAAGGCAGCACGAGAACGATCTGAACAGAAGATCGAGAACTATCTACGAGATATCCCCGAAGGTTTATGGCCGCGACCTACCATCATGACCGAGAAGGATAAGAAAAAGCTCGTAGTTAAGCGACTCGAACATCTTTTCACAGGCAAAATGGCCGATCCAGCAGAGTATATCTTGTTACCTCAAGTCCCCGAACATGTTGTCGAAGACGTGGAAATGGGAGGAACTATCGATAAAGCGGCAGCTCCAAACGATACGATACGAGAAGCGCAAATCCAACCGCGAGATTCGAGTCGGAAGGAGAGCAGCTCACGTGACAATGGATCTGCATCTAACTCGCATTCGCATTCAAATGGTGACCGAACAGACACAAGGGATAATGGCAACGGCAACGGCAACGGCAACGGAACTAGTAATATTCGCGCGAATGAGAGTGGTAACAATACATCACCACACATATCAATGTTACTACCGGAACAGCGCCCTACACGGCCACGCGACTTGGACCCTGATCGCAGACAGGTACCATCAGAAAACATGGATTACATACGTCATCTGGGATTGGTAGCGCCCGAATCGCAGAAGCAATTCTCTGCAAGGGATGTGTCGCCAGATACGGAAGGATGGGTGTATCTCAATCTGCTGTGCAATTTAGCGCAGCTGCATATTCTCAACGTGACCCCAGCTTTCATTCGTAATGCGGTATCGGAGAAGAGTACCATGTTCCAACTGTCGCCTGATGGAAGAAAAATCCGCTGGCGGGGTGGAATTGAGGGTACCAGGTTCAGCAGTGACAGCGGTAGCTATTCGCAGCATAACCAATCAAGCGATGACACGGACGGATCGAACGATCAGGAGCAAAGAAAGAAACAGAAAACGCAGGGATCTGGAAATGACGTCACCGCGCACAAACCCTCAAAGTTCGGTCTCGGCGTGCAGCAATCTAATTCATCCGAAAGTTTCCACTATAAACCGTTATTTGTACACCACCAGACATCTTCGTCAGACGAACAACCATCGGGGGGTGATGAGACCGGCTCGTCTTTTGGGCCGCCCGAGGAAAGCAACTTGGGGGGTATGGATTCTCGTTGGGGTCAAAGTGGCGTATCAGGTGTCTCGCAGCGTAAGCGCCGTCGTGACGGTGCAATCATTTATTATAGTGGAGCACCTTTCTGCACGGACCTCTCGGGTGATTTTGGAGAGGGAGAAATCTCCCCGGCTACTTATGATATGACCTCATCAGGGGACCATGGCAACCAGGGACCCATGCTGCAGCCCATGCAGCCCCTCAGCCTCGGCAACACCCGCCCACAATTCAGCCGCTCTACGTCAGGATCGTCGCTTCCTTTCAGACCGCTTAGTGCCGTTGACCATTCCGATCCGCCAGAGCTAACTTCGGCTGAGACAGATGACGAAGATATTGAAGCCAATTTTTCTTGGTCCGATAGCAACCAGCATGCTCCATTGTTGAATCTCGAGGCTAGTGGTTTAGGAGGTACTTATCCTGAAGATCATTTTGTAGTAATCGTGCCAACACGACGGCCGAAAAACGCGCATTATGATGGAAACAGCGCTTCCGAAGATGAAGATGAAACCCCATCAATACGGCCGAGCCTCATTAGGCGCTCGGGTCAGGAAACAACAGACACCATCATTAACAAGTTAGCTAGTATGACGACTAGCTCACCAGCGCCATGCCAGACCTCGGTTACCAGAGCGCATGCCGTTCAGATCGAATACCTGCCAGGGAAGATTCGTCGACTAAATCCCGTGCCTCTCCCACCACCTACCTTTTACTTTCCAGCCGGCGAATCTGACTTCGACGAGGATGAGGACGAGGACGAGGATGAAACCATGGACGACTCTTCGGAGAGCCTTATAAGTAGGCAGGCTATCGTAGAAGATGGCCCGAGTTCGGATGTTGACTTGTCTGGAAATGATGAGGAAGATGAACACTCCGATGACGGTCAGCACTACGATGCTAGCGGGAGCATATCGCCCGAGGATATGGACGAGCTTCCTGATGTCACCCAACTTTTACGGGGACGTAGTATAAGGGTTTCGGAAAGATCTATCACTACTGGGAGTTCAGCAGCGACTGCTGGCGGAGCTGTTAGCGGCTATAATAGTAGTATTGAGGACATGTGAGAGGAGAGCCAAATTTGCTACACATAGCGACCTAATTATTGTGCTGAAAGAGTACCATTTTGAATGAGGGACATACTCTCAATGGATGTATTTCTATTTACTATTGTCGTGGCATTCGGTTGGCGTAAAAATTTGGCGGCCTGCTTTATAACGGGCGGCATCTGAAAACGACCCAAGGCGGCAACGGGGACTGATTTGATATTTGATATTTAAACTAGTAATATTGCTAGCGTACGAGGCTACAATGACATAATGATATACTACTAATTGACAAGTGAAAGAACGAGATCTTGGGTACCTATTTATTCACCTTGGATTATCCCTAAATACTGACTGTCGTATACACTATATACACTATGCATGATAGAACTGAATAGAACTGAACTGCATCCATATGAGGTACCTAAGGTATCCATGTATGTAGTTTTAAAGAGTTGGTCACGTGATGTTTGTAACTACTTCAACTCTAATTTGTGGAGACACATACTTTGTACACTCACCTGGGCAGCTGGATTAGAAATGTCGACCTTGGATGTGATACTTTAAAGTACAAGCTCAACTTGAGAACAAACATTACTAAGGTAGATACCTACATACATATTTATTTATCTACAGATAATAATAAAGGTCCATGTAATTTTCTATTTCTATTTATTTCAAAGCACAAAACCATATATGTCTTTTGATTTCACACAAAAGCATCCACAACAGAAAGCTCTCATCAATTCGAGTGCCCTACGTGTTGTCGACTTGGGTCCTTTACCACCACCACTTCAAAGTTTCGGTTAAGTTTGCCGACAAGATGAATCGAAAGGATCATTCCAGTATTCTAGGTACGTTATCTCATATATTCCCTGGACATCTTTATCCTGGATCTACGAATGGACCTGTCGGTTGCGATCCCTAGAACAACGAAGCCTGGAGTAATCCCGAGTAAGGACGCGTAGGATTTGGTTTGATAAGATGCACCTTGCACCCATTCTTTCCCAACAATCTTGGTCACGTCGGACACCACCGTTACCCAGGAAGCAGTTAATACCTGAGAAGGCATCCTTTCTCTACAAGATGGATATATTTTAACCGGGTTCGGCTTGTAATATACTCTTACTCTGTATACATCATAAGCAACATCTTGGTGTCTATAGGCTACAAGTCGCTTTATCCTGCTCTATCAGCAATACAGCATGGCTTCTACGGACATCTTCGGCGACCTAATCTCGCGCGTCGACAACCTGGATCTCAACATAGACGAAGATGTAAACGATATGGTCTCGGGTATTAGAAAGCTGGATATCAACTCGTCCGAGAGCTCCCAAGATGATTCCAAAGCATCAGATGCACCTGTCGAGTCCACGGATCTGGCCAATAATGCCCCAGGCTTCAAAAAGCCAAGCCGAAAACCACAGCAGAAGAAGGCTAACTGTAGTACGTTACTAGACCGTCACAACCGCGCCATCGCGCAGATCCTGTCGCACTTCCGCAACATGGTCATGGCTGCTACCGCACCCATCTCGCAAGGCGGCAACGTCCTTGAGCTCGCTGCGCTCAACCGCATGACCATGGAGACTGAGTCTGCCGCTTTGGTATGTACCTCTGCCTTCTATCTCTCCTTCTCACCCTATCCCCCTTTCCCTACTTACCCTGACCTCCCCATATAAACCGCCCCACTAACACCCTCCAGATCTCCGAAGTCCAAGGCCTTCTAGCCATCAACCGGGAAATCAAAGCTCTATGGATCCGCGGGCCACTCCGACAGCCCGGCGAGAGCGACACCCGCGAGGCTGAGCTCGACAAGCAGGCCGCGGACGTCGCGCGCCTTTACGATCGCGCCATCGAGATGCGGGAAGCTACTATCCGCCAGCAGAACGCTGCTAAGGCCGGAGGTGATCTCTCCGCGAGTTCCTAGGAGGACAAGGCGGGTTATGAGAAGACCGGCGCCGAGACTTCGGATATCGCTGCGAAGGGGAAGAGTGATAAGGACGCTGGTAAAGGTGGCGATAGTGCTGGCGAGAGAACCCGCCCCAACCCGCCATCTACTGATAGCTAGAGTGATTTACCATGGAGGCGGGGAGTTAGCGATATCTTACGCGACTATGCCCAATTTACCCTTCAGCCGCTTACCGATCATAACAGGCCACAATAGATATATATAGCCAAGATGTCGAGCAGAATCGATGCCACAAAGGTTAATTTACTTCACCTTAGTGGGCTACATAGATCCATCTGGGTATAGTACGAATACATTAACAGCTTGTCCTCTAGGCAATAGCAGTATTCCACTTCTCGGCATCATTTATGAGTCTACCATCAAATCATACGTGACTCCCAGCCAATGGCCCAGCCCTCGAACAGCTCAAGTCGCACACGCGCGACATCAGGTTGTACAATACGATCAACCTTCGCCCTCATCCGGATTCTCCTCTCCATCATCTCCCAACTCCTCCTCGAGCTCCTTGGGTATCGATTCCATCGGCCCGATCCTTTGCTCCGCCGCTTCTATGCCTCCTGCAGTAACCCAAAGGAAATAACCCTCCTTGTAATTGTCGATTTGATGGAAGAAGGTGTGGAAACTAACGACCAGAGTTAGTAAAGCCGCACGTATACTAACACTGAGCAAAATAAGAAGTTCAACTTACGAATTCTCCTTCTCCTCTAGCTCAAAGATGCGGCGGTAAATCTGCGAATCCTTAAATTCCTGGATCTCCTTTTCGTAGTTTCCGAAGTCGAGCTCTGGTAAGTTGTACTGTTCCCGAGCACGCTTGTTGTAGTTCTCGAACACGGGCCGCTCCAGCAGCAGCCCCAGACTAGGAGCCTTGGGGATGCTAATGCGGGCGGTCCCGTAGCTCTCGTCGATGCGGGACAGGGGTGTGGCGCAGCGGGTGACGAGGACGGCCATGCCGACCATCTTGCGGATCTGATGCATCATGAAAGATTGCCCGTGAACCTTGAGTGATAGCCATTGCGTGTCGTTAATCTGGACGGGTTCTGGGTTTGCGATGAAGGACTTGATGGTGCGCTTTGCCGAGGGGTCTGAGTGGCTCTTCTGGATGGTGTAGTTGTGGAAATTTTTCGTGCCTAGGTATCGATCGAGCGCTTCTTGAAGTTGGGATAACCGCTCGGGAGTGACGCGGTATCGTCGCTTTGCGGCTACGTATGCGGCTTTGATCTCCTTCAGGGCGCGATCTACAGGATGAATCTCCTTAGATTTAGTGGCTTCTGACTCATCAGCGTCCTCAGTTCCAGTCATCAGGGTATCTGCCGGTTCCGAGGCCAACTCTGCTGCTACAGTCGAGCTCTCTTCCGGAGCATTATGTACTGAATTGGATGCATCTGTGGGCTTGTCATCTGATTTGGTCCCAGTGATTTCATCCTTTGTTTCAAGAGAGTTGTCTGTAGGCTTCTTCGAAGACTTGGGCTCCGCCACCTCGCCTGAAGTCTTGCTGCCGGATGCTTCTTCAGAGGTATGCATGCGTCGTATGACAGTTTCCCGGATACTAGGGTCTAAGCTACCCAAAATAGGTTGGATATCGTTCTTCTGCACTTCTTCCCAGTAGTCTTTAACTTCGCCTAGGCGTTTCGCGTATTCTTCCTCGAGACCCTTCTCTTTGATGGACTCGAGAACCTTTTTGCCAAGGAAGCTCTCAGGATGAGGAGGTAATAAGCAATAACTCGGCATTAAGTACTCGTACCACCTAGAATCGCAGGTTTGGTAGCAGCTGAAAGCATTATTCGTACGTTGAATACCCCACACTCGAATCTGAGGCGGCAGGTTGTCGTTTATATTCTTTACAACGTCTGGGTCCTCAATGATCAACTTGAGAGAGATCATATTGCCAGCGGCATGGACACCTTTATCAGTTCTCGCACATCGTACAAAGCTGGACTTCCTAGGATCATCGGCATTGGCTTTCGAGATGGCCTTAGCCGCAACTAGCGCAGCGAAAATATCTCCCTCGATCGTCTTCTCCTTGTGATTGATTTGTAGACCATGGTATCCCGTGCCAGCATATCCAATCATGACGGAGACTTTGCGTTTCGGTCTGCGTTCTTCGGCCGCGATCTCTTCTTCAGGAAACTGAATATTCATGTAGCTGGACTCGCTATTCACGGCGGAATTTCCGTTCTCGTCAACTCTCCTACGCTTTCTTTCTTGCCAACCTTTCTCGTTACGCTCGCGCTTATCCTTGGGTCCACGACTACGGGCTAGTTAGCAAGCATTGGCTTGGGTTCATGGAACCAATTGATTAATAGTAAGGCTTACCTGTCCCCACCGCGCCCATTGCCCCTACCCTTCGAGTCCTGACCTCGGCGACGCCCGTTAGAGTTGAGCTTTCTGTTGGCGTGCCTGTTTCCATCATCGCGGCGGTTTGACTTTGTAGTGTCTGAATCGACCTGCGACTCTGGATTCGCGGATAGACTAGATGTAGGTTTAGGCTCATTTCTTTCGGAGCTTCCGGTTGGCGCGTTGCGCGCATCAGTCTCGGCCACCATCTTGAAATGCGATGGTGAATTCGCATAATCAGTACAGGTGAAATTATTTGCGGTTTGATAAAAGTTTCGGGGCAGTTTGCGCAGTTAACTTTTGGGGGAAGCAGCTCCATTATCGATAAGGATGAATGAGGGGCGCTTGATAAGGTACCTACCTCCTAAGATACGGAATACCTCCTATCCGTAATTCATTTAACCGAGAGAACCTTACGTCTTAACTTGGAACCTTCAACTTCCACGATTCAGGGGAGAGGATATCATATTCGTCTTAGGTAGATGTTTTGGAGAGTTCCTTTCTAGTACTACTTTACAGTTCCAACTTCCAACGCTGTACCGCTACAATATGCTCCTTAAATACACTCCGGCAACCGTTCTCTAGACTCCCGTAGTCTTTAAACATCAAATACAATCTCAATGACCGAGTCATGGGCACCGTGAGGCTTCGTGATATTCACAATACGAAGTCTCTCATCAGACGCGGCCAGGAGAGCCTCCCAGTTTCTTTTGCTACGCTCTTTGCCGTTAAATCCGGATTTCATGAAGATGTCCGCACTCCTAGGATCAGAGTTAGAAAGGCATTGCCACTAAGAATGGATACTCAAAAGAGTAAGGACAACTATTAATATTGTGACTTACCTCTGCATTCGATCTTTCAACCGATTTTCGTCACTCAAGTTGGGAAGAACAACCTCAGAAAGCCAAATCTTGCTCCCTTTTTTAAGAGCTGGTACCAGGTTTTTCAAAATTTTGGCAGCGTACTGGTCGCTCCAGTCATGGAAGATATGGCGAAATACATACACATCCGCGTGATAAGTTACTTTCTCAGTGAGGAAGTTGTAGCTCTTGTACTCCAATCTGTTGTTAAGGTCCTCGGGAACTTTGGCATCGGCGACAACTTCTGGGAGATCCAACACTACACCTTTCTTGACGTTGGGATACGTGCGGAGAACTACAAACTCAATGGTTAGCAATATGCTAAAATTAAATGCTTGAGGAGAAGCTATCACAACTCATACTATCCGGACAGTGTAGTACATGTTGTCCTAATCAAAGAGAAAGTGGACAGACAACGAAAGTGCTCGAAATATTGAAGTTGAGCCTAGGAATGATCATACTTAGCTGGATTACTTCACCGCCAGCCCCACCGATATCGACGACAGTCTCCGGGCATTGGCCTTTATTTGCCCACGGCAAGGTGTCGACGAAATACGACGACTTAAAAGCCGGAGCCTTGGTCGAAACACCCATGGCAGATCGAAAGCGGGCAACTCGTGTCTTGTCTTCGGCGATGTAATCAAAGAAATTCTTGCTTGGATCAGCGATCTCCTCCTTGTCAATACCCATTTCCTTAACTGCCTTCTCCTCTCTAATGGCTAACACCGAAGCAGAGTGTCCTGGTTCCCCGCTGTCTGGGAACCGCCGCATGCTTTCGACGAGCTTGGTAACACCGGACAACTGCTCGTCGATAAATAGACCTAGGATATCTTTCATTTCAGGCACAGTAAACACCGATGAGATGGCATTGTGTCTGACGGACATATCAGGGGTAACTTCCTCGAACACGTAGAAGGTGATGGCAGCCTGCACAATGCGACGCGTATCCTCCTCCGGAAGGCCACAACTTTTTGCGAGATCTTTGTACGATATCTCAGCATTGGGTGCAAGAGGAACATGAGAGGCGATGTCAAATGCATATAGAGTTTTGAAAACAGCTACTACAGCGGACTTCGGTGTGTAAGTCAATAAGTACAACTACTGTGGTTTCTCGTTAAGGCTAGACAGGTGATAGATACATACCGTTGGTAATAGAAAGGATAAGAGATAACCCATTGGTCCCAGCAGGCGAACACGTAGTTCTTCGATGGTCTCAAGAAGCTCGTCACGAGTTCCCCCAAGAGTAGGAGACAACTCGATTTGTGGCGGTGCTCCGAATGCAAGTGAGAACTGAGCCCCAGGAGATCCTTTCAATCCATCTTCTAGTGTCCGCGTATTGCGTTCAACGATGGATGCAAGTTCAGAAACGGATCTCAGGGGTGCCATAGTGTCGTTAGGGGGGCTCTGTCAAGTAGACAAGTAAGAGAAAATAAGTCAAAATACTAGTAACTAGCTAGTTTAAAGTCTAAGAAGTATGAAGACAACTTATCAATGCCTTTATATCTAGATTCAATTATTAAGTGAGGTAGTAGGAGACTTTAAATAGTCGTTCAAGTCACAATAAGGCTCCTATAGTTGATGCTATCGTTATCCCCGAATCCGAATGAATATGCCGAAACCGACCGACTTGCCCCTATTTATTTCGGTATATTCCGCAGACTCCGGCCATCTAGCGCATAATATAGGATTGTAGTACTCTCGACTATTATTTCCTATATCATCTATGAGTCACGATTATTTAATAATAGTTTTGTAGTTAGTCGCTTCAAGAGCGAGAGCGAGAACGAGAGCATACGCGTACATATCATCATCCGTGACTCAATTTTGACAAGTCGCCAAAACTAGAGATGTTCTATAGTCTACGTATCTAGTAAGTCTAACCAGGCTACAGCAAAATAATTAATATGTCATAGATCCAAGAGAGGCATAGTCTAGCAATCTTCCTACTAAAACCTGGAATGTTGAAATTACAACTATTATTACCGAACCTCTAGAATGTTAACACACGACCGGATCATGAGAATATTATGCCAAGGCTGCCTTGTAATATACCTAGTAACTATGGTTCTATCAAGGTGCCATTTCTCTTGCCTCACCTATAGAACAACCTAACCTAGGTACCTAAGGCGCCAGGGGCTAAACATTTCCCGCATCGTAATCATATAATTTCGACCACTCTCTTCCTAGCCGAACCACACTACTACACCTTGACACTACCTGCTCAGGTGAGGCGACACGGAAAGTTAGGTACTTGAGTATATTCCTAATCCTTCTCGCTTCTAATAGGTGTAACGGAAGTCGGGCTGAGATCCCTCCTATACCATATATTAGTTTTGAATCTTGCAGTGGCAGAAACAAATGCCTTACGTCGGTTGTTTCAAGATGCTTCTCTCCTCGGTCGGCTTTCTTGTTGTCGAAATAATAGGATATGTCTAACAGGACTACGATAACGATTGCTAATAGACAGCATGCTATGCACGCATATAAGCCAGGTCGGTATCCAGTAGCAGCATCTTGAGATCTAATTGCCTGTCAGTATCGACCGAGAATGTACCTATTGTCAATGGTTTTTACCTAAAGACCAGACTGCCAGCAATGCCACCAATACTAGCAAAGCTGACCCAAGACGCACTTGCGAAGGCTCGCTTCCATTGTCCGCGGATGTTGTTGGCCTGGTACGCTAGCGATGCCGGGACATTTGCTGTTGCTCCGGCAGTCACAAGGAACGATCCGAAGTATCTAACACCGTTGTTGGGGTGCCATCCAAGGATAGGTAGGCCGATAAGTGCGACAACCATGTTGGCGACCAAAATAGGGCCACGCAAGTGGTAACGATCTCCAAGCCAGCCCATGATGTACATGTAGATGCCCGAAAACGCATAAGGGGGTGCGATGAGGGTAAGCGAAATACCGCGATCAAATCCCAAATTCGTGTTTAGAATAAGGGGTAAGAAGTAGGCTAACGAATAGGTCAAAGTGTTGGTACAAAAGGCGATTAGGCCGTATCCCCTAATGAAAGGTTAGCTGAAAACATATTCGACGTCTCTTTTCCATGCAAGGAATGTTTTTCTTCTGCCCATGATGCTTACCAGACTCTCAAATCTAAACCGCCCTTTAAAAATAGACTGATCTTAAACTTGGGGGCTTCGACATCACCACGGTCGGCATCAACGCGTCGAACAATCCACGAACGTTCTCTATCGCTCAAGAACCGCCAAGATTTGCGCTTGGAATCAGGGAAGTCGACCAGGAGCCAGTAGCCAAGAGAGGCTAGGAGGCAGGTAATGACACCTGGATGAATGTTGGTTAGTACTTAAGATACACCCCATAGGACCGACGACTCTGAGTTACCTTCAATGATAAAGATCCATCGCCAACCACTAAGGCCTGCGACACCGTCGAGTTGCATCAAGCCGAATGCGAGAATTCCCCTAAACCCCTTTAGTTAATGACTACCAACAGATTTACATATTGGGAGTGTCCTTACGAGCAGGCCGAAGCAACGCAGCCAAGAAGGTAGAAGACCGAGTATCTTCTGCCCATCTCATCTGAATATTTCGTTAGATACCTGTATTCATCATATTTAAAGGTGACCTATTAGGATCTAATCTTACATCGAGTGTACCATGTCGACCTGCGGATAAGTTGGTGTTAGTCCCCCAAGATTCCAAGCCCCAGTGGAAGATGTAGTAAATGAATGTTGGGACATACAGTAAGTATACGCAGCCGGGGAAATAACCAGCCTCGAAGGCACCAAGGACTAGTCGAAGGGCCAGGAGGACTTCGAATGACGGACTGAATCCGAATCCGATCATAACGGCACCCCATGCCAACGTAATGGTGGACAGGAAGATGCGTGGGCCAACCTTACGGATCAGGATGGTAGAGGGCGGCTGGAATAAAATGTATGTGACGAAGAAGACGAGGGTAACAATTGACTAGAAGCAAAGGCTGGTTAGCGAAACAAGATCAAGGGAAATGATGAGGGCAGAAAATTCTTACATATCGTTCGCCAACAAGGTTCAACTCCTCGTTCATTCCAGCAACGGCGGCCGCAGACAAATTGGTTCGGTCCATAAGACTGATGCAGTATAAGACACCGACTAAGGTGACAAGTCGGCGGTCGATTCGCCATATAATCTTCTTCCCCTCCTGCTCACCGACATCGTCGACGACATTTGAAGACTGGGTCTTCTCCCCTTCAAACTGCCCGACTTCGAATTCCGCCTTCTCTTGATCGCGATCCATGATTAAAGCTTGCGTATAACTTGCTCAACTAGGGAGACAGGTAGATTGGTACCAAGGGTATTGTTTTATAGTCCTGATGGACTGGCCTAGGGTACGAATTAGCACGGGGCAATCCCCGTGGAGAGAAGAGATTGGGGAACGAGGGGTTAACCGGGGTAACTTGGCAGTGATCCCTTGCGTATATGAACGGGGAATATACCGATGTCTCGCTTGGAGATAGCTCCAAACTAGTTGGACCGGGTAGCTTGTTTAAGAAATAAGTTGCTGGTCATTGGCTGTTGTAGTGCGTGGGGAAGAGAATGCCCGGTTGCTACTTAACCAGCGGAGTTAACTACCAAGACGGGGCAGTAGGTATACTTTGTTACCTGTTAAATCTAGATTTCGGTTGCCCAGGAACTGAAGTCGAACGCGTGAGCATGAGATTACCTGACTTACCCGCGTCAACACTTGAAATATGATCGGCAGAATCCTTTAACGAGGGTTACACGTCAGTAATGGACGCGAAAGCGGTATCTCTAACATAGATCTTAGAGTTGCACGGAAAACAGAAACTAACTGCAATCAGGTGAATAATTTGATGATTCATGACTATGATGTACTCTTTGTTCATACTGGAAATAGAGATGTCCGCCAAGAAGCTATACTAGGTATACCACAATACCAAGGTAAAACTTGGGGTATCTGGTAGAACACTAACTAACTTGTAGTTAACCTCACCGATCCAGCTAAGAGGTAGCTAAGCTAACAACAATGAGCTACCAGCCTACTTTGCGGGGAGCACTTATGTATAGGTAAGTAATGATGAAAGAAGTCTTGTGAGACATTCGCTTATGATAGAACGCCTATTGATAGTAGAAAGTGTCTAGTCTAGACCCGCCCAAGATGTTACGATAATGGTTGAGAGTGCGGGGAAAGGTGCCGTAACTATACCTCGTTAGGACATTGACCGATGCATGGGGTATGCAGCTTGGGGAAGAATGCGGGGATGATCTCGAGATTGTTCCTCTGAAAGGTGACCGGGATTCAAAGGAATATTGCGGATCATATCTCTATGTGACTAGAAGTGTGTTTGGTCAACAAGATTTATGATGAAATAATGTGAACAGCGTAGTTACATCGCATGAGTTTTTAATATATTATGCCGGCAATCAAATATTATTAATAGTACAAAGATCAAAGTATTATCTCGGGAGTTTTACACCTATAATACAATTTAACGTAGTCTCACAAGTGTAATAGCAATCGTATATAAACTACCTAATAACCTACAAGTTGAGATCCAAATCGTTGGGACAGGACCTATGCTCTAACTGGCGCAAACTTCGCATACAAGAGTAGATTTATTGAATCCCACGCTTGGCACATTTACCTAATTGCCTAAGGTTGCATTGGTCAACATACTGTAGGTATAATTAGATCATAGTAATCCCATTCTATACATAGACAATTTTTGTAAATGCCAAATATCCCATATACATGAGCGTCCAGACGGATCTAGACTTCCATATAGCGCTTCTTAGGGCTAGCCGCACAGCCCCGAGGTAATTGGTGTTGATGAGCCTCATTCCCATATGATACTAATTCCAAATTCCCATGTTGTAGCCGGGGTTGGGTCTGGCTGACTACCGTCGGCCCGCGGCATTAACGATACGTGCCCAAGGTACGTAGTAAGGGGCTACGCGGATGTTAGTGATAATTTAAATGATTATATTGATAAGTGCTGGAATATGTAAGGCTGATAAATTAGGTGGTTGGTAATACGCTTTATATCTGTGGTTTATATATAATAAATATGTTTATTTAGTTTTTTTAATAAATAATATAATAATATAATATATATATATTTTATAATTTACATTTAATTTTAATAAGTTATAAGTTTAAAAGTTTATAATTTAAATTATATAAATAATTGTTTAATTATTTAATAATTATTATATTATTAAAACGTATTTAATTTAAGCTGTTGCGATTTTTATTGCGTAATTAAATAAAAAACGGTTTTATTTTTTTAAAATCTTTTTTTTAATATATAAAAAGATAGATTATTAAAGTTAATAATGTTAAAGTTATAATAACGGAAAATTTTTAATTTTTTTATATAATTTTTTTATTATTAATATTAATAAAATTATTTATAAAATATTTTTAAGTTAAAACGTTTAATAAATTAATAATAATGTTAAAATTTATTTTATTTTAATAAATATATATTATAATTATATTAAAGTTTTTAATATAATGTTAAAATTAACGATATAAAATTATAAATATAAAATAAAGTTAATATTATTTTAATAACGTATTTTGGTTATTGTTATTAATAAATAAATAATATAGTATAATATAATTTTAAAAAAAAGTTATTATAAAGGTTATTATTTTTTAAATATTTAAATAAATAAAATTTCTTGCATTTTATTAAAAAATTCGAACAATTATAATAAAAAGATTTTTTAAAAAATATTTATTTTAAAAATATTAATTATATATTTAATTTTATATTTATTAAATTATATTTATTAAATTTAAATAAAATATTTTTTATATTTATATTATTAAATTTAAACGTTAATTATTTTAATTTTAAAATTATTATTTTATTTAATTTATTAAAAAAATCCGAAATTATATTAAAAATAATTATTTTTAAATTATTAAACGAAAAATAAATTAATTATTTTAAATAAGTTTTAGTTTTATTTATAAGTTTTTTAAATTATTATTTAAAAAATTATTTTATAATAAAGTAAATTTATAAAATAAAATTTATAAAGTTTATTATATTATTAAAAAATAATTTTTAATTTATTAATAATAATTATAAAAATAAAAAACGATAATTTAATTTTAAATAATATTATTTAATTAAATTTAACAAATAAATAATTAACGTTTAAATAAAAAATATTAAATTATTTAATAATTTAAAATTATGGAAAAATGTTTTTAAAAAAAATAAACGAAATAGTTTTAAAAAAAAAATTAAAGTTTTACGTTAATTAAATTACGTAAAAAGATTAAAATTTGGTAAAATAAATAAAATAAAGTTTATAATTATATTAAATATTATTTAAAAGAAAATTTTAAAAATATAATAATAAGTAAAATAATTATAATTAAAATTTAAAAAATTTTAAAAAAAAAATATAAGTTATAAAATAATATTATATTTTAAAATTTAACGTTTAAATAAAATATTATATTATTTAATATTAAAGATTTTATAATTACGTTATTATTAAAATTATATTAAATTTAATTTAATTTTAAAAAATTAAATAAAATTTATATTATTAATAAATTATATTTAATTAATAAATTTTTTAATGTTTTAAACTTAAAATATAATATGTTTTTTATTTTTTTTTTTAAAAATTATAATATTATTTTAATTTAAAACGATAATAATTAAATTATTAAAATTATAATTATTATAAATAATATTGTTAAATTAATATAATAAAAAAAATAAATATAAAAAATTAAAAATAAAAATATTAAATATATTTTTATTAATTATTTTAATAAATTTAATAATAAATATAAAAATAATTTTATATATATTTATTATATAATTATAAAATATTAAACAATAAATTATAATTTAATAAAATATTTTTAAGAATATTTTAAAAAACGTTTTAAAAATTAACGTAATAGATTTAAAAATAAGTTTAAAAAGTTTAAAATTGATAAAAATAATAACGTAACGGTTATATTATTTTATTAAAATAATATTAATATATTAATAATTTTTATTATTATTATTATATTTATAACATTTAAAAAATTATTAATTAAATTATTAATTAACCTTTTAAAACCGAATATTTTGTTAAAAATTTTTTAAAGTTATTTATTTAAGAAATTATAATAAAATATATTTATAATAAAAGTATAAAATATATTATTAAAATTTATTAATTTTATAATTATTTTAATATTAAATTTTATTTTTATGGATTTATTAATTGATAATGTTTTAATAATAATAAAATTTATAATAATAAGTAAATTTAAAGTAAAAAAATTAATTATTAAATTAAAAAAAGTTATAATAATTAATAATAATTATAATTAAATTGTAAGGTTTTGTTTAATGTGAAATTTAATGAATTGAAAAAGAAAAGAAAAGATTTTTTTCGTAGGTTATTTTAATAATGTAGTTAATGTATAAATAAAATAAATATAATAACTTATTTAATAGTTTATGTAAGTTATTATAGTAATAATATTTATTAATAACTTTTTTATAAAAAATTTTTAACGTTTTTATTGGTTTAATCTATTATAAATATATTATATTTTTTTATTATATTATTAATTTATTATATTTATTATATTGTTAATTTATTATATTTATTATATTGTTAATTTATTATATTAATTTATTATATTTTATTATACTAATTTATTATATTAATTTATTATATTTTATTATGCCAATTTATTATATTTTAAAGCCTTTTATTAAATTTAAATTATTATAGAAAAATTTATAATTATTTTTTTAATATATTTATAAATGTTATTTATATTTTGGCATTTTTGGTTTTATTTTTCTCGATTATTAATTTGTAGTTTTTAAATTTTTTTAATAGTGGTTTTAACTTTTTCGATATAATTATAAATACAATTAATACTTTTTTTTTTTTTTAATTTTTTTAGGTTATATATTACTTATTTTAGTTAATTATATTTTTATATTTTATTTAATGTTTCTATTAATTATATAATTTTTACAAATTATTAAATATTTTTTTTTTATTAGAAAATTTTATATTTTAAATTATTTAATTGTTTACGTAAAAAATTAAATGTTTTTTTAAATTTGTTTAGTTTTTTGGTTTAATTTATATATATTTATTTTATTTACTATTAATTTTATAAAATTTTTTTTAATATATTATTAATAGTATTTTTAATATTTTTTATTTATACTTTTATATTTTTAATGTTATTATTTTTGCTATTTATTATAATATTTTTATTATTAATTTTTTTGTTGTTTTTGATGGTGGATATGGAAGTATTAGCGTTATAATTATTGAATATAAATTTTACCGCATTTTTATATAATTATACTTTTAGTACTTTTTTTTACTTCTTTATTTATTACCAAAATATAGAAATTTTTTAATACTTTAAAAATTATATAATTTATATTAATTTTAATACCAGTAATATTTCCATAATACCATTTAATAATTTGTTAAATTTTAATAAAAAATTTCCGTTTATTTGTATAATTTTAAAATATTTTTTAACTAAAATATATAATAGAATTTTTTTATATTATTTAGAATTTTAA